ATTTCAAAATTTATAATATTCAATTTAAATTTAAATTAAAAGTTATTCATATATCAAATAAATATCTTAAAAAGAATTTATTTTATAATTCTATTATTTAAATTTGAAGAATATTATCAAAAACTTATTATTTGAATAATTTTAACAAAGAAAATTATAAAAATTAAAGTCTTTATTATATTTTATATTTTATATTTTATATTTTATATTTTATATTTTATATTTTATATTTTATATTTTATATTTTATATTTTATATTATTGATTAATAAATTTAAACTTTAATCGTAGAAGAAAATTATATAAATTTTTTATACTTTTATTTTATTTTGACTTTTTTCAGCAAATCTAGAATGAATCCCTCGTCTTGAAATCTTGATTCTGGATTATGGTTTATGGATCCTGAGTCCTGAGTTCTGGATTCTGAGCAAAATATATAATTAGATTCTTCAAATAGCACATCTAGCATATCCATCATAGCAAAGTCCCCATCTTCCCGAAATTCACCATACAAAACTTCCACCCACAACCCACGAGTCACGTTGTCTTACAAGTTACAAGTTATTTTAACAAGTCCTCTTCCCAGTGCTCAATGCTCAATACTCACCGCTCAAACTACTCTTAATAATCCACTGTATCGCACCTCACAAACCCTGGTTCCTTGATTAATTCATTGGTAGGACGTGACCCACGTATTTTGGATGATTCATCTTGGGAAGGGAGGGGTTGCTTCTAGATGAATGTGCTAGAGCTAGAGCTAGAACTAGAGCTAGATGATGAATAAGGATCGGGATGAGGATGGATGAATGGGGATGGGAATGAGGAGGCGCAAAAATGAAGATTTAGTTTTGGTTTATTGTTAGGATGATTTAGGAATCCTCTGTACCTAGGCAAAGACTAAAAACGCCCGCATCTGCAGGGTCTGACTGATGTCGGGGTGGGTAGGTAGGTACGTATTTTTGAAAGTAATTGTACGGAGTACTGTCCTTTGAAATAAAACTGGGAGTGGTACTTTGTAGTTCGACCTCAATCCGATCTAATTCATTTGATGAGTTGATACGATGTGATTTGAGTGAATAGATTGAATAACAGGAAATAATAAGGGAATACGGATGTGGAAGAAACACTTGCAGTAGGTATGTATGCAATATGCATGCGCAGCGGCTGCGAGCAGCATGTACGGAGGAGTGGAGTGGAGTTGGTTAGGGAAGAAAGGGCTGGCTTATTGAAGGGGAGGATAGATGGCTGGGGTGTTTTGGGTGAGGTGTTGAATTGAGTGGTTTAAGCTTTTGCTTATGTATATGATCTACTTATCATTCTGTGCAGAAGTTTATACATTGTAAATAGCAATTTTAAACTTTCATTTTAGACATCATCCAAGTAGAACTTTGTATTCAAATAATTCATGTACATTCTCTTTTCATCGCAACATTTCATTCTGACTCCCAACAACTAGCTCACGGCTTACCTTACCTTGTCTTGCCCTGTCGTATCCAAATACAAAAAACCCCTCAAAAAGAATGTCGATCATATAGAATTATGGCATCCAGGCTCTTCAATGTTCATAGATAGATAGGTAAGGACATTTCTCAAAAGCGATCGAGGAAGCTTTGAACAACGTTACCCCAATCAACATCAACCACGTCAATCCATGCCTAGGCTTTTCCCTAGTATCTTTTCCCCGTTCCCAAAGAAAAACCGAAGGAAAAAAAAACACTAGAAATTAGAACAAAAATGTTCTCATTTACAACGAACACGGCATGACAATAATTGCACTAAGACTAAATAGGCATCATTCCTACTCGGTGACACGTTTTAGGAAATTCTCGCTTCGCCTTTTTCGTAACCATGGCACCATGGCTTGCCTTTGCTTGCGGTTCGAGATGTTGTGCGTTTGTCGTTACATACAGCTGTGCGGAGTTGATTGGAGAGACGTGTGCCAAGAGCAGGGATTCTGGAGCTTGGTGTAAGACGGACCGTTTTCCGCGTGTGCAGAAGGTGAGTTTGGGCTAGCCTTATGGAGGGTGGCTATTGGATTGCAGGTGTTTTGATGAATGAGTGGATTTTGATGGTGGCTTTTATGGGTGTATCGGGAGGTGCTGTGTAGGAGAACGGTGGGAAAGGCTGTAATTCTCCGTTTTTGCTATGTCTTTTATTTTTATTGAGGAGAGGCTCTCAGTAGCTAATTCAAATGAAGGATGGTTTGAGGTAAGATTTGCAGGAAAGCTGTGGAGGCTTACTATGGAAAAGAAATACATGCGAGATGATGCGGATGGTGCTGGACTAAGCTTCAGTGCTTCCCCTCGTAGTGGCGGGGTTCAAGTTTGCTGAACGGACTACAGTGCGGTGGGGCCACGAACTACGCTGCTGCGTCGTGCTGAGCGTATAATTTCTTGGCGAGAATGAAATTATAGGATAAAGCATGATCTCTAGACGCCAGAATTACCCCCCAAGGGAAGGGAATTTCTCTACATCAAACTACTATATGTTGAATGATATTTGAAGGGTATGCCGTTGGAAGGAATTCATAGATTGAAGTAACTAACAACTATGCTAAAATTTTACATTCACTATCTAAACGTCTGAATGGGCTATGCCATAGAACCGATTTGAGTCTAGTGGAGAATGCATGAAGACGATTAATAAATATTCTTAAAATACTAACGTTAGCCGGGGACGGAGAAAAAGGCCGTTTATTTTTTTATTCCTTTTCTTTGTTCAAGCTATGGCTTTGGCGATCAGAATGAGGTGGATGGCGTCTCTTAGCGTCTTCTACACCGCCATTTTATGGTTGAGAATCGAGAGGCGAATGAGGGGTTCTGCTCTAGCGACAACGAACCTTGGAAAGGCGACTTTTTTCAAATATGCTATCGTTATCAATGACTGATGGATACCTGGGAATCTAATTGATGATTATGAATTTGGAGTAAACTAATGAGCTCTTTTTTCATCCCGATAATGATATGGTGACTTGGAAGAACTAATTTCTTATCTTACTACTTTAGTACGACAACAACAACAATAATAACAACATCTCACGGTAATTGGGAAGGACGTTTTGGATATCGAAGCACCACGCTTAATTATCCTGTCAGCTTCTCCGATACCCATGAATTAAACCCATGGAGCCATGAACAAGGGCCAAAACCAAGAGAAGATCAAAAAAGTTTAACAGAGGAAGTTAAGGAAATACATTTGAAACCCGAGAATCAGTTGCAAATCAAGAAACACAAACCTCAACGCTGCTGACACACAGTCAAACAAAACAATTAAATGAGATATAGCCTCAATGAGGTATCAATATTTCGTAATTCCCCCAAAACCAGTGTGTGCTTACCCTCCCGGGTATAATCCCTCTGACCCCAACAAAAATATTTCGGAGGTACCCTGTATGTAAGTACCAAGAACCTCACATGGAAAGGACGTTGGATGGATTGGTACTTGCATCTTACTATGGATATTGCAATATGCCCGCGAAAACGGGAGTATCCGTTCCCATGTCATGTCCCTAAAACTTCAAACCACCCGCAGCATACATACATCAGTCCAGACTCGCCATGTCAATCCTTAATTGTTCTCGTGACCCTCACATGGTTGGAAAGATTTTCAAACATCGACCTCTCGGACTCAACCCCCAATTTGGTACTACCCTCGTGTCCCAAAAGATGCAAATCGAGGATTGATGTATATTGCTCGCGCATGATTTTTTAAATGAACTGGATGGTCGGTACAACCCCAATAGCGGCTCATCCAGAATATAATTACACTATGAACCGGTAGAGGAGTTAACAGGGTGTTGTTGATAGAGGTAGGTACTAGGTAAGATGATGTTTGCTAATGACCGGAAAACGGCTGTTAAATTCAAGATGGAAGTACAAAGGATGTATGTGAGTAATGAGCAGACGCGGCACGCAGGATAGAAAAAGGCATGTGAGGTAGCAGCTACGCACGCCACTCACTTGATTGCATTCAATGGAAATAGGAACTTGCAGAACTGGGAGATGCACGATTGGATACTTTTCGTATTCTGGCCTTTTTCTCCAAGACGCACCAGCCATTCATCTGAGGATAGTTACGCAAAGAATGGAGTGAATAAAAGACGCACGACATAGTTGCAGGTTCATATTACATGGAGAGTACAGTAGGTACTGTACTGTAACGATCGTGCATCAAGCCGGCTGCTTCTGCGAGGCGAGGCGAGGCGAACGGGTACTTGCTGCTTGCATATCCTATGCTATGCCTCTCATTAGCCTTCCCCCCCTTCTTCATGTAACCAAGAGGTGCGTTAATGAAAAGACTTGGAAGGGGAAAAGAAGTGGCAAAATAAAGATCAACAAATGAAGAAGATTTTAAATTGAACTTGATTCAGTAACCTTGACGTATTGGCAACTCATTCAGAGAAGTGTCCGGGAGATTTTTTTGCCTTTGCTTGCTCAACCAAAAGATTTCAAGATGGGAAGGAGAGATTTGGAAAGGGTATCGGATGATATTGAAACTTGAAAGGAATCATCGGATTGAAATGCATGATCGGGGATGTTTCTTCCCAGGGTATGACTGATTCTCGCTCAATCCAACCTTTTGAATTTTGATGAACACCATAAGACATCATCTAATTATTTTTATTCATTTTTTTCTGAATTTCCTGAATTTTCCAAAACATGAATGATGTGATCACCCATCAATCATCCCGTACCCGTTCGAAACTTCGAAGTTACTGTGGTTCTCGAATGGAGATGTCGGAGAATAGGATTTTCTTGTGTGAACTTTCGTGATACATGGCTCTTTTTTGAAATGACGAGCTGTTTTCATGAAGATGGCTGTTGGATGACAGCGGGATTCAGTGTCGATGTGATTTATCCCTATGTACAACTTTTTAGGAATCAGGAATCTTTTAAGCTGTCAATTGCAATCGAATATCATTGAGCTAGTTTCACGTGACTTGGCGTTCCAGGCGCGCCTTCTGTAACTGGATCAACCATTCGCCAAGGTTGCTTATGTTTTCCTTTTCCCCTCGCAGGTCAAAAAGATAATAATAAAAAATAACAACGATGAATATATATGAATCGCCTCCAACTGTACGGCATATACGGAGTATATCTGAATTATGAAGTAATATCGACTAACCGTAGAAGCTCAGAAATCCAATACGGCAATGGGTACACTAGGTATTACCATTTCTTTGTCTGAATAGATTCTTTTGATCCTCGGATCATCCCTCGCAAACTTTACAGAAAGGGTACAGGCAAGCCTAAACGGATCTACAATCCTTTACGAGAGAACAAGCATGGCACCCCCACAAATGCTTGCGGCAGCAAAACCCGTATTTGGCGCCCGTTTCGATGCTTGGAATTCATCAGCTACAGGCCATCAACGAGCAGAGAATAAGTTGGCTGGCTCGACAGGATGGAGAGAATCTCGCGCAACGAAGTTACGCCATCAGTTCAAGTCTGGCGGTACAGGTGACAAAAGGATTTCCGATAGAGTTGGTGCAGGATCTGAAGACTGGGATGAGAAAGCGAAAGCCCTGATTCCAAAAGAGGTCAAGGCAAGAGCAAGACAAAGTGTCAGTGATATGTTGGTGGGGAAACCAGGCTGTATGTTTTGTTGTCCCTTCTAGATTCCCTGTCTGTTGTTGCCAAATATACTTTACTGATGCTTGTCTCTCCCGTTTAGTGCCAATGAGCGCCGAAGAGCGATTGATGGAGAAGCGGAGACTCGAAGATGAAACGAAAGTGGAAGAGGAGGATCTAGCCCAAAAGTCTAGAGGCATCTTTGATGAGTTGGTCATATACATAAACGGGAGTACATATCCAATGGTCTCGGACCACAAGCTCAAGCACTTGCTGGCAGAGAATGGGGCACGAATGTCTATGCATCTGGGCAGACGCCAAGTCACACACATTATCTTGGGCAAACCCTCACATGTAGGAAGTGGAGCTGGAGGTGGTTTGGCTGGCGGGAAGTTAGAGAAAGAGATACGAAGGATCGGTGGTTGTGGAGTTAAATATGTCGGTGTAGAATGGTACGGAGCTGCCGGCATCCCCTGTTCGCAAATTCATCTAATCATTTGGCCATACAGGGTACTAGAAAGTATTAAAGCTGGAAAAAGATTGCCCGAGACGCGGTTCTCGAACCTCAAGGTGGCTCCAAAAAGTCAGCAGAGCGTTTACGGCATGTTCAAGAAAACGGCCAAACGTGGATTAGCGAATGGCCCAAAGGACATCGATTGAGAGAAGGGCATGCAATTCGTTCATCCCTAAACTTTTGTTTCATTCAGAGTCTAAAGCTCGAGTTTCGAGAAGTAAGTCATCGAGGTCAATGCATATGATGGGTAGGTATTTATATGTCATGGGAGCTATATTCGGCTGACTGCTTGCTTCTACGGCGTTGTGTTGAAGTTTGATGTGCATCCTGGGTGGCTGCATAGCGCCTGCGAAGGAAATAGGGAATATCCATTATTGGTGGTCTAGAGGCGTTTGGTGGGATTTGGATAAAGCTGTACCATGACATAATTTGATATCAAAGCAATGAAGAATAATCAACTGCATACATTGCCATGCATGGGTGGTATTCTTTGGAAGAACGACGAGGCATCGTTCTCGATAATGACATTAAATACTTTGAGTTGAGTCTATATATCCAATGCTCTATAGATCATCTACCCTTTTTGGATCTGAAGATATTCTTCGATACTCCAGGAATACCTGAGTATCGGGAATCGAGGCGATGGCAATGGTTCCTTGAACGCATGATCCAGGATCATTTGATTGTGGCTGTAAGTTATGATTCTGATAGTATTCACAATACAATCAATCCGTATCTGACTCAATGACTTCTCTCATGTCGTAGCGATTTGAAGTTATTGATAATCAAATCCTTTAAATGTCCATTCGAAACTACTCGTAGAAATGGAGATTCAATTATCGGAACCGGCGAAATAGTTTTGGCGATGTACGTTGCCCCGTAAACAAGGAAAAACCACCATTCACAACAGATCTTACGAAAATGTTTGTCCACCACCACACAATATCTCAAACATTGCATGACCACTACTCAGAAAGATACACATTCACAATTCCAATCACAAACAAGGAGGGTTAGCAGATGGCGGAACCCCTATTGGATTTAACCAGCGGAAATATCAATTCTGGAAGTCCGTCAGTTATTAGCAACACAAACAACATGTCGGAAGATACCAGCTATACCGAAAACACACCTATGAGCGGGAGCGTGGGGAGTCCACCAAGTTCACCTCTCGCCGATGCGACAATAGATGCGACAAATGATGCGACGGATGCGAGTAAGGAGAATATCTCTCCCGTTAGGAGGCAAATGTTGTCGTCGAGGAACTCGATTGATGGGGAACATATGTCACCCCTGAAACTATTGAAAAGCCAAACTTCACCTACCAAATCAACAGATGGTACACGCAGTCCGAGGAAGATGTCAACACCTATGAGATTCCCTGTAAAGCCTACTGCTACCCCTTCGCCTTTAAAATCGCCCGAACCGCCGGCCGTCGTTGAGCAGGAAATGGACCTCGATGATCCAGTACTAAGAGATAATGAAGGGCTTACGAAAGCGATTGAAATATTGGAAGAAGATGATGATGATAACGACAACGAGGAGGGACAGACGATAAATGAAACTTTTGCTTATATAGGGACGGGTAGCGCTGCCGCTTCAGCAGAGGAATCGCACAATTTGATGGATGATACAATGGTCAGCACATTCAGCGACTTTTCCGCTGTACCGGATATGACCATGTTCTCCAAGATTGGACACAGTCCACCAAAATTTTCAAATATGGGTGGGCCAACACCCAGACAAAGTCATCGATTCAGTACACCTGCTACAGCACGCAGACAGATGAATACATCTGAAGATTTTTCACCAACACCATACGGACATAGAAATGTTAAAAGTAAGGATGATGGAAATACTACTAACCTACTTGACTTTACCGCACAAATGAATGGGTTTAGTGGCCGCGGTCCCTCACCTTCAAGACATAGAATGTCACCTTCGAAAAGTTCCGCCCCCGATCAACATTGGTATGCGCAAAATACTGCCGCAACACCAAAATCGAATCGAATGAGCAATCTTTTAGATTTTGACATTCCTCCTGCACCTACGCCTAGAAGTTTGCCGTCTGTTACACCTAGGGAAATTGAGAGATTGAAATCAGATTTCCTCTCGGAGATTAGTACTCTGAAAGCTACATTAAGTGGGAAGGAAGCTGAATTGCAGTTCATGAAAACGGCCGTTGCAGACGCGGAGAAGAGAGTTGGTGAAAGCCTGGAACAATTACGAGAAGAACGAAATCTACAAGATCAATTGGCGGCGGAAAAAGAGGAGTGGGAAAAGAGAGGTCGAGAAATGGAAGCTGTGTTAAGAAACGTCCGAGAAGAAATGGTTCAAACAGAGCAAGAACGTGAGGAGTTAGATGGTCGATTGGAGGAAAGTGAGAGAAGGAGAGAAATGGCTGAAATTATGGCTCAAGAAGCGCAGAGAAACTTGGCAGCTATGCGTGCTGGGAAAGCTACACCCGGAGCTATTTCACCTCCCGCCGAGACATCCTTGAAATTGCCAGCTGAATGCCATTGTGGAGGTCGAACTGTTGAGATTGCGGTCGAGAAGGTATCTAGAGAGTTGCATGCTCTTTATAAAGAAAAACACGAAACTAAAGTCCAAGCTCTCAAGAAAAGTTATGAACGTCGTTGGGATAAGAGGGTTAAGGAGTTGGAAGCTACTGTCGAAGAACTCACTAAAGAAAACGAAGACTTGAGGTTGGGTCACGATAACACGACAACGAAAGTGGAATCTTCAGCGGAAGATGTTGAAAAACAAGCGGCGCGTGATGCCAGAACCAGGGAGCTGGAGGCAGAACTTGAGGGCTTGGGAATGGAAATCAAAAGTGTTAGACAAGATAATGAGGATCTTCGACATATGCTAGAGGAGGAAAGAATCGAAAAGACTAAACTGGTTCAAGCCGTCGATGAAATGATCCCCATGATCGCAATGTTCGACGACATGGTTGCAAAAAATCTCGAAGAGGAAAAGAAACCTGCTCCAACTCGATCTTCGCCAATACCAGAAACGCCCGTCTCTCAAAAGAAGCAACATGTTTTTGAGAGTCATATGAAGAGTCCTACGCTAGGACGGGCAAGTAGTGTTAGCAGGCCGAGTGGCTTGAGAGCACCGAGTGCGGCTGGAGGAAGTAGGATTGGACGGGGTGGTATGAGCGGAATTGGGACGGGCCTAGGAATTAGTGGAGTGGGCAGGGAGAGGAAGGGGAGCAACGGAAGTGTGGCAAGTCAGGGAAGTAGACCGGGCAGTGGGCTCAGTGGCAGAAGCAATTTATTAAGTAGTATTGATAAAATGGGAGGAGGGTACAGCCGTTAGGATAATGTCATTGATGGTCCAAAAGGGAGGGGTGTGAGAGATGTCCTCGAAACTAGTTTGGTTTGGTGCTTGTATATTCATTTTCTTGGTGATAGTGATAGGTTATTGTGGATAGAGTACTTCATGGGGAGGAAGATGGGGGAAGGGATTGGTGCGCATACGAATTAATGACTGGCTGGCGTGCAATTGATAGGGATGGATGGATGGGGGGATGAATGGTAGTAACCTACCAATGAAGGCACGACCGCTTTTCATATTTAGTTTATCCAGGGCGTTGACAGGGTCTGGTGCTGTGCCGGGGCTAGTTCTATTGATGAATTCATTTAGAGTTTTATACTGCGTTCTGATTGTGTTTTGATTGGTGCTATGAGGTGATGGATCGAATGTCTCCTGGAATATTACGTCTTTTCTTTTGTACCTTGTGCTTATGTTTTTTGCTCTGTCCAAGCTATGGGATCTAGATTGGATAATAGGCTTTTATGGCATTGGAGAGAGGAATTACGTCTTATTGTCTGTTAGTGCAGCTTTAATGGTGTGGAGAAGGTGGCAACGCACAGACGTTTACTCCATATCATAAAGTACTAATCATCAGATCTGCCTCCTTGGATCAACATCTTCAGGACATACTATCTCTTTCGTTGCTTCATTTTATCCTAGTACTGGCTTGTTTCTATACTTTCTTTTGTTGGAGAAATTAAGGAGCTGTAGGGCGGCTGAGATCCGGAGATGGGTAGATGGAGATTTATGTACACGTCGCTAAAAGAAACGACGTTTGAAAGGGCTGGGGTGGGAAATTTAAATGCAAGAAGTTTCCTGTGTTGTAAAAATGCTAGTCGTTTTGGATTCGTCCGACCTAGCTCTAGACTTGACTACAGTGTATGATTCGGTTAGCGCCTTGAAATTGAGCTCGCCTTAAAGTTGGCCTACGGCTAAACAAAATGGGATTCTCCTTTGTCTGGGAAATAGAGGAGGTTAAGGATTTTAAAAATTAATATCCATTGGGTGTTAATGAGTAAAGATCTTGCCAACAATCGCAATGTACCATGCCAAGAATAAGCTAGCTTCGACTTCAAACAAATAAACACCAACACAAAGCAAGAACAATCTTGGAATCTTAACTAAACAACGGCATTGTGTTCTGATCTCTTCCCGGAACAATTCCTTACGATTTTCCTTAAAGCCGCTTTGTGGCTCCCAAGTGGTATCCTCACCAATTCATACAATCATACATTCATCTAACACATTACAGCAAACCCACTAACTCTGAACAGCCAATCGGCACCAATTCACAACGAACTACCACCACTACAACCGCAGAGATGTCTGAACTCAAGAGTGGTTCTGAAAGCGAAAGTGGTTCTCAAACGGAAGGTAGCACTGAAATTACAGGTGGTTCTGAAGTCAAACGTCGTTGTGAAATCGAGAACTTCAAGTCGATCGATCCCTTCGCCGAAGCAGGCAAAGTAGATCTCAAACAAAACAACCAAGTCCACCTCCGATGTCAGCAAACCGGCGGACGCCCTAAGCTAACCAAGGAAGGCAAGAAGAAACCACATATGCTAACCACCGTCCAGGGACTTCCTGAAATATTCGACATGAAAAAAGTTGTCAAGTTTTTCAAGAAGAAGTTCGCATGTGCCTGCTGTATTGTGGACGACAAGGTTTTCGGTAAGGTGATACAGATTCAGGGAGACTACAAAGAGGAGATTTTCAACTTTCTTACTACAAAAGAAGGGTTGGGATTGAGTGAGGAGACTATTGTGATTCACGGATAGATTGATGAGTAGAGTTGCTTTCCGCTCGACGTGGAACAATTCGTGAGGAAGTCCTTTCATTATAAGTTGATATCAGTCGAGAAACAATTAATGAGAGAGAGTTCTTTCCTTTTTTGTTTGAATTGAATGAATAAATTAACTGTCCTTTCAATTGAAGAGAAATTTAAAAGAGGGTTTTACCCACCAAAATTGTTTTTTCTTTGTATGTGAAATTGTGAAGTGCGGAAACTGACATGCCCCATTTCTTTCTCTGCGCTGCTGCCCCTGGGTGTTACAGCTGCGCGGAACTTTGTGATAATTGACAAAAATCGCCTTTGATGTCTATAATATCTACAATGGCTGTTTGACTGTACAATCTCCAAACCCCCTACTTCTTGTTATTGGTTAATTTTTCATTTCACCTGAGGTTCCGCTGTACCTACTACAGCAACGAATGGCGGTTTCCTCCGTAAAATTGAAGAGACCTCAAAAGCGAGTTTATGAAAGAGAAAATGAGCGGAAAAGAGAAGAAACTTGATAATACCTCGGAAATACACCGCATTATATCTAAGGCACTGAGCTATAATCTTGCCGGTATCTGCCTCGCGAGTAGGCATTTGCCGTGGACTAGCGTTTAATAAGAGTTCTAATATGTCCTTGAGTCTAGTAAATGCACCAATCGACTGTTCCAAAATGAACTTAGTGCTGAATTAATGAAAGGGCGGAAGAGGAGAGATTCAGAGCAAGCCTACAACCTCGCTGTCTGATTAGTTTCTACCAGAGGGGAGAGACTCGGAGTAATCCTACAATGTCATTGTATTACCATTGGTTACATCAAGAGTGAATATCAGTGCGGAATATACTTGCTACAATGTAATAAATATCTGATAGCTTCCGAACAGATGTAGCTAAAGCTTTCTCTTTCAGATGTCGATTATTATTCTCGAAATCGTTAGCTACCAAATATTAGTCTGCGTTCAAATTCCGCCATTCTTTATTTCCAGAATACGATTGATGGAACTTTTCCTACATATATATTTTAACACGATCTCAAATTTACGAAGTTTTTCTTCAAAGTTTTCAATTCCCCCAATTGATTTTCCGACAACATTCTTTTGCCGAAGATCCTTCATTTCATTTTAATGTGATACCCTTGCACTCCCTCTTTCTATATATACAACAACTATGGCGCCAATCGTAACGTCATTAAGAGAAATAGGTACAGCAGGTGCACAATCTCTAGCTATCTATTTGTCAGAGCAGCCAAAATCCGTGCTTGAAACTATTCCAAGCTTGAACCCCCCACCAGGAGTCGTATCGGACTTTCACCATCGAGAATCCAGGAGAGGAACCGTCATAATAGTTTCTACCTTTTTGTTGGCTCTGGCACTTATATGCATATGCATTCGAGTATGGACAAAATTGATGGTTGCTCGTCCAATTAAATTGCTTTGGAGTGATTGTGAGATCCACTTCCCTCATTATAGTCTTGAGAACAGAAGACTAATTAGATTTAAGTAACTATTACTATTAGCTTTGTATGTAGTGTTTCTCCAATGGGTTTCTTGAGATACTAACAATATAGTTCCTCGCTATTACTGCATATGTCCTTACAATTCTGAGTAAGTCTTTCCAACTCGATTTCGGTAATGTATTAATCTCTGAAATAGATGTTACTCCTGGAGGGACAACTGGTTATCATCAATATGATGTTCCGCTATCTGAAACATTCACTGATCGCAACGTAATTGTATGTCTTTTTGTATCTTCCTTCCATTCAAATACATCTATTTATGTCACACTTCGATTGGGCCCTACTGACTCAAATCTAGCCATTATGTTTAACATATATAATCGGTCCTACAACTATTGGGCTCGTCAAGCTCACTCTCTTCATCACTTACGTAGAGATTTTCTTCACCGAATCTTGGGTCAAAATAACTTGCACCATTGGTGCAATAATATCTTCGGCTTTTTATAGTATACATCTTATCCTTGCATTGGCCTGGGTTATTCCAAGCAATGGAACACCATGGAGACACCAAATTCTTTCAACTTCTACTCTTCGCATGCAATCTTTAAGTCTACCTCGGGGTATTGTAGGCTTGATCATTGATGTATATTTAATCATAATACCTTTAATTGCTGTCAGCAAATTACATCTAACGCCGAAAAAGAAAGCTGGTGTTTCGTTTATTTTCGCTGCGGGTTTCATGTAGGTTCTATTCTACTTGAAAGGAAAACGAGATATACTGACGGGGTTTAGTGTTATTATTGGATCAACCCTAAGTGTTGTCTGTCGGTTCAAACTCCGCGAAAGTGACGACGTATCATGGAATCTTGCAGGTGTCTCACTTGTAAGGTAAGTGACTTTAAAATCCTCTCTTCCTACATCACTAATGGCTTATGACACCACAGTCTCATCGAAATATTTCTCAGCATCTGCATCGCTTGTACAACAGATGTCTCAAAGTTCATCCTCATGTACAAAGGCAAATTCAAGAATATGGGCTGCTCATTAGTATCCTTGTCTTGCTGCAGAAACATAGGAAGAAACAAAAACATCGAAGAATTGGCCGAGGAAAAAGTAGATAGCTCGGACGAGGAAAAAAGTATTCAGTCAAAAGAACGTGATCAGAAGCCCGAGAAACTCTATCCCAATCTAGATATCGCAGAAATACCTCCTGAGCCTTGTTCTGATAATTCGCAGCCACCCGATTCCGTGGATAGGAATGAGAAATTACGAAGAGTAGTTTTGGCGCCGGGGAATTGGGTACGTGGTTCTCTTAGTAGCTTGAGACTTGCAAAGTAGATGGGTATTTAAAATCAGCCAGCCTTGGTTTATTTTTCTTGCAGTTCTTGAAGCATTTTGAATTTAGCCGGCGTTTATTGGATAGGTCTCCTGGCTCCTTTATGTTAGCTCTTCTTCTCGATTGTTTCCATTTTGCTAGGAGTTAACGGAATGCTATTATCGTATAATATTGGGTAGATTCAGGTCACACGATCTGGCATTAGGCCATATTTGGATGGCAGGAATAGCTTCTTACAAGCAAGCTATTCCCTCGATATGAACTCTTACCTCTTTAGTTAAATCAACACTATAAATACTCTCTAGCCCTAGCTTTCAAAAATAATGACAGTATACCATGTAATCATACTCTTAATATACAATTATAATTTAAATATACAATGAGATCTTGGACAGGAATACTACCTGTGTTCTCAATTCGTAGACCCATGAATTTAATTATCAAAATTCTACAGCTCTTCCTAGGCTGCGCAACAGGGCCTCGCGGGGCGGATTATTGCCCTTGGAGGGCAACCCACGGATGATCCATTTACGAGGCAAGTAATTGCAGAATTTGAATAGGTAAATTATAAATTATTTGCGGTTTATTTGCGGATATCCACAATCCGCGGGTTATTTTTGCACAGCCTAGATCTTCCCATCATCTATTTCCTCAACACAACTCATGAATCCAAGTGGCAACTTCAGTCATACCATACTTCAACTCACATGAATTTCTTCAGATTTCGCTACGCACTGGCCGAATGGATATTAAATTCCAGATAGTTTTTCCAATGCCCAGATCTGTGGTTTGTATACAAATGCTCATCACCGTAGATAGGGCTTTTTGTCATCAATTTTCTTTCATGAGCCCGAGATACCAAATACTATTGTGATGCGGCAGCTTGCTAGTCGAAAAGTGAAGATTTGTACAAGGGCAGAGAGAAGATCATGGTTTTATAGAAAGTGGTTTGATGATGGGTTTTTACTGATACATGAGCTGGGATAGAAGAATCGGAAAGAGGTCGAAAATAGAATATGAGGTTTATGCAGGCAAGATCAGTTGCTATAATCTTGAAGTAAATTTCAGTAGGTCCATCTTGCTATGGCAGCTCTTTTTGCATCATCAGAAAATAGTATTATTTAGAAAAATATTTAAATTTGGTAGCCAACCCTCACCTGCTAGGTATTCTCCAAACCCCAAATGTTACGCCAATCAATCCCACCGCTAAGTTAATACCTCCATATGTTGTGTAGAAACAAATTAACAAATTCTATCAAGCCAACTTTTCGCCAGCCTTATTTTCATTGATGGGACGAGTTACGGATTCAGGCCCAGCACGTGATTTATCCGAATCATCAGTAACCGAGATGGAACCTGCGGATGAGATGTTGATCGGTGGGTCTTCGTGCCAAAAGTCTTTCTTTCTGTTGAAAAATATTAGCTTCTACTTTTTATGTCGATAATAGCGTGAACCTAAAACTTACCCGTGTGAAGCTCTCACAACCCAAGCTGGCAAAATACCACCCTTAATCTTGTAGGACCATGGCTCCTTGAACTCCTTATCGAATGGTACAATACGACCACCAGAGATCTTTTCCACTGCCCATATTGTGGTATTGATGATGAGGTACGAAATTATGCCAGCAATCAAGCCATATGCAATGGAATATGTGAATGGCATAACAGCTAAGGTGATAAAAGCTGGTAGTGCATCACCCCAATATTTCCAGTTAATATCCTTAGCAGCTTTGCACATCATGGCACCAACGATAACGAGAGTGGATCCTGTAGCCCATGGTGGAATAGAGGCGAAGATGGGCGCGAAAAATATCGAGATAAAGAAGCATAATCCTGTAACCATGGCGGTTATTCCTGTTTTACCACCTTCAGAGATTCCAGCACCAGATTCAATGAACGCCGTGACTGGTGATAAACCCAGAAGAGAGCCGATAGAAATACCGAAAGCTGCGTGGAATGTTAGTTTGATTAAATGAGTAGGGGTATGTGATTCTCACCGTCGACGAGATAAGCCACAGCTGAACCTTCGAAATCTTGGGTTTCTTCGTCGATAGCCCCGGAAAAGCGTGCCATGGAGTATAATGTTCCTGTACAATCCAGGATATCAACGTAGAGGAAAGTGATGAAAGCAAGACCAAATTGTCCAGTAACACCCGCTACATTCCAATCTTGTGCCACAAGCGTCTCCTGGATGCCGTGGAAAGTAACAACTTTCTTGAAGAAGTCAAAATTGGCATTACCGACATCATCGTGAGTGAAGTAGGTGACCGAAGTCGATCTTGGCCAAGAGATGATAGCGACCAACAAGATACCGGCAATGATAGCACCTTTAACACGATATGCCATAAGAATGGCAGTCACAAAACCGCCGCAGAAAATTCCAATCCACATGGTTGGCGAGCGCATTTTGGTTGATGTGGGACAAACACCGTCCACGAATTCAGAGCTGACACATCCTGCAAGCTCAAGTGGAGTTGAAGTAGCTCCGGTAATAACTCCAATTCCTGCACTGTAGCCAAGACCGATGAGCGCTTTCTTGTAATCAGTACAGATTTCTGGCCTTGGAAGTTTGGCACTTACTCAAATATAAACCAATTCCTACTCCAGAGGCGAGTTTGATAGAAGCGGGAATAATTCTGGCTAGCCATTGTCTCAATCCAAGCAACGATAAAGCGACAAACACAAAACCTTCGACGAAAACCGCAGTAAGAGCAAGTCTATACGTAACAGGTCCAAGGCCGTGAAATCCAACAACGGTATAAGTAAAGTAAGCGTTCAGACCCATTCCTGGAGCTAATGCGATCGGCATGTTTGCAAACAATCCCATGCAGAAAGATGTCAGAGCAGAAATAGCAGCAGTTCCTGTGATGAAGTCTCGACGGATGACTCCAAGACAGAGAGTATAATCAACATCTGAGGAGCAACTAGGATCAGTTGCATCATTACACACGCAAGTTCCACCACTATCCGCGAGAATCGTGGAATTGACCTGAATTTTTGATGTCAGCTTATCAATGACTTGGTACCATCCACAAATAAAATGAACAATTCTGGATGCTATTTTCTGAATGATGAATTGTCGTTCTCCCTTCCAGAATATTGTAACACTTAAACACATGTAGAGGTTTGGCACATACAGAAATGATATATGCCATGGCGAAGAATGTCGCGAGACCAGCACGGATTTCAGTGAGGAATCTAGCACCCTCTCTCGCCTTTACATGGCCGGAGCCCTGTAGACGAAATCTTCTACCAACAATACTGCCAGCGACAGCATCATTAACCTTGGTAGCCCAACCAGTCATGATGAGGAAGCCTCTTAGCCTTGGGGAGGTATTTAAAGGTAGTGAGGTTGAATCTTGTCGGTTCGTTCCGAGACACAAGAACTCAAAAGATGTTGTACCACAGCAGTTATTATATAACCGTACCAATTTACGCTGCAGTAAAATCTCTTATCTCTATGATAATTAAAAATTTGAAGATTCTATTTGTTCGTCTGGAGAGTTGATTCTGCCAAGCAAGCGAACAGTTAAGTTTTTCGCTTGGCCACTTGGCAGCTCCGACATTTGCCCCCATTTACCAGTCAGACGGTCCAGAAAGTAACCTTCATCTAGTTTAGCCTCTTTACGGGCTTAGCATTGTGTTTGTATGGAATATTGCCCCGGACTGATATCGTGTTGGCTGATATCTTACATTCATCCTTCATATCATCTTAGATACGGTGAGCGCTAAACAGATAGCCTCCCGCCTCGGATTCAATTCACTGAAATCGATTTGTTCCTTCCACTCCCATCTCTGCACATTCGCCGGGAGCTCCCTGAGGTCATGATTGGGGTATCAGATGCGGAGAGCACCGAATCGTCCTCACAGTATGATAGTCTGCCTATCCGGGGGGTTTGGGAGAGAGTAAGCACGGTTGGTGGAGGAAAGTTATCATTCGGTGAGTGAAGCAGATAACTTCAGGGCTGTGGGAAGCCACCAGAAGTTTAGAGCACCGATCGCGGTGTATGGTGGCAAATATCATCGTTGCATTGTCACTTAACATATGTCAAAATTTGTGAGTCCAGACTTGAATGCTCTTGACTGGAAAACTGCTTGAGGTTATAAATGATTCGGTATGGATGTCATGGACTTCAATCTTTTTTGGTTGGCATAGGCCTGATTGTTTCCAGAGCTCTAATTGAGAGCTAATCTTACATATTGAGAATGATGAGGATGTGAAGGACAAATTTCCTTCGATCATTGTGGTTACAACTTGTCGGCAACCAATCATAATCCAAGACGATATAGGACAGTTAAAAACATTGTTGGACTTCAAATATATAATATAAATAACAACTGTTGCAAGTAAGTTAGATTCTAGCTGTGGAATGTACCAGAATAGCTCTTCACACGTGACAACGTTAACCATCATCAATTCTATTAAGCGAGTTATTGAAGCTCCGACCACCGAAATTTTAAAGTTTGGGTGATAAAGATAATCAGTGCCACATATGCCTTGAACATTTTTGTGAATAGCCTCAACGTAACGATTTCACTACCAACCTGCGCAATGGCGCCTCTAGTGGATAATCCCATGATTGCATCCGCAACATTGCATAATCCATGTTAGTAGCCACGCATCCATTCAATAGCAGACCTGATTCTAACCTATCTCAGTACCGCTTTGGTTGCATACTTATATCTGGCCCTTCGCTATCATATGGCCTGTCTTCTTTCGATATTACCTTTCACAAGATCTTTATGACAAGCATATTGGCGGGCAAGAATGGACCTTTGTCTGGTGTGGGACAATTATCACGGCGCAAAGTTTAGTATGGCTGAGCACACATTGGAACATTAACTTGAGAGCTCTCTTTACTTCAACCTCCGCAAAGACTGTTTCAGAGGCCCAGTTGATCAAGGTTCATCCTATTACGAATGCTGGCTCTGCCGACTTTTGCAAGATAGATAGGGACAATGTAGGTGGAAAAAGTGTCCTTCTATAATTGTGTCAGCTAACCTTGCCCCAGGCTGGTGGAAAAAGCAATGTTTCCTTCCTCTTCCAAAAACGTCGATTCCTCTACGACTCTTCGAAAAACTCGTTTGCACCCTTGACATACTCGATAGATTCAGAGCCCAAGCCACGTTTGGAGACATATCAAAAGTCTAGAGGTATAGATTCTGCATCCGAGCTTTCCAGAGTTCATCAACATTATGGCGATAACACTTTCGATATTCCCGTCCCTACATTTTCGGAGCTGTTTAAGGAACACGCAGTTGCACCATTCTTCGTCTTTCAGATTTTCTGTGTTGGTTTATGGATGTTGGATGATTACTGGTACTATTCCTTGTTTACCCTCGTCATGCTGGTGGGATTTGAGAGCACTGTAGTCTGGCAGCGCCAAAGAACCTTAACCGAATTCCGGGGGATGAGTATCAAGCCGTATGATATTTTCGTTTACCGATTGAATAAATGGGAGGAAACACAAAGTGACAAGCTTCTGCCTGGAGATCTAGTTTCAGTGGGCCGGACGAAGGAGGACAGTGGTGTAGCCTGCGACATGATTCTGGTCGAAGGAAGTGCCATTGTGAACGAAGCTATGTTGTCCGGAGAAAGTACACCATTATTGAAAGACTCAATTCAGCTCAGACCTGGCGATGCAGTATTGGAACCGGAAGGACTTGACAAGAATGCATTCCTGTATGGGGGAACAAAGGTTCTACAAGTTACGCACGGAAATACCGAGGAAGAAAGGCCCAAGGTCGCTTCAGGCGTTCCTCTTCCTCCTGACAACGGTGCTATGGCCATTGTGGTAAAGACTGGATTTGAGACATCACAAGGAAGCTTGGTTCGAACTATGATTTACTCCACCGAGCGAGTATCTGCAAACAATGCCGAGGCATTATTCTTTATTCTTTTCCTGTTAATCTTCGCGATCGCTGCATCTTGGTATGTTTGGGATGAAGGTGTTAGAAAGGACAGAAAACGATCCAAGCTTCTTCTTGATTGCGTCTTGATCGTAACCAGTGTGGTACCCCCAGAATTGCCCATGGAGCTCAGTCTTGCAGTCAACACTAGTTTGGCTGCTCTTAGTCGTTATGCTATCTACTGTACCGAACCGTTCCGCATTCCATTTGCTGGGCGGGTTGATGTGGCGTGTTTCGATAAGACCGGTACCTTAACCGGAGAAGATTTGGTCGTAGAAGGCATCGCTGGTCTTGGTCTAGGCCATACCGGAACCGGTACACCCCGTGAAAAAGATGGTGCCCACAGCCATATCACTCCCGTGCAAAAGGTTTCGCTGGAAACTACATATGTGCTCGCCACGGCTCATGCTCTTGTCAAGTTAGACGAGGGTGATATTGTTGGAGATCCTATGGAAAAGGCTACATTGACCTCGTTGGGCTGGACTCTTGGACGAAATGACATTCTTTCTAGCAAGATTTCACCTGGTGCACCTTCATCCGCAGTCCAGATCAAGCGTCGATTCCAATTCTCATCTGCTCTCAAACGTCAAAGCTCCATCGCCTCATTAACCGCGCTCAATCCTCAGACTGGTAAGAAGGTCCGTTCTACATTTGTTGGTGTTAAAGGCGCACCAGAAACCATTATGAAAATGTTGGTTAAAGTTCCGGCCGACTACGAAGAAACATACAAATACTTTACCAGGAAAGGGTCACGTGTTCTCGCTCTTGCATACAAGTACCTCTCTACCGACTCTGAACTTGGCTCGGGTAAGATCAATGATTTGAAGCGCGAAGAAGTAGAGAGGGAGTTACATTTCGCCGGTTTCTTGGTCCTACATTGTCCTCTTAAAGACGATGCGAAAAAGTCCGTTCAAATGCTGAATGAAAGCAGTCACCGTGTTGTCATGATTACTGGTGATAACCCCTTAACAGCCATCCATGTTGCCAGAGAGGTTGAGATAGTCGATAGGGACGTTCTCATCCTCGATGCTCCAGAACATGATGACTCAGGGGAGAAACTTGTATGGAGAAGTGTTGATGACAGTATCAGCATTCCCGTCGATCCTTCCAAACCCATAGACAAGAAGATTATCGAAGAAAATGACTTGTGTGTCACCGGTTACGCTCTGTCTAAATTCAAAGATCAATCTGCTCTTTCTACCATCTATCGTTACGCATGGGTATATGCCCGCGTTTCACCAAAACAGAAAGAAGAGATTCTTACCGGGTTGAGGGATCTCGGTTATCATACACTCATGGCTGGTGATGGTACAAATGACGTTGGAGCCCTAAAACAAGCCCACATCGGTGTTGCGTTACTCAATGGCTCACAGGAGGATCTCAACAAAATCGCCGAACATTTCAGGAACAATAAAATGAAAGAGCTTTACGAAAAGCAATGTCAAATGATGACACGATTCAATCAACCAACGCCTCCGGTACCAGTTTTGATTGCACATATGTATCCGCCAGGACCTAAAAATCCACACTACGAGAAAGCTATGCAACGGGAAGCCGAAAAGAAAGGTACTACAGTGGCTCTCATGGAAACAGCTGCCAAAAAAACTGATGACGTGGAAACAATTACTTCACCTGCTGCCCAAGCACTTATTGATGGCCAACAAAATAAGCCTACGTTGAATGAAGCACAGAAGAAAGCAGCTAGCCTTGCTGATAAAATGACCCAAAGTTTGATGGACGCTGAAATGGACGACGATGAGCCCCCTACAATTAAACTTGGTGATGCATCCGTTGCTGCTCCATTCACCAGTAAATTGAGTAATGTCATCGCCATTCCCAATATCATTCGTCAAGGTCGCTGTACACTTGTTGCCACTATCCAAATGTACAAAATCCTCGCTTTGAATTGTCTTATCAGCGCCTACAGTCTAAGTGTGCTGTATCTCGAAGGTATCAAATTTGGTGATGGCCAAGTCACAATCAGTGGAATGCTCATGAGTGTTTGCTTTTTGTCAATTTCTCGGGCTAAGTCTGTGGAAGGTCTTTCCAAAGAACGACCACAGCCAAATATCTTCAACTTTTACATTATTGGATCTATACTTGGACAATTCGCGGTCCACATAGTTACACTCATATACATCGCCCGTTTCTGCGATAAAATTGCTCCGTAAGTGAAGATATCTTTCACATCCTTGAACAAGACATACTAATACTATTGCAGACGTGACCCAGATGTCGATCTCGAAGGAGAATTTGCGCCGTCTCTCCTGAACAGCGCCGTGTATCTCTTACAACTGATTCAACAAATCTCCACTTTCGCCATCAATTATCAAGGCCGTCCATTCCGTGAAGCGATTTCTGAAAACAAGGGAATGTATTACGGTATCATTGGAGTTTCCGCAATTGCATTCTCATGCTCCACCGAATTTATCCCCGAGGTTAACGAAAAGATGAAACTTGTACCTTTCACATACGACTTCAAACTAGTCATGACAACCACAATGATTGTCGATTATCTCGGCTGTTTCGTGATTGAGAAAGTGTTGAAAGCACTTTTCAGCGATTATAAACCTAAAGACATTGCGATCAGAAGGCCCGATCAATTGGCTAGAGAACAGAAGAGGATTGAGGATGCTAAGTTGGAGACCATCAAGGCGGAGGAGGAGAAAGCACAAAGAGAAATCGAGGAGCTAGAGAAGAAAGTTAAGGCGGAGGAGGAGAAAGCACAAAGAGAAATCGAGGAGCTAGAGAAGAGACTTAAGGCGAAAGGTAGAGCATAAATGTTGGCGAAGTAGATATAATACTCAGGTAGATTGTACATTATAGACTATTTTATCGTTTTGTACCAGCTGATTGATCTTGCTTCATGCACTTTGCAGCTTCATTGATAATATTCAGGACTCTGAGCTGAATTCCTTGATCAATGGAATGCGCTAAATGCGTTGCGTATGTGAGACCTACCGTGATACAATCCGTGATATACTTTGTCTCACCAACCAACGTTGTAACGGACCACTGTACTAGAGTATTCAGCTTCTCGTCCATACCAAATATGAACGAGGATGAGTATGTACTTTGATAAAGTCCGACATCTTTCTCCGAATACTCCGTGCGGAATGAGAATCGAAATGAATGAATGTGGATCTTGGCTCTTTCGGAACCAGAACCGCCCCCTCGATTTCGAGGACGGAATGCTTCATTTGTTCTTCTTGATCCTGAAAAACTGAGTTGCGGAACGAAAAAGTTAAAAAGTTGACGCTTGGTACTAGCGAGATTTGGAAGTCCTTTTTTTTCTTTGATAAAACATTAGTCATATTTATTCGAAAGAGGTTTAAATCTATTTTGTAAAAAGAAAGAAGTGTTTATGATAGTTGATAAACGATTCCGTGCCGCCTTCGTTGCTTTGCTTTTCTCTTTATGCAGGTTCTCTCAGCTCCTCGAAGTTTGTTTTTCATTTGACCAATATCAGAAATGAAAAAGCGGTGACTAATAAATCTGTCATCTGAGCCCCTGATGTCTACTGGGTATGTGGATAAAAATTTGGTCTAGACACTTGAAGCACAGATCCTCGAGCGTGTATTGATCCATTTCCAAATTGACCGGCTGCGCTTCCGGAATCGGCAGTCCAATGATGGAAAATGGCTAGAAATGTTTCACTCGCCACGCTGATGGTTCTATGATAGACGGCTCGGAAGACAGAATGCAGATTCCCCGTATGGCCATTTCAGCTACCGATAGAAAGCTTAATCGGTACAGACTGTACCACTGATACAGTCTTCTCGATACAGAAAGCATAATCTGCCCGCTCAATACCAATATCAATATATCAGAGAGAAACAAAATAGTCATGAACAGCTCAAATTTCATAACTAATGCGTACATAAAATATGGTATCTTTCATCCAAACCCAAATTCCATCACTAACATGCTAAACACCCCCGAAATTTTCATGCCAATCACAAACATGTAAAACTTCCTAAATCACAAATCTATGCACCCAACGCGAAAATACGCTCCAAAATTTCGTCATCGCTAGGTCCATCTCCTTTAATGGTTGCATATGCAGGTGCGAGCACGGCTTGCTCAATCTCCGTATACTTTCCATCAGATACGTATAGCATATCCCCCTCTCTGGTGGTAGTTGCCATCAAGTATGCGACGGAGCGTGCAACTACTAAGGTGGATTGAGCTTTGTGAGAGATGGCTGCCATTATTCCATCCAAATCTGGCAGGACTTGCGTGGAAGTCCAGGATGGAGCGAGAGTGTTGACGCGAATGGGGAGTCCGGCAGCTTTGATGGTACGTTGGATTGATCTTCCGAAACCCAGAACACCGGCCTTGGCGGATGCTGTCTAAGTTTAGTATATTTTTTGATGACGTTTTATTTTGATTATACTTACAGTAATCAGGGGCTCTCAATGGTTGTAAACCAGTGCTGGATCCCATGAGAACAATGTTACCACCCTCGGAGTTTTGTTTCAGGTAATGAATGCCAAGACAGGCAGTATTGACTACACTCGTGAAATTCACCTCAAGAGTTTCATGAATTGGTTCTTGAAGATCTCCGCTTTCATCTGACTGCAGGACCAAGTAATTGCCTCGGGGACCGACACCAGCATTAGCAAAGACATAATCGATACGACCATTATGTTCCTTGGCTTTCTTGAAAAGAGCAGCAAGCTCAGCCCATTTAGCCACGTTGGTTTGAACGAACAGGAAAGCAGGATTCGAGATTGGCTCTGGTGGTGAATTGATATCGGCGCTGACAACCGATGCACCCAATTCTAACAAGAGGTTGACGGTTGCTAAACCAATTCCTGAAGAACCGCCTACCATGAAAAATTATGTGAGTCTGGATTCGGGTTTAAAAAGTAACGGATATTCCCCGCGGTTGTGGAACCAACTTGCGTAAATTTACCTACCTGTAACAATAACAACCTTGCCTTTGAGGCTAGTCAAGTCTTCATCTTTGATGATAATCTCAGACATGATTGTGTGTAGCTTGGAGTTTGCTGGTGAATTTGACGGTGCAATGAAATGTTGAGCTGTGGGAATTTTTGAAATGGACGTTTTTGGATCGGGACTTTTGTAGAGGCGATAGGAGGCTTAATCAATACACAGAAAGTCGTTTTGTGACATGTGTCAGGTGGTGCCATTCAGGGAACTAACTATTAATATTTGGAGAGCTAATTATTTAGTACGGAGTAATGCCTCATGTTTGACACTTTGAGCGTGTCTCGTTCGTGCTTGCTCTCCATAGACGGGGACTAGCACCGGCCCTTCGCTAAGGACAAATTCCTCTTTTCAGTGGACCTCTTTAAGATTAAATTTCAGATCTTTTCCCTAGGAAGAACTTATATTCTAACCTCTTAGCCGATCACGACAGAAGAAATAAATTACGCCAATCTCTGTTGTGTGTAGATCTAGTACCTTCGAAGGAAATCCAAACTAGAATACTCGATCTCGTTTTAGATATACAACAGACAAAAATTTAGCCGAATGCATATTTTCGACCCCCTAAATCTTTACCTGGAAACAATTGATCTTTGATTTCTTAATATGATATTTTCTTATATGGAAGGATATTCTCTTTCAGATTGCTTGATTTACTTGCTCATCAAGTGAGCCCCGCACTCACCCAAAACGGGACCAAGTAATGTATTCTTATATTGCAGCTCACACGTTGGAACAAGGATACCTAGGTAGCGTCCTCCGCTTTTTCCTATTAACAACCGTTGGTCGTTTGGAAGCGGCAATTGCTGATCCTAACTGGCAATCCCACTTTTGGATTGTTGAATTTGGATGCTGTCCCTTATCGAGGCCCAAAAGATTTAACGGTCCCCATATCTAATTCCAAAAGAGTTTCCCCTGAAACGAGCGCCGAGCGGGGCAACAGGCACATAACCTTTTTGAGTTCGACGGCCTTGTCAGCATGATTCTTCTTTCTTTTTAATTAATAGTGCAATATTAATCGTCATGCATGATGTGCACAAACTATTGCTGCAGTTACGAAGACGAATTCCGGGGGACAAAGAAGAAAAGTGAACGGCGATGTTGAAAATATGCTGCCGGGTTACCCTGATTAGCTGGACTCGACTTCTACGGGGTACATGGATAGGTTTCTCGAACCTCTGATGAACATGTTCGGAGTTTATACGAAGTGGATGTTAAACATTTATTCATCTTTTTCAATTCATTATTATGAACTAACTATTCGATATTTTAGAAAGTAATAATATCTCTTCTATACATGTTTTGAGTTATAACAAATGATATATCTGGTATGTTAATTAGAATTGTATAAAATAAATTTCAGTACAAATTAAGTTTTTCGGGTAAATTTTACTTCTGATATTGTAGATATGTTATAGACTGGGAATTTCCTGGTCCACCATGAATTGTTTTTTGGTGCTCGTCCATCGTTCAAATGATAACTCAAAATGACAGCCTCTTTTTTCACATCCACATCCACTCAATCTTCAAGTTCGAGGGCTTGAGAGAGGGTTCCACATCTCCCGACTTGCCGGAAAAGAAATTTATCCTCGGGGATTTGTGGACCTATGACAGGACGGCAGTGCGTTGCAGGGAAGAGCATGAGGAGGGCTCTTGGGAAATTCTTTTAATCGATTGATATCTTCACTTATTTAATCGTACGAGTATGTCATCAAGCTGTCTTTCTTACATCACCACTACCACGTTCAAACTGTGGTTCTGCGATAAATAAGTTTCTGCAATCATGTCGAAAATCGCAGGGGACGGAGTGGCACTTTTCTGGGCTTCGACATTGCTGCTGGCGCTATGTTGGATTACTTTTGCTTTGCGGGCCGGAGTCAGGGTATGGAGGAAAATTTGGGGCGTGGATGATATCTTAATGATGGTGGGAATAGTATGTTGCATCCAGTTTTCCCATCTTCGAATATTCACATGCTAATAATGAATAGCTACTTTTTACCGTCACTGCTAGTCTATGTATTGTGTGCTCTTTCCACGGAAGTGGACAAAAAGCTGTCATGTTATCGGCCTATGACATCGGCCGTGGAACTAAGGTACGTATCAGGTTTCTTATATATTAAAATCCAGGTTTCTAAACATCCATACTAATCATTACTCAAAGCTCTTCTTTATTGCCGAATTCTTCTACGCTTCCAGTGCGATCGCCGTCAAGTGTAGTATTGCTGTCACTATACTTCGTATTGCCGATACTCGTCGTCGCTATGTTTACACTATCTGGGGAATTATGATTTTGAGTGTCATCTCCGACATTGTTTTCATCATTGGCATCGCAAATATTTGTCATCCAATCAGTACCTTATGGGGCGAATCAAACGGGACATGCAATCGCCAGTTGAACAGTGACATTAGCTTGTTCTTTTCTGCTATCGAGATTTTGACAGATTGGACTCTGGCCATCTTGCCTGGCTTTCTGTTGTGGAATATCCAGATGAAGAGTAGGGTTAAGATGTCTGTGGCTTGTATTCTTGGATTAGCTGCTCTGTAAGTTTTTTTGTTAATACTCGACAAGTTGACTTGATTGATCTTGCTTGATTATATCAAGCTTTAGCTAGAGCTATAACAGTGTGGCTAATACTCCTTTAGTGCAAGCTGCGCAACAATTGTCCGACTTCGCTTCCTGAGTCTCTACAGCGACCCCACCGAATTCATGTTCGGCACAGGTAAAATAGGTCTCTGGTCCATCATCGAAGAAGGCATAGGAATATTTGCCGGTTCACTTCCCGCTCTTCGCCCTTTACTCTCTCTCCCGTTTCTTAACCTTAGTACCACGGGCAGATCCAATAATCCCAGCTCGAGTAAAAATGGAAATGTTCCCCGGACACAAAATCACCAACATCGTTCGGATATCAACATGGATACATTTGCTCATTTGGGAGATTCGGATGTCGAAAAAGACGGGGATGGGGATAGTCAAAAACACATCCTGAAGGAAACGCAAGTTTCGGTAACGAGTGATAGTAGACGTTCTGCACCAGGAGAATGGGAACAAAGTCAGATACTCGGATGGAAGGGCAATAGGAATTCGACGAGAGCTGTTCAATAAGCAACAATTTCATACACACGGGACATACACGAGACATTCTGAAGAAAACTCGCATCGAACGGGACGAGGAACTGGGTAAACGAAGAAAAAGAGGCGCGTAGTAATATAATATACGAAGATCTTGTACGATGAATATGATACCTGGGTAAGATGACCTGTTCAACTATGAATGGATATCAAAGATAAACCCGCGCGGCGTCGCTTTTGGTTTTAAGCATCTTGACGGAGTTGGATTTGCATCGGTTCGTAACCTAAGAAAGCGCTGGGGTTCATCGTCTAACTAATTGGGGGAATGGGCGGGCATACGGAAAGGATAAGGGGTTATATCAGGTTATTATACCATTGTGGCCATGACGGGTTTCGGTCGAACTCTGCTGTTTGATATATGTGCAGTGTCAACATTATATAGCGTTATTATTATATTATACTTGAAGGCGTGGTTGACTCGTGGCTATGAGATGAGACTATGAGACTGTGAGACTTCTCTGTGGCTATTAGTGCGGTTTTCGCAAGTAGACGCTAATTGCAGATGATCTCACGTTACATAGGGCCTAGTCATCTAGTTGTTTCAATACATTAGATATATCTTCATGTCTTCAAAGATATATAAGATCTTACAATAAGTTTGATATTCAATCACATTGTCAATTGATATTTGATATTTGATATTTGATATATGTTGATTGATACAATGAATAAGTGTGAACAAACTTAAAGCCTAGACCATAAAGGTAAGCTCACTCTCTCACTGAGCAGGTGCTATCCGCCAAGTGAATAGGCCTCAAAGAAACCTGGAAGCGGGCCTTGAGAACGCGACCACCAGTACCACAGCATCTTCCAACACCACAACACGATACGTCTAGCCCCATGAATCTTTTCTCTTCACAAATTCCTTTGCGACGATTTTATTCCGGTTCTCTTTAGCTCGGTGTCCTCTGTGTCAATTGAGAACTAAGGAATCAAGATGGTTCAATGGAGGAGGTTGTTTGGTTGGGATTCAAGGTATTTGTTTTTCCCCTGGTGTGCGAAAGCTACCTATGATGCTTCAGGAGTTCTCAGAGTTCTCTCATTGATAGCGCGATATGGAGGGGTACTGATAGTTCTATGATTAGCTCAGATCAGCATTTTTGGCGCGATGAAGCTCATCGTCGTAAGTTTTTCCACTCTTTTCATTTGATTCTGCATGAGTCGCACAACTAATAATTTCTAGTTCTTCCCTCATACCATGAAGATGAAGTCCCCAGCGCAATCCCACCTCTCGAAGTCACCAAAACCGCTCTTCGTCTTCGATATCTTATCGAAGAAACTGTGCCATGTGAACTCGAAGAAGCAAATGTCGTTTGCGCACATTCAAAAATTATCACCAGAAAGGTTATTGCAGCGGCGAAGGAAGCAGGTGGGAAAGAATATGGTGCCTGTGTAGTTTATGCGCTGTTGGTTTGCAAGAGGTGGTTTAAGAAGCAAGCAATGTTGGAGTTGTGGGATGCGGATTTGCATAATGTGAGAGCTGTGGCTTGTGAAGTCATTGCGAAACAATTGTGAGTTTGGTTGGGATAGTGTCGGGAAAGATAATATACTGATAAGTGGCGTAGGATTGAAACAGAAGACAACCAGGAATACCTTTTACAGAATGTGCTACTGAAGAGATACTCGATATTGGTAGATGGTGAACAGACTACACCTGCGAATGTTATCGAAAGAGCGGTGGATCTGCATGCCCTACGTGTTACCGGCTCTTCTGGATATCAGAAATGTGTCAATTATCTCTGGCGAGGATGGCTCGTACAAGATGAGAATGATCCTTCTCAGTTTGTGGATTACAAGCAGAAAGATAATACACATTACTGGACTCACGTTGATCCAGACCGCATGCGCGCACCAATATATCAGAATGCGACCCAAATAATCTTCTCCTTGATGTACCTGGCTTTGTACACCGGTGCCATCAATACAGTCAATCCAAAAGGAGATTTGGACATTGTAGAAATTATTCTCTATACCTTCACGGCTGGTTTCATCTGTGATGAGTTCAGCAAGTTTTGGAAGGTTGGAAGAAATTATATTGGATTCTGGAATGTTTTCAATGTAATTCTCTACGCGCTTCTGACTACAAGTTTGGTGATGAGGATTATTGCCCTGGGCCATCCACAAGAAGAAGACCGGGATGGGCAGAGACAGAAGTACAATCAGCTTAGTTATAACTTCTTGGGTATGTTTAAACTTTCATTTTAATGGTTGAAATAAGTGCTGACGTTCAAAGCTTTCTCCGCTCCAATGTTCTGGATGAGATTACTACTTTATCTCGACTCCATTCGCTTCTTTGGCACTATGCTTGTCGTTATCAAAGTAATGATGAAAGAATCTCTCATCTTTTTCGCTCTGCTATTTTTCATCATCGTCGGTTTCTTACAAGCATTCATTGGTATGGACATGGCCGATTCTCACGTCGACTCTGCTGCATTCATTCTTCAAGCCATGGCCAACGCTGTAATGCAATCTCCAGACTTCTCCGGCTTTGATAACTTCGCTCCACCTTTTGGTATTATCCTCTATTATATTTTCACATTTCTCATTATGGTCGTTCTTCTGAATATACTCATTGCGCTTTACAATTCGGCTTATGAGGATATTACGGATAATGCTATCGATGAATACATGGCACTCTTCTCTCAAAAGACCATGCAATTCGTCCGAGCCCCTGACGAAAATGTCTTCATCGCACCCACCAATCTCATTGAAATCTTTTTTCTTATCCTTCCATGCGAATGGTGGATGCCAAGAGAACAATACGCGAAGCTTAATGATTATGTCATGGCAGTCATCTATTCACCATTATTGTTAATAGCTGCATGGTTTGAACGGAGAAGCGCAATCAAGGTTAGCGGCAATAGAGGCCGTGGTGAGGAAGATGATGATACAGTGGAGGAATGGGAACAATTATTCGGCGAAGTAGATTTTGAGGGAGAAGGTTGGGAAAAGACTGTAAAGAGCGTTAAACCAAATGTTGAGTCTGATGAAGCGACGGTAGAGGTTAGAGAGTTGAGAAAGGAAGTTGCGGAGTTGAAGGATTTGCTGCTGATGTTGGTGAAGGAGAAGGAAGGGGGTGGTAGTGGAAGTCGTAATGGTAAGGGCAAGAGTGCAAAATAGACCATTAGAGGTAGAGGTCAGATATAGATAGATAGTGGATAGTGGGCAGTCGGGTGGAAATATCCGCGTTCCTGGACTCGGTTATAGGAGCTAGCTTTGGGGTTTCTAAGTGCAAAGGGGTGAGGGGGCAATGCTATGTGGAAAAGCGAGTATTGCTTTTGATTGCTTTGCTTTTACTTTAATACCAAATTGTAAATACTCGAAATTCTAAAAGGTGTAGCACTATTACTTGCTACCCCCTTCCATGACATAATGTCACGGAAATCATGTGCTTTCATGTGAATTCATGTGATCTCTAACATCCTAGTACTCATTCGCTCATGCTTTCCTTATATCTGATCGATATCATATGATTATATTGATCTTCTGCTTTTTACAAAAACTTTATTATCTAGTCTATTTCCTTATCAGGATGATCGTCGGCTAGATAGTTTATTAGATCTTGTATATATAAGACCCTTGATTAAAAAGAGCAAGGGCAAATCTATTTATTTCAATATTATCTTATATACTTTTATGTATTATCTATCCCAAGATTGTTTATATACTTTGTGATCATACTATCCGTTATACATAAGTATATAGGTATCGTGGTAACATGGTATAATTTTCAAATCACCAGCACATTGCGTATTTCGATCGCTAGGTTAGAAGATTAGTGTTACGAGGGTTGCGATCTAGATCACGTGGAAGTGGCCTGGATCCTCGAAGGGTTTATAACTAGGCGTCAAACAGGGGCTTTTAAAATAATATCAATGATTGCAATTCGTACCTAATAATAGAGTGTACTAAATGATTGATTTTGAGCACGAAGCTTTATAATAAGGAATCCTTCCTGGTTATATAGATCTTCGTGCCTAGAAGCCATAAGAGTTTTCAACCTTCAATACTCCTTTGGAGCTGTAGGAGCCTTCGAACCTCCAATACTCCATCATATGATTGTGTAATTGTTATCGAACCAGATCTAAGTTTAACAGGCCCTGTGCATATTTGTTCTTTACACCACCTTAATCCCATACTAAATCGATCAAATCGTATCTCGTAAGCACACAATCGGTTAGTATAAGATCCATGGTCGTAATAATTAGACGGTTGAGGGGTTTTAGTATATCTGATATGTTCAGTTAGGAGATAACTCTAGATGGGGAAGGAAGTAAATGAATAGATTGATTAACTGCTTGATTATATAATAAAGTGTACCGAGATTTCATTTTTTATAACAAATTATCTTTTTTTTAAATTATTCCTATACTAAGAGTTCTGGACTTTCCTCACTGTACACCGTGATGTTTTGTAACAAAATCTCTACAAAAATTATATTTTTGTGACGTACAGGAGCCTCACAAGAGCTGAATAAACAGGGTCAATTATATTCCTTAGAATCTATAGCTGAAGAATTATGGCTCGTGAGGAGCATCCATATATATATACAAAATACCTATACGGTAGCTGTATGGTTGTGCACATCCTGTCTTAGGGTGATCATAATCCTATACTAAAAAGGGTAAATCTGGTCAGTTGTGTACAGGAAAGGGAATCACGTGATCGTTCTTATAGTTCGAGATCCGTAACATACAGACCACCAACTCGGCTGTTGTTGGCATTCTAGGGTACAATAGTTGAGATCTATATTTAATCTATGTTCTTTTAAATTCATCCTAAAGCTTTTCGATAAACCAAGGCCTAAAAGAACTCCATATCTATACCAGAGCTGGAGCTGCTCACTTCCTCCCAGACAGAAATTCCCCCAGCTATACGCATTATGTCGAGCTTTTCACAGTTCCCCCTGCTCCCGACCGTGTTATAGCTCCTTATATGGTACTTTGCATTAGGACTGCAAGCAGGAAACATCGTTTCAATTGAACACTTACGATATGCACATCCTAGAAAATTCAAACCTCATGCTCTATATTTTGTGAACTGCGATTCACGCAGAACATATCTCGAATATCACCAAAAAAAACTTGGCCCGCTATCCAAGATTGGGAACTGTATTCTTTGGCCCACGAATAGACATAGTTTTGCTGGAGGTGTGTTCGTTTAATTCGACAAGCACTACTTTGTTACAGATCAGAGTTCTCCGGAGGCCAACATCATGAAAGATGTCCGCAATGTCTGCATCCGTACTTACTATGAAATCGGTGAAATTCATGAGGCGCTACGAATGTTTGATTTCGTGTTCGGCCATATGATAGCATGGATTTTACCATCCCTTGAAACCTTGATCTATGACCCGGGATGTGAGCCGTGATTCCCTGGACGCAAATCATCATATGGAGGGCACAATGGGAATTGGGATCAAAATTTGTCGAGCCGATTTCCAGGAGTGTTTTTTCCAGCAGATATGCGAGAATCTGAAGGAATGTAAGCGCAGCGGCCTGAATCCTAAGTGGAATATCCCAAGAGTACTGTCGACGCTCGATATCCACGGAGAAACAGTCGACGTACAGACAATCTTGCGGCAATGATAGCGAAGCAAGTTTTTGAATCGGTTGAATTTCAAGTTGAGATACTCATTACCAGGGAGGAGTGCAGGGAAAATTGTTGCTAGGATTACAATATTGAGGATTTTGTTTGTGATATGAATATCAAATGAGACAACGGCGGGTTTTGGAGTGAATGAAAATTTGTCAATTAGGGATTTTAGACTTATTTGATAGAGACTTAGGATAACAGGAAATGTGAATCTTCGATCGCTACCTTGGCAAGTGGATATTGAATACAGAGTGTAGCACTCGAGTAGAACAACGAGTAACGAAGATTGGTTTAGATCACCGCTTGGGATACAATATAATATTTTTAACGTCAAAGAAAACAAGGTATGTGACAGCTTGAAGACAGAATAGCACCGTGAATACAAGTGAAACAAATAAAACAACGTCTGCAACATCTGGTAGTTGAATTGGTGAATTATATTGCGAACGTTAGAGAGTCATGGACAACAAATTCGTTAACCTTATTCTGGCCTCAGGCAAATTTCTTATCCAGAAAAATTATGGTGATAACGACAAAGCTATTTTGATGTGTGCCCCGAGGAAGCAGTTCGCCGCGAATCCAACATTTATGATCTGCTGGCCACAGTGATAAGATCGAAGCACCAACCTAACACGGGCTAAATATTGACGCCATAAACGCCCAAATTCGGCGCCCAGCGTCCCCTCATCCACCATGCCTCCTCTCACAGCAATCCACCCCGCCCTCTCCTTCACTCGAGCTTTCACCTCCACAGCTCGAATTCTCGCAAAGTCCACAAAACAAAGGCTAGCAGCTGAGCACGCAGAAGTCCCACCATATCCATACGGGCCCTCTCAATTCTACAAACAATCCAATTTTGGTCTTTACGGTCTCCAGAAGATTCGCTATGGAAATATAGTCTCGAAGAAGAATGAAATCAAGACTAGAAGGCATTGGCGACCGAACGTTCAGAGAAAGCGTCTTTACAGCGCCAGTTTGGGGAAACATATCAAATTGAGAGTTACTACCAAAGTATTGAGGACAATTGATAAAGCGGGAGGATTGGATGAATATTTACTGGGGGAGAAGACGCAGAGACTAAAGGAATTGGGAATGGGGGGCTGGAAATTGAGATGGAGGATTATGCAGACGGATAGTGTGAAGGAGAGATTTAGGCTGGAGAGGAAAAAGTTGGGGTTGCCGCCGATGGAGGAGGTTCATTTGGATGAGAATGGGTTTGGTATTACAAAGGAAGAGATTATGGAGCAAGTGAGGAAATATGATGCGGCGATGGCAAGCAATGAAGAGGTTGTTATGGATGCAGAAGCACAGGCGGCGACAGAGTCGGAGATTTTGGAGGAAGATTTCATGGCCGAAGAGCAATATACGGAGAGAAAGCCAATATTATAGATATGAAATCGTGTATGATCAGGATGTATCAATATCTGTCGTGTATAAGTATATGCCCGACGTAGAATTACAATGCACATAGTGCTCCAGAGTGTTCAATCTCGAACTCATGGGATTGGTTGTATTTACCAGCTCAATGACCAGCTTGAAGTGAGAAATTTCCATGTTTTCTGGATCTGTGTAGTTCACTTAAATGTTCTCTTGTTTCACCAGATTATTCTTACTCTTTATCAATAGAGTCTACCATCATATTCATCAATCCTGGTTGTTTCTTCATCCTCTACATCTCTATTCTCCAAATCCTTATTATCCTCTTCCTCTTCGACATTCTCCAAGTCGTTACAGAGATGGAATGATAAAGAGATGATACTATGGATAGAACTCAGGGTTTATATCTAGAACGTTACTCGCTACATCTGCATTCAATTGTCCCTCAATGTCTCTCCCTGAATAATATATCCAATTATCTTTCATGGTCTTTCCATAGATAATAAGTCTTACATTCAATTATCCTTCTCTATGAATGTCGGTTCCAGTAGTGATATCTCGGTAACCTCTCCTGGGCTCCTTTCAAAGACTCTATCCCTTCATCCCACATTGTATACCAAGGAAGGAACCACCAACAGTCATAACAATTAGATAAAGACACAGTTTTCCGAACCACAACGCCAAATCCACGAACAGTCTGAGATATTCATCCCCTAGGTCCTGTTGACTGGGCTCATCGCTCTCCTCGTCAATTGTTTTTCCTGCAAATGAGGCGATATTGCTCAAGCTGAGCAAATACCATAGATTCCAAAAATTGAATGAGAAGTGTATTATGACAGATTGACATTGATTTATTCGAGATCAGGATGAAGAAATTGACGCATACCACCACCCGAGCGACCACAGGTTCACTTTAATGGTTACATCGAGCTCGTTTGGCGCGCTCAGCCACGACAATACCACCTTGTGGTTACACATGCTTGCCCCACATGAAGGTGCAATAATTTGTATCAACCTCATCTTGCTTTTCAAATATCTTTTACATGAAGGTGGTTACAATGCCAACTTGGGAAATAGCGCCATTGAAGGGTGGTCGTATGGAGCCATCCTACGCTGTTCCTGGAGGTTTGTTTGAATTATTATCTCATTAAATTTATCTATATTTCTAACCTAATATGTGTCCAGAAGAGCAAACAACCCAACGAGCGCCAAAGTACTCCTCAACCTTAGAAAAAAATGAATGTATTAAGATGATCAGGTATCACCAGATCTCAAGCAATCCAGTCCACTCTGGGACTTGATATACTTCCAGGAGCGTGAGAATCATACCACACTCTAATCTATTTCGTCGCCATCAGTCTATCCTTCAACATCTTATCCAGAGGTGCGATAGCAGACTCGTAATCATGAACATCATCCTTTTCTAGCACAGACTTTCCAGCTGTCATGATCATGCGCTCTGGTGCTGGTACACTCAAGTATGGCTTAACCCTTACTCTGCGTGCTGTTCTGAAAACTCTCATTTGTTTGACAATGTTGTTCATTTCGTTCTCGATATCATTGTCTCCGTTTTTCTTGGCCTCATTGCGGAAGCTATGTTCAGCAATTGTTTCGCGGAATTTGCGCTGTAAGTTTGGAATGTAGCGTTGTGTGTTCTCCTCATTCAAGTACCTGTCAAGTCCCAAGAAAGCATCCATAATTTGCGGTAGCAGCAATTGGTTACCGGAAAGTCCGTCATATTCAGTATATTCTCCGGTGGTAGGGTCGATATCACCAGCAGCCCAACCTTGGAATCCTTGCGCGTAGTGCATCCAGACTTTTCGTGAGATCTTGGATTCGTGCATGGTTTCGTAGTCAGTCTTTAAGGGTATGCGCAGCTCCTTGTTGATTCCTTTAAGCGATTGCAAGGTGCCAAAGCGATCGCCATTATAATATTGTTGGATGGCTTTAGTTACCATGTGATAGATCGGGAGAGCTTCTCTTTCGATGTGAGGAAAGACATGACCGAAATGGTATTCAGCAGATTGGATGAGCTCGTCCATGGTGGGATTGATAGGGTAGACAATTTGATCCTTATCGTCAAAATTACAGAGATAGTTACTTGCGACATTGCCTCCTTGAGATATGGCCAGGTAAGGTCGAGACAGGCTGGGAAGTCGATGACTTTTTCTTCCTGGGCAAGCTTAACTATAGGAATTGTTCCCCAACTTCGTTATGTTAGCGAAATTCCGTTGTTTACGACAAACAATGAGGGGTACTTACCGGAATGAGTGTCTAGACAATGCAATACAAGCGAAGAAACCATTCCAAGCTGCACGCGATAGAAAGTTCTCATCGTTTTCAGCTGCATCTAACAGAGCCTTTACCTCGTCCATATTGACTTGATCATTGTAGAGTGTTCTCATCTGCACGCGGAAGTCCAAGCATCTCTGAAAGTTCTTTAAATCATCAGCGCTAAGTTCTGCAGTTGAAAGAGCAGGTGCCATAGCTTGATAGATGTCGTGGAATGGTCGAAGAGTCTCTGGCCAAGCATCACCATACACTGTTGTAGGAGGCCATGTTCCAGCTCCATCAATTTCGACCAAGTCCCGAAGAGAGTTCTGGGCGGCATGAGGCTCGTATACAATGGTTTCAATAGGAGAAGCATATGCGTTCCCAGATTGAGCTTTTCTTCTGTTTGATCTTCCAAGTATGGCTTTGCGGTAAAGATTGAGGAAGAGGCCGAAAACGGCAACGGGGAACAGGCATAAGACAGATAATTGAGTATTCGCTATGATCAAATCGAAGTTCAACATCTTGGCAAGATTGAAAGGATGAATATGATGAGAAAGCAGAAAATATTTTTGGAAGGGAAAGTCTTTGTGTTCGAAAAGATGTCAATGATTGGATTTCTAAAAATTTATGAAATACAATGATTGGAAGGACGATTAAAAGGAAGATTGTTTGATGATTGAATTATCTTATCTTGAAGAAAAGTAAGGGGATATTTAAGGATTTCTCAACAGCTTTCCATCACCAATATCAACAAGCTATACTCCTCATTTGCCATTATTGAGTTACAATTGACTTCTACTCCTTTGGCTAGCAGGAGTCATGATGCGAATTCCATCACAGTAAAATCTATTCCTACTAAGAATGGTCACTATTCTGACATCTCCTTTGTCGAATGTTACGATGTTCCAACTTTGGCAATGCAGCATCAAAGCGTTCCCACTCCGATACGACCTAAAACCGCTGGCTCACTAGTTTCAACTATCTCCATAAGTTAATTCTCCTGAATTCCCAAATATGCATGACTGATCGTGGCTTCCATAGCTGCAGTGTGGAAATCGCGTACAGATACCTTCATGGTCTATAGCCTTACAAGAAGAAGCGAGCCTATCAATGATAGCACAGTTACGGAATACACTTTCAATGAAATAGAGGTAACATCAACTCCGGCCGGGCTTGCTATAATATGGCATCATTTTTCGACCTATATGGGACAAAATAATGCTGGGCGCTTATTACTTGGTCAGCTTAGCGATCACATGCATGGAGCTAGGAGTTTTGGGATACCTTCTCGTTCCTACTTGCAAACAACTTACGTAGTATGACATTTTGGCGGTAGTAATTTCAAATGCAAGTCAGCTATGAAGCTGGACAATGAATACTGCGGGAAATTTCTAACTACTTACACTTTTGGCAAGCCATGGTTGACGGTTGACGGTTGACGAGCACATATGATTTCCGCGAGTCTAACTGAGTCTTATTCGACCAGACACCTGAGAGATGCATCGGCAAAGCAGACTGTTTGACGCGAAGCATAATCCTGATTGTTTGTATTTGCTCAACGTAGATTCGCTAGATATGGTGGCATATCTAGGCGCCTGTTGCATCTCCAGGACTGCGAGATCAACTACTTCCAGTCACGGAGTTTTATCTGTTGTGTATCAGATCTGGAGGCTCACTACATGAGGATGATGAATGGATATAGGGCGATTTCATTGCGTTTTCCGCTAGTGCTGGCTCAATGTAAAATCGTACCCCAGAGGACATCGTTCACGTCACGAAATATCAGATTGCATAATGATGAAAACAATTACGATTAGGTTAACCACTGTGAACGAGTCAATAAATACACGCTCGACATTTCATTTTACCATTACATGTTATATTGTGAACATTCGAAGAGGATCAGTGCTATTCAGAGACACAAATACACGTTTTCTGCAGCCTGGAATTGATGAGATACTCCTTTGAGCACCATTCAACTGGGTCAAGTATGGATTTCATTTTTCGAGTGGCAGGTTTAGGGAAAGGGCATTTAGAGTTTGTAGCCGTTTTGAAGGTTCTAAAATGGAGTCCAGTGACGTTTCATTGATTTATATTCCACTTTATTTTGAAACTGGGCCGCTTATAGCCAAAGAAGGCACAAGAGTCCCATAATCCATCATAGAGAGTGGTGCAGATAATGGAAGACTCTTCTCCACGAAATTGCGACAATTCCGAACTTGCTGCGCTTCAGTAAGCTTCAGATACGATTACTGCTATTTATCCTTGCAAAATCCTTACCTGTGAACCTTCGCCGTTTGACACTCGGTATCTCCCAGCCAGCCGGTTCCAGAACTTGATGAATCCTCACTCCGCAGATGCATCTCACGAAGTCTTACCGCTCTCTTGGATTGGAGCCGTGTTCCTGGTACTGCAAGGTTTGACCCGAGGTCAACCACCGATGATTCTAAGAACTTTCAGTTGTAGACCCAGAGTACACAACGAGAGTGTGAGGCAATTCCACAAACAACTTTTTCGTCAGATTTGCTACGTTTTTCTTTGATGTTTTTACATAATTGCTCGAGTAATTATGGGTGCTTTGGTGAGATGTCAGATATTGGTGGGTTTAGCGAGGCCGGAGGTCTTGGTTCGGTTAGCAAAGGGCTGGCACGTAGGGGGAAGGGAGTTAAGTTAAGTGCATAGTCAGAAAGGTGAGGAAAAGAGCCGAGTTCATTTTGATGAAGGTTCAGGTCTTGGAAAGATATATATCTATATTCAGGTCTTTGGGAGACTCGGATTTATATCTCCATTCATTTGTGTCTTTCTCAACTGTTCTATTCATTCATTTTGTTGTTGTCTCCGGTAGCAAACAAAATGGAGTCTTTAAATGGAACTACGAGAGTGGTGGCGTTTGATTCGCCGGTCTCTACATTTGGTCCCTACTTGACCGGCCCAAAATTGGCCGGCGGCCTTGCCATTGCCCTTGTCCCATTCATATACCAAATTATCTACTACCGATTTCCATCCTCTAAAAGACTTCGATGGTCCCTTTTGGGGATCAGTAACCAGACTTTGGCACACATATCAGAACATCAGGGGTATTGAATTAGAGACTTATGACCGCTTGCTCAAGGAAAAGAATAGTATGTACAGGAACGCTGCTTGAAACCCTTCCAATGCTAACAAATAAAAGCAAACATTCTTCGAATTTCTCCAACTGAGCTACTGATTCCTTCAGCTCTCTCTCTTCCAAAAATTTACCATCATCAAGCTGTTAAGACAAAATGGTACGTAACTGATGCACTCGGCCCTGGCGAGTCAGTCTTTAACATGCAACAACACTCCCATCACGCTCATTTCCGCCGCTTGATTGCTGGACCATACTCCATGTCCAAGATGGTCAAGAATGAACCTCTCATCGATGAAATTATCATCGCTTAGATCAAAAAACTAAACGAAATGTTTGCTGAACAAAACAAAGCTTTTGACATGTCAAGATGGGCAACTTTTGCTGCATTTGACGTTATCAGTTTGGTTGGATTTGGAGAGGCCTTTGGATTCGTCGATACTGCTAGTGACGTTGATGATTTGATCGAGGAAATCCACAAGGGCTTCTTCTATTTCGGTATTGTTGGAAGATTGTACCCTTTTGTTGATTTCATCAAGAAGACTTGGCTTGGAAGATTCCTCGTCTCTAGCGAAAAAGACAAGGGAGGGATGGGTTTCTTGATTAGATGGACAAACAGAATTATGAAAGCTAGACAGAAGGAAATTGCCGAAGGAAAGAACAATGAAAGGGTTGACCTGTTGCAATCGTATGGCAATCTTCCTTAAATGTTTCCGCAAATGCTAAAGGAACTAGATTCTATGAGGCCCGTGATGCCGATGGTCAACCACTCACCGAAGACCATATCCGAGCCGAATGCATGCTCTTATTCACAGCTGGTGCCGATACTACCGGAACTACCATGGGAGCAATGATGGCATACCTCCTGTCCAATCCAACTGTCTACGCCAAAATGATTAATGAAATTGACGCTGCTTTCGAAGGTGGTGTATTATCTAGCCCAGTTCCAGCTGCATCAGAAGTTTCCAAAAGCTGTCCATACTACGTTGCCTGTGTCAAAGAATCCCTGCGTTTATGTCCTTGGGCTCCTAATATTTTTCCTCGTCTCGTCCAAGCTGACCATGCTCCTCTTGTAATCGATGGAAAAACTATCCCAGTCGGAACTGAAGTTACCAGCACTGCATATATGGCGAACCGTGATCCAGCAGTTTATGGAAAAGATGCGGAAGAATTCAGACCAGAAAGATGGTTGGAAAATGATGGAGAAGCGGGTAAGGTTTTCGATAAATATCTTGCTACTTTCGGATATGGTACTCGTAGCTGTTTGGGTAAGGATCTTGCAATGATTGAATTGATGAAGGCTCCTTTGATGGTAAGTAATCTTTCCTGACGCGTTGGCTCCTTATATGGTCCTGTAGTAACAATCATTAGTTTTTCCGCGCATTTAATCCACGACTGTGTCTCCCAAGCAAGGAGACCCCATCCCCAAAACGTATTTTGGTCGGTGCCATGTTTTATTGGGATGATATTTGGATGAAACTTGAGAAGAGAGAAATTCCTGGATTTCCTTGGTGAACTTGTGAGATGAGCAGATAAGATAAGGATATAAGGATTTCACCGTATTCTCTTACAGAATTCAGGTAGGCTAAACAGGGATTCAGATGATAAAGTTTATATAGGTTAGGGTTCGGAGTATTTATTTCTCCTGTTAATCGGAATATAACCAACTGTTTGGCATTTTAATGCAAGAAAAGCCTCAGTTAAAGAACTTCACTTGGTCATAAAATTGAGTTATCCTTGTTTAATCTACATGGATTCTAGATAAGAAGACGGTGTACGCAAGCGTTTCTCGTAATATATTTGCATGCAAACCTTGCAATCCCACTTCGTAACAATAATTTCTGCATTGTGACCTTATTGAAAAACGTGGAGAAGAATACTACCCACACCAAATAAAGCGTGCTCTCTTTAATGCTGGATTTTATTTCTGTACTTGTGCCACAAAGCATGCGATTATGCAACGGCGATGCCGCATCAACGTTAAATTGACGTACAGCACACGAGTTATAGCGGAAGGAGTTTCCGCATAACGGACAACCTGCATAAAGAAAAAATGCTAAGGTAGGAATCAACAATCTTTCCTCCACCACCAGCTTTCATCATTTAGTTGGCGGCACGAAAAGCTGACGCTACAGCTACGTAAATGCGCATTTACCATGAATATATTACCAATCCTCAAAACCACCACATCAAACTCGTATCCTTCGAATCCTCTCAGACTTGGAACATCACGTATCAATGCCAAGTACCAATACTAAGCGCTCCGTAAAAGGTAGGTAAATTCTTACACGAAGTTTACTATGGGTTTGACCGGTCACACTCCCGCCGCAAGTCCTCATGAGGTAAGTGGTGTCGGGAGCCGTGGTCGGAATTGTGGGTGCAGCGTAGTACTCGGGCTCCAACTTCAACGACTTGGCGTTCGCTTAGCCCCTGGAATCTTTGGTGATATTAATTATTAATCGCGCTATGGAGTATGTGAGTATGGATGAAGGATATTTTCCCTCACTCTGTACGATTTTTAGAGATTTCTGAAAATCATGAAAATTGACGAAGTGTAAGGGAGAGGGAGAGTGGGAGAGCGATTTTATTGTGGTTGAGATGGTGTTGTTGATGTTTTGATGATTTTCCAGAGTAATTTCCGAGGCCGTGTTGTACTGTAGTGTTTAAACTTGTAATGAAGGGGTTAGCGCAAGATTCAGGGGTACATCGGGGCTAATACCAGGGGGATCGATTTGTGGTACTACCTTACCCAGGGTAATTGATCTCTACAGAGTACAAAGTACGCATCAAGCCAGATGGAGATGGGTACCTAGAGTACCACCTGTATTTTGTTAAGAGTTGTTGGTTCTCCAGATCCGTGGCGCCAAAGAAGATGATTTCCAATGAAGTCATTTACTTCCTCTCAAGGATGATGAGAGAGTCCTGATATATCTGGGGAATACATTTTCCGAAATCCAAATAATTTGTAAAATATTGCGTAAACAATAACCCCAGATACCCGGATACCAATCTGCCAGAACATTTTTGGGTAGAAAATAATGCCGGCCGGATTTCCCCTGGATTACCCCGGGTAAACCCTGTCCTGCACCTAACCCTAATTTATGGATAGATCGACAAACTACACCGAATGCAGGAGAACTGGTACAACAAAATATTGATTTCCAATAAACTTTGTAATTTTACAGTATTTATTCCTTTCATGGTACTTGTCGTTCCTATCGTTTGCTCCTTTCCTCCTTGACTTAAATACCTACTGCCGAAACGGCTAGTAATACATCATTTTTAATCTCGGATTTAAAACGATATTTCATTCGTTGACGCGTGTGCTTATAATTAATCAATTCTAATCCTTTAACGTTCGACATCCATAGTTGTTCATAGTACCTGGATACCACCCAACGAGTGACCCTATCTACAACCATGTTGTGGAAACAATCTACTGCGTAAGCCTCATCATTTAATCCCAGATACCCCGAACTGTGCTGATGAATTCAATAGGGCTGTCGCCGGTCTTTTATCTTCGGCGAAAGGCCTTGCACAACCCAAACTATCTGCACGTGCTACAGGAACAATCGACAACTATCTCACCTCGGAAAGCCCAGTCGCTCTTCAAGGTGTCTTGAATAACATTGGCCCTAATGGCTCCAAGGCTCCTGGTGCCAGTGCCGGAATTGTTGTTGCCAGTCCAAGTACAGTTGATCCTAACTGTGAGTCGATCAATACTAAGTCCTACATCAACTTGGCATTCGATACTAATTTCAATTAGACTTTTACACGTGGACTCGTGATTCGGCTTTGACTTTCAAATATCTAATTGATACTGCCAATTCAAGCTACCAAACTCTCATTGAGGATTATGTAACTTCTCAAGCAAAGCTTCAAACAGTCGAAAATCCTTCGGGAGATCTCGAGTCAGGTGCAGGTTTGGCAGAACCAAAATTTTACACTAATGAGACTGCCTTTTTAGGAGAGTGGGGACGTCCTCAACGTGATGGACCGGCTCTACGTGCAACAGCTTTGATATCCTTTGGAAATGACCGCCTTGCTTTGGGACAGAACGATACTGTCAAGGATATTATCTGGCCTATTGTTCGGAATGACTTGGCCTATGTCGCACAGTACTGGAATTTATCCGGCTTCGACTTATGGGAAGAGATTAATGGATCCTCGTTTTTCACTACCGCTGTTCAACACCGAGCATTGGTGGAGGGAACAAAATTTGCCACTGCCCTTGGAGAATCATGTGCAGACTGTGAGGCGCAAGCCCCTGAGGTTCTTTGCATGTTACAAAACTATTGGAATGGAACCAGTATCAATTCAAACATCAAGGTACAATCAACAACCTATGATCGTTCCGGATTGGACTGTAACTCGATCTTGACTTCGATACATACCTATGATCCTGATCCAGCTGTGGGATGCGACTCCACCACTTTCCAGCCCTGTTCCGACCGTGCTCTCGCAAATCACAAAGTGCTGGTTGATTCTTTCCGTTCTATCTACACCGTCAATTCAGATGCTTCAGCAGGTCAAGCAGTGGCTATTGGTCGTTATCCAGAAGATTTCTATCAAGGAGGAAATCCCTGGTATATGTGCACGTACGCAGCAGCAGAACAACTATATGATGCCTTGTGGACATACAATAGTACCAAAAATATCATCGTAACGGATGTCAGCCAGCCTTTCTTTGCCGACCTGGTCCCAGGAATAGAGAAAGGAACCTTTGCAAGTGACTCGACTCAGTATGCGGATATAGTCAAAGCCATGCAAGATTATGCAGATGGCTTCGTGGCAGTTGCCGAGAAATACACCCCAGAAGATGGAGCCCTCGCCGAACAATTTTCTCGCGAGAATGGCACAGCCTTAAGTGCAGGAGATCTTACATGGTCTTATGCATCATTCCTCACGATGCAACGTGCTAGAGAAGGAAAACCTGGTCCTAGTTGGGGAGCTGCAAGTGCTATTGCGAAAGGTGTTCCAGATAAGTGCTCGGGTGGTGGTGTAAAGGGATCTTATTCTACTCCTGCTGTTAAGGCATTCCCTAAGGATGAAGAGGGCACTTTCGGGACAAATAGTAGCTCGGCTTCAGCTGCTGGAACGGGAACAGCGACTGGTACCGCGACGGGTAGTGCGGCGAGTGCGGCAAAATCGAAGAGTGCCGGAAACAGACTTACGCCTTTGGGATTTCTCCGATTTTAGGAGTAGAGGGAGACTGTTTAGATGGATAGTGACTAGAGATTTTCTGAGATTTTGGGAAAGTTTTTCGTGAACGTGTGGTATGATATTTTTATGATGGTATACGTAATGGCTTGATTGAATTCTATTTGATGTTGGATTAGTTGTAGGGTATTGATGTAAGACTTATTTACAAGAGATGAGACACGAGGGGTACTTTCATACCAGATGATGATTAATTTTACTTCTGGATTCGGCTCTGCTATGTCCAATGGATATTCTATGCCTGTCTGGCTTTTATTAACTAATTAATTCTATGTACTAATTCATTATCTGAAACCCTCCTCTTTATGGATCTTTGTGGCTGACCTCTGACTTATTTTGAAGTGTCGAATATGATGAGATACGTGGTATTGTGGTCTGTTTTTAGCATTAAGACTGAAAATACTATATCTTTTTACTTCACAGCACTTGAACAGGAAAACATAATTAGCGAGAAAGTAAACCCAGCAGTACGGACATAAGTCAGCGAATACTAAATTTAATTATCCTATATATCAAAATCCAATACTTATAAATTACTCGGTGTAGTAATTCAGAAATTCAGAAGTAAGACATGTGTTTCAATTTCTCTTTGCGGTATATGAATAAGCAGATGAAGAAATAAAAAGAAACATGAGACGATAACGCATTAATCTTGAGACAGTAGCGGAGCTCGGGAAATGGATGGGATCGTGGGATGTTTTTATGCTGGATTAAGTACATTTATTATAGGGGGATGGGAAGACTTTTGATAATGAATCATTATTACTTGCTTAGAATTTTGTTGAATATACTTACTCGGAGTTTTGGTAGTTTGAGGAGAAATTCACAATAGAGAAGGTGAATGTCATGGGTCAAAGTAGACATATTTTCACGGGATAATTCACGATTAATTTATTTCTTTGTCGATGAATCTAAAATTCGCTTCCCGACGTCTAGAATAGCTATTTGTCCCACTGAAGAGACCTTTTAGATGACGTCAGACTTGAGAGGACCATAAACCTAACCCCCAGCAAAAATTGAACAACCATTTAGGACCTATCAACGCATAAATCCTCATTGAAAGTTGTTTCATATGTCAAAATGACTCCTCCAAAAATATGCCTCTCTCCCCATTGTTGGCCGATCACATCTCTGAGAGCCGTGCAATTCCTGTCGCATGCACTTGGATGCCCATTGTGGTTATCATTTCCCCTTGGGCACAAATACACTTTCTCCATCGACCACTTCGGATAAAACTCATATTTTGCACCAGCTGGGATTCTTCCAGATACTCCATTGTCAATTTCATGGACGGTATACTTGGTTTGAACTACCTGAAGATACTTCTTCTCTTTCAGCCATTCCGTCAACGATTTCAAACCGAAATAATATGCCTCCTGCCGAAGTGTAACGTACATCGCCTTATCATGACCCTTTAAATCGTCGTGGAGGATGGGAGGTTTATTCCGTCTCAAATATTGTAAGATGTGGCCGAAGAGAATAGGGTCGGCATCGAGAAAGTATGAACCATCTTTTTCGGGTGTGTTCCACGTGGGGGATAGGAATCTTCTGAAGAAGTCGGACTTTGAAGTCAATGTTCCGGCTGTGGTGATGAAACTTTGGGTGCCTACATGTAGAGTTATTCGGTCTCTTGCATCAATGTTGGGAGTGGTTGAGGACATTGTGTACTTTGAAATGTGGAATGGGTTGATATGAAGAAGTGTTTTAATGGTGATATGGTAAGAACAGTGTGCAAAATCCCAGCTTTTAGTATGATTTTGCTGAATGAAATATTACTGGGAGCTACACGAAATTTGTAGAAGGCTCTTGATGAGAAGAAAATAAGCAATAATTTCATGACCTTTAATGATGTTCATTGACCGTGCAAGAGCATTTGTCTCTGGCATTGGTGCTCAATGAAACCTTTGATGTTTTTGGTCTCATAATCGATGAAAGACCGTATGCTAGTCCTATTGAGTAAGAAATGTTCTAACCAAAGATTTGTTAGGGGATCGTGAGTATTATAAGTTGTAAAACAAAGTAATTCTTTCACTGACAAATTGCTAGGAGTCACCGCTTACAAAAGACTTCATATTCCCTTAGTATTGCCCCTGACTAACTTACCTTTGATGTTGGTGCTTACCACGGTAAATATCTTGTAGTTTCCATCCTCCTTTATTGCATGTTCAAATTTTTAGCAAAATCTAATAATGATGGTTCCACAGCACTCACTTCTAGCTTAACGCACTTGCGGCGACATCTAGGGAAATCTCGATGTCAACACACATATGGATTAGGACATCAAACTCTGGGTTTCACAAAAATTCTTAATAAAACCATTTTTGGGAATGGTGCCGACCGTTCTCATAATAAGTTTAAGTTTGAGAATAGTATACCAAAGACAGTTAAGATGGTGGAAGTTCAGGAGAGTAGCGTTGATGTAACTGCAATTCTGTGAGAGCCGAAGTACAATCAGTATGTCGTGGAGTTGAGAATAAACCAAGTGAATGAAATGGATGAGGAAGAGTGGAAGCAGGCGGAGGGCTTTTGGGAATGTATGGCCCAAGGTAGACCTCACCGATCACTCTTTATTGTCGTACCACTGATCTTTGGTGCGTGCGATAATGACGATCGTAGTATAGCAATGGAAGATGAGATTATTGATGGTTATGAACAAGGAGTGGAGGAAATGGAAAAAGTTAGGAATGATGAACATGAGGGCAATGATTCTGCAGGAGAGAGCGCTTTGGCAGACATGGCATCTCTCAGTCTTGAAGATGAGCAGCAGACTCGCGGCTCTTCCTGAATTGACGCACTGAGATATATAACACACATTGTTCCAAACTACCCACCGTGAAGTGTAACTGGATATGGAACGATATAGTACGATTCCAGTACAAATTCCAACTCACCTGTCGAGGGGATTTCTGCAAGATCCAGAATATTGGGAACGCTGCACGAATAAACAAGTCTGAAGATTGCTTTGACTTAATGTCCACAAGGCCAGAAATCAGAAACGAAGGATACAGTCGCCAAGATGTGCATGGCCGTAGGCTTGGTGAAGATGAGACAAAAGGGTTGATCTTGTTATTCGAGTAGAAATAGCATCTTCACTGGAAATACTCTGATTTAATCACATGGAAACTTCATATTGGAGAAGTTGGAGAGATGAGGTTGATATCGATGTGAACTTGTAACGAATCGAATGAATAAAAACACGTGCCATAGCGATAAGGTTAGCATAGCTGAGTCATCATATTCACATGCCAATCTTCACTTCACTCTTCACTCCAAACATACCCACCTTCTCCACATGGTCCCCATGATTTCACTACTCCCGCATAAGATTTAAAACATTCCAACATTCCAAGACTTTCAATTCGTTCCCATTTGAAGAAGACGGGGGAAACGGAGAATTACAGGAATTATATCAGCCTCGGTCTTCTCTTTTGGGTCAAAATCGATCATATGCCTCTTTCTGGTAAACCTTCTATGAGCCAAAAGAAGGAAGAACTCTAATCACGACTTGAGAGGGATAGAGAGAGAGAGAAATATCCTCAATTTGTTATCAATATCCCCAATATCCTCTTACCTTCTCTGTCTTTTCTCTTCATATGTACAAACCAGTGGAACTTCACTTCGGAATTGCTTCTTATTTCAAATTCACATGCATTTTCCAAACATATTTTATCTTGAACCTGTAATTTCCTTCCTATTATTTCTATTCTCCTTTTGAGTTCCGTGAGACTGCAATAACCTACCCTCCGAGGCGCACACATGTTATCGACAATCCTTTGTTCTCACTCGGCATCTTCTCTTTTGTACAACAACATATAACTTTAATCAAAATGATAGGTATGTGTTACCATCATATCACACCCTCCCACCTCCCCCATTCAACTACTGATGAGGTTGGCAGATCATGTTTTAGGGCGACCTTCTGTACAGTTTCGTAAGATACAGGTTTTGGCTGTGGTATCTTTCTGGTCGTTTTACCTCTTCCGGTAACATTCTTGCGCCACCTTATTATCATGATAATAACTAACATCAATTCGCAGAGGGAACAAAGATGGACCTCCCAAAATTCGAAAACTTTCCCGCATACTCTCGAAATACCTTACACCATGGCAAACTCTTGTCATAACCCTCCTCTACCTTTACATTGCGCGCAACTTGGGAAAGCTAGTTGGACTCGAATGTCCGGAGCCTTTAGCAAATCTTTACACGAGATCATACTTTCGAGCAACATGGGTTACTACAGCGTTGGATGCCGGGTTTTGGAGTGCCATGCGCATAAGGCGGAAATGGATACGTGATTTGGCTGGAGTGGTATTCACCATTTATTATTTGATTGCTGCTGAGCAAGCTGATGAAAAAGTTCGAAAAGTAAGAGGAATGTTGACGGTGGATCATTTGAGAGTTAGTTGGAATAAAGGAACAACTCCATACTTGGGATTTCTGTCGAATTTATTACGACCAAGATTCATGAGATATCCACCAAGGGCGATTCGAATACCGAGACCATCGAGTAGTGATTACAAAGAGCCTGTCAGTGGCTGGTTATTCTTCGATGGGCCACTATCGGCACTGAAAAATCATACAAAGATTGTTTTGGATATACCTGGTGGAGGATTTGTGGCAATGGATCCAAGAACAAATGACGACAAATTATTTGCATGGGCAGGCAAAACTGGATTGCCGGTTTTGAGTTTGGATTATAAGAAAGCACCAGAGTTTCCATACCCCTATGCATTAAACGAATGCTATGACGTCTACAGTACGATAATCGCAAGTCGAGGTCGTTGTGTTGGATTATCCGGAGATGTAATTCCCAAGGTCGTGATCACTGGGGATAGTGCAGGTGGAAATTTAGCTGCCAGCACCACATTAATGATCATCGAATCCGGCAGAACAGATACTCGACAATTCTTGGGACAAGGATCGCTTCCAATTCCCGATGGTCTAGTTCTCATTTATCCCGGATTAGATATGAACATTGGGAATTGGATGAGTGATGAACAGATGAGTTTGATCAAAGATAGGAAGTATAGGAAGACAAATAAGGGAATTATTGAGAGAAAAAGTATGCAATATACTTTGGCAGCGGGAACACCACATCAAAGTGAAGATGAGGATGAAAGTCCAATGAAGTTACCTTCGCCACCATCCAGAATGGAAGAAGGTGCAGAAGTCTCTACTCAAACGCCGTCGAGAATTTCTCTACCATCCCCTCAATATAGCACCGCTGCCCCTACTATTCTTTCTCCTACATCTACAAAGACACCCACAAAAGTTCAACCAACAACACCATCAACATCTCACCATCCCGCTCCTCTACGCACCCGTCTGGCCATGTCATCTATGATATCCTACTTCAATGACCGCATCCTCACTCCGGAAATGATGCGTGCCATGATTATTCTTTACATAGGTCCTCACAATCGTCCCGACTTTTCAACCGATTATCTCCTATCTCCGATTTTAGCACCTGATTCATTACTAGCTCGATTTCCCAAAACTTATTTCATTACCGGAGAACGAGATCCACTAGTAGATGATACGGTCATCTTTGCAGGAAGACTAAGGAGATGTCAAGGAGAAGATGCAGCAGAAGTCATGTTAATTCCTGGAATAAGTCATGGCTTCTTACAGTTTGTTGGAATCTTCCCAGAGGGGTGGAAATATATTTTCCAGTGCGGAAAATGGATGCAAAAGATCTTTGAGGAATCAGAACAAAGAGAACTTACCAAAGCAAATGAAAAAGAGAAATATCACAGAAGAACAAGAGCGGAGAGTTCGGGGGATGAAGATCCTGGGCTTGAAATGAGAATGAGTATTAGTGGGAAAGGGAAAGGTCCCGGTGATATGAATGGGAATGGGGAAGTGAGGAGGAAGAAGGAAAAGCTTCTTAGGGAAGAAATTGGAAGGGGTAGTGGGGAAAGAGGAAGAACGAGATTAAGAGGAGGAATGAAGAGACAAAAGAGTATGGTCAGTTTAGCTAGTGAGGATGATCTTTTGGGGAGGAGAATGTTGGGATTAGTAGGTGCATTGACAGGGAGGGGTGATGATGGTGGGGCTGATGATTGAATTTGCAGCGGTTAGGAGGGAGTTAAGTGCGGAGTGCTGGGACTACATGTATTTAGATATTGGAAAGAGGACTTGGAATATACGAATTCAAAAGTATACAAAGATTTTTAAAACAAATACGTGAGTAGTGTAGAACTGGAGTGTAGAAATTTCACGTTGGCGATGTAGACAGCTGGATGTTTTATTGACAAACAGCATATCAAAACAAATAGTAGTCCTAGTTATCCCGATATTCACAAGGCCGGCACCTGGAACCGGCATCCTGGCAGCATGCGTATGATTCGTTCGAATTCGGGCTCCTAATTATAAGTAGGTGGGTGAAAAATGCTTGGCCATGTCCCGGCACTACCTTAGTGGCTGAGAAGTAAGATGTCAGTCATGATGTTACTGCAGATGAGAGATTGGAGATTAGAGATTAGAAATTGGTAGTGCTAGTCTAGTCTAGTCTAATCATTATTTTAATTTTCTTTTGGGTGATCAGTGTGAGTGTGAGTGTGAGTGTGAGTGTGAGTAAGTGTTATTACCGATGAAAGGGTTATCGTTCTGGCTTGTTTTGACTAATTTAGACTGGGTTAGATTGGATTGGATGGTAGATGGTAAATGCAGACAGATGGATAGTAGAACATAAGTTAGATATCATTCCCTCCTTCCTTCGGGAAAGGTCAGGAAGTAATTTTTACTACTCTACTTACTCGCACATATTCATTTATCTTGCATTAATACTCATTGATTTGTACAAGTCCATTTCTTCTCATTGAACGCATTATTCCCTTCCTTTTCTATCATTTCATTTTGTCTTAATATAAAATCTTTTCTTTACATCATACTAAGGTGTTAGAGGGAAATAAGTAGTGATTATTTTTTTCAACTTCTTTGGTTCGTTGGGTGATCTATCTCCGGTATTTGGAGGTAGTATTAGATTAGTGTATATCATTAGAGTAGTTAAGAGTCGACTTGTCTGGGAGGTTAATTGGCGTTTGTGGGAATGGAGGAGATGCTGGGGTAAGGAGGGAGATATAGATAGGATAATGTAAGGGTGGATGTGTGTATTCTGATTATAGCTTGCGAAATATGTGAGTCTTAGGTGTTTAGGGGGTCTTCTTTGAGGGAGGGAGAACTAGATAATGGTAATGGGGTACATACCCGGCAAATTTTGCTTGTTGGTATTATAAACTAATTAGCATGATTTGATGAGTGGAAGGAAATTAAGTGTGGATGTCTAGGTGTATACTCTAATCATACAACATATCACAACTCAGCAAGTGGAGATTCATGATCTGGATATAGATTGCTGATTAGTGGTTCAATTTAATGTCTGGGATAGGAAAAATTATAGGTAACTGGATGATTTCTAGTCTTATAGTATTGGCCACCTCATCAGGTATCACCTGGATATTTAATGAAAAGGATAATATGATGGAATATTGATGATATAGCTTAAATCTCATGATCCGAATACAGGCTTGAAAAGGAAAAGTGTTGTATCTATGGTTCTATAGGTTTATGGAGGGCTAAGGTAAGATAATATGGGTATGAGATTGCAGGTTTTTCGCTATAGAAAATGTTGAATGTAATATGAGCTTGGTATACACTCGTAAACTAATCAGAAATAAAGGAAAATGCGAAATTTTGTGTATATTTCATGAATTGGTTTGTTAATATATGAGGCCTTTATTTTTAGTAGAACCAACTGGTGAGAAGGGGAAGTGGCAGGGAGAGATAAACGAAGAGAAGGAGGAAGGAGGTATATTAGTTTTGAGTTATTGGCATCTAGAATCTGGTTTCTTATTACTATGTAATAAGTATCAACTTTGTGTATTAATTTTGTACTTTCACTTTTTATCGAAACCATATCATTGCTAACATATCAACCCATCCAAAGAAGTTGTGATCGAAAAATGAAACGGAGATCGAATAACCCGGGGGAGTCTGATACTTCATCTAAGATCAGTCATTTATCGAGTTATCAGATCTATTACAAATGGAGCCCGAAGATGAAAATCAACTGCGGTTGTTAATTTCATACTAAATTTTAGGGAAAACTAAGTATCATGTATTCTAGATTGAAACATAAACTAAACTTTAGCAAGTTACGATTTAGATTATACTACTCGGGAAATAGTTGAACCTTAAATTTTATCGATGTGATGGGTTTAGGAAACATATTAGATACAAATTAATATTTATATTGGGATTAGATAGGTTATTAATGAAGAGGATAGATATTAGTTGGGTATATTATGTTTTAATAATAGAAGTGAGGGGTATTGAGGAGTATTAAAGGTTTATCCTTTTCCTTGAGAGAAAGATTTCTTCTTTATCTCTTTTTTGTTTTTTCTTCAGGTTTTTGTTTTCTTCAGTATTTCGTTTTTGGATTTCTGTTGTTCTTTTTTCTTTTTTTTTTTCTTTTCTTTTTTCTTTTGCTGTTTTTATGTGTTTCTAATTTTATTTTTTCTGCTTTGTTTTAGCGAGCTTTTTCTTTATATTTGGTGATTTTTTTTATATCTTGTTGTTTTTTGAGTTTTTGTTTCTTTTTGTTATTTTTTGTTCCAGTGAGCTTTTTTTTTTCATTTAAGTGAATTGTTTACTTTTTTATCTCATTGATTTCGTGTTTTCAGTTATATTGCTTTTTTGTCTTTTTATATCTTTTTGATTTTCCTTTTGCTCTAACGAGCTCTCTTTCTTGAGCTCTAGTTGGTATTTATTTTCCTGTTTTTTATTCATGTTTTACTTTTTTATCTTCCTGTATCTGTTTGTTTTTCTTTATGCTTCAGTAAATTCTTTTTGTCTATTGAGATTTCTTTGGTCCCAGTAGAATTTATATTCTAGTGGGTTATTTTCTTTACATGTCTATGGTTCTGTATTGTTTACTATGTTTTTTCTTTGTTATATATTATAAGAAAGTTGGAATTATAGGCCAAATACATAAAGGTTTTAATTAATCAATTATATAATCTTTTATAATTAAATATAAAAGAAGAGCCTTTTGTTTCTTCTTTTTACAATAATCAATTTTCTATATATATATATTTGAACCTATATAATATCAACTTCAAAATCATTGTAAACCCTGTTTTACCTATAAGTAATGTATTACAATATAATCTAATTCAGCTTTCTTTTCCAATTCCCTCTTTACAATATGCTATCGGGACGCACGTATCTCGACCTACCACTTTTACAATATGTATCTAAATATCTATGTTTGTGAGTTTACTTATTTAACTACCTGTATGCTTCTCTGTATTATTGCCTTCTGTGTTTCCTTTTGCTCCAGTGAGCTTTTCCTTTCTTTCTTTCTCTAGTGATTCTCTCTGTTTCAATGACATTTAGTCTTTATGTTTCTGTGTGCATTGTTGTTTTTCTGAATTTCTGTGTTTCTTATCATTTTCTACTCTAGCAACGTTTATTTCCCAGTTTAGTGAGTCTATTGCGGATGATCTAGTGGCGTACCTTCTGTACTTGGCTATTTTATTTATATCTCTGTATTCCTATTTGTTGTATTTCTATTAATAATATTTCTGTCTATAGTATTTTCATTTGCTATCTCTGTTTATTGTATTTGTGATTGTTGCATTTCTGTATATCTGTATTGCTTTGTAATCTTATATTTTTGCTGTTTGTCTTTTTCTTTTGCTCTAATGGATTTATCCTTGTATTTCTGTATTTCTGTATTTTTTTCTTGCTTTGTTAAGTTTCTTTTGATTTAGTTTTTTATTGAATAAATGATTTAATTTTTAAATATATCATTTCTTTATTACCCGTTATGAAGCTTAATCTATATATTGTTTTTCATTTTCATTTTTTCATTTTTATACTATATCTTTGATTTCTCTTCTTCTTCTTAGTATATTCTTTCAAATGTTTTTGATATCTATTATTTAGTAGTGAATGAATAACTTTTATTTATTTGTTATAGTTAGTTTATAAATTGATTTGTTGATGAAGTTATTTAGATTTAGTTATATTAGTATGGTGATTTCACTCTCCTTGGTCACATTTCTCACCTTTTTATCTAATAATAAATAATTGATTGTAATATAATACAATATTTTCATATCTCTACCTTCCCACAAACTTCCTTTTTAACTATTTTATTGGAACTCAGCTTATATCTTTGGTATTACACTGTTTCTGAAGATATACTATATCTTAATAAATTTTTCATTGAGTTTTCTGGTCTTGATTGGAGCTTGAAGAAGATCATATAATTATTACTATACTAATGTTTTGATGACTGAATATTTTACGGAAAGATTTTAATTCTCTATTATATCATTTCAGTATTTTTCTCTTTCCGCCCGATATCCAAACTGCATAACGATACTTCATAATTTTCTTTGATTCTCTATTCTTTCCTCACTTCTGCTTTATTTAATATTATCTCATTTTTTAAATCTAATACTTTACTTTTAGATTATTTTTTTAATATCAAAAATGACGATTTTCATTTATGAATAACTTTATAATAAATAAATATAATTTAATCAAATTTGAATTATATATTTATTATATAATTATAGATGAATTTTGAAAATTTTAGATTTTTTACAATTGATTTCATTAAAATCTATAAATTTTAATTTATATAGCATTTGTATATAAATTTGGAAAATCTTTAAAATCTTGAATAACATTTCAACAAAAGTACTTAAAAATAAATCACGATTTTTTTTCGAGTATTTATATTGTAATTAATTGAATAGATTAATTTATTTTGGAAAATAGTTTATAATAATCCTTTTAACCAAAATATTATAATTTTTAATCTTTATAAAATTTATAAATATCAATAAAGATTCATTTATATTATTTAAGATTTGAAATCTTAATTTTTTATATAATGTTTAATTTGAAGATGTCAAAAAGATTTATAGTTTATTCTTAATAATTTTTGTTGAAAAGTTATTTAAGTTTTTGAATTTTGTTAGATTTTTATATAAATCCTATATAAATTGAAAATCATAACTTCAATCATTTTTATCTCAATCAATAAAATTGTAAAAAATTTGAAATTTTCAGAATCAATTAATAATCATATAATGAATTTATAATCAAAATTTCAATTGATTGAATTCATTCATTGTTGAAATATTGATAAATGAAAATGATGATTTTTGATGTAGAAAAGTAGTTCAAAAGAGGGGTGTTCCAAAAGTAAAGTATTACACTTACTTCTCAAATGAGATCCTTCAAGTTTTTACTTTTTTCTTTCCCTTACAATTATTTCTTTTTAATAAAGTTATTATATAAAAATCTCAAGATCTCTCACACTTTAAAAATAATCAATTGATATTATTTAGTCCATTCTCATTTTTAATTAATAGTATTATAGAAAAGTTGGAATTATATATTATATATATAAAGGTTTTTAATTAATCAATTATATAATCTTTTATAATTAGATATAAAAGAAAAGTTTTATTTTTTATTTTTTATAATAATCAATCTTTTATATATATATATTTGAATTTACATAACCTCAATCTCAAAACTATTATAAACTTTGTTTTCTTTATAAATGATATATTATAATATAATCTAATCAACTTTCTTTTTTAATTCCCTTTTACAGTATATACTTCTAGTCTTATCTGACACGTATAATTACAGAGCCTGGCGGATATCTACAATGGCTGGAGCCTTTGCCTCTATCGGCAAATGTTGTCGTGACGCAAGAAGGTGCAGTCACTACTACATCTGAGCGACTTGTGAATACATTTCATAAAACTAAGCCAGACAGCCAGTATGGGTGAGAAATTTCCCAGATCAGTGCATGAACTTGAGTCCAAGATGTTAATTTGGATTAGCTGGATTTAGGGACTCAAAGCTCTACTCGAAGAGGAAGGCCGCGCAGACGTGTCTCGTCCTGATCATTCTTGGCCTAATTACCTCTGTCCTCTTTGGTCACACAGAGCTCTATGGCAGCAGATTTTACGCCAGAAATCGAAAGTTATAACACGGAAGGCTCGGGAATTGGGATAAAATTTGTTGAAGACTTAGAGAGAGAGAACGCGAATGGGATTGCTGTGGACACACCATTCCAGTGCGTCGTTGGTTGTAAGGTCTCATGAATGATTTTATATGTATATTTCTATTGGACTAGCGTATATGTAGTGATTTTCATTGTGAACATATAATAGTCCGTATGATAGATATAGCATCATGATGAAAATATGTAACTCGGCATTTAAATTTGTAGCATGTTCTTCTCTATCAAACACAAACAAACGATCGTGAAAGTTAACAATGCAATTACACGGGCGAGTAACAGATCTAATTACTACCTACCTCTTATAGCTTTCTGGATCTAACGAGTCGCAGAAACTTGGTGTAACGATCTGGTCGAGGCAGCGGCTGCCTGAGGTTTTGTATGGTTGGTAGTTGTGGGTTAAGGCTATTAATCATTAGTTATCCACTTGAAAATGAATTCATTATTAAATTAATTAGAATATAGATAAACTAATTGATAATTAAATTGAGTATAAAGCTCTTAAACTATAAAACTATTCTGATTATATACTAATCTCTTTCCTTGTATACTAACTATACTAACTGGCTAACAGAGTTAGTATATCATATAATTGATCCTAAGGCTTCTCTTTTCCTGAGGTTTTTCCTTTTTTGGAATACTTGTCCCAGAAGAGCTTCCCTTTAGGAATTATAGCCCTAGGATATGATATCCTTTAAAGTGATTGTCTTATTACAACCAATTAGTTAGAACACTTATTCTAATCTAATATAGTTACTTAGGATACTTATTCTAGGAATCCCGGGGTCATATTTGTAAATGATTAAGCCCTTTGAAAGCAACAGTTAAATCACACCTCCCTTATAATCGGTGTATAAATCATCGACATCAATAATACTATTATAATGAAAACCATGAATCGTGACACTTGGCTCCTAGGCACCGTATTACAAATACTAAGAATTCTGGAATCTACTCACCCCACACCATTCAAATTCGTGACAAAATCCCTGCAAAAATCATATTTTCCTATATAAAATAAAATATCGAATAACTTTTTCAATATTGAACTAAATCAAATAAAATTTTCAAATATTATAATTAATTACAAAAGGGTATCGAAGAAGTTTATAATTTATTTTTAATTATTTTTGTTCTAAAGTTATATTTATTTAAATTTAAAAAATATTAAAATTTCATTTATATAATGCTTTTTTGAACTTTTCCTTATATAAAATAAATGATTTTTTTAAAATTTTTGTTTTTTCAATCTCAAATATATATAACTTTGAAACGAAAATAATAAAAAATATTTTTAAATTTTTATTATATTTGAATCAATTATCTATATTTTTATCAATTTTTATATATTATTTTATTATTTTATAAAGATAACAAGGTTTTAAAAAGTGGAAAAAATCGTTGATTTTGGTGTGATTTCGTTTAGTGTGCGGTGAGTAGATTCCAGAACTCTTACAATCTCTAACTCCGTTTTGAAAGTTTGTAGAGGTAAGGTTCGTTTCAAGGTACGATGATGCTACTGCGTCGCGTCTTATTGAGTGCATTTCCCTTCAATGTTCCCCCTAAAAATTACCCTGGCTTCTTCTTCTTGCCGAGAAAGATTCAATGGTTGGGGTAATGATTTGTATTAAAGATTGAGTTAGACACCATGTATGACTTTATACTGTAAAAGTGGTAGGTCGAGATACGTGCGTCCCGATAGCACGCTGTGAGGAGGGAATTGGAAGAGAAAGCTGAATTAGATTACATTGTAATACGTCACTTATGGGTAAAACGGGGTTCACAATGGTTTTGGGGTTGATGCTATATGGGTTCAAATGTATATATGTAGAAGGTTGATTATTGTGAAAAGAAGAGGCAAAAGGCTCTTCTTTTATATCTAACTACAGAAGGTCATGTGATTGACTAGCTAAAACCTTTATATATTTGGCCTATAATTCCAACTTTCTCACAATACCTTTATTGATCTGTGATATTCTCTTTCCATGGCTGTTTTGAGAACAAAAGTGCTCAGTTAAAAAAGATTGAAAGATGTTATTATATAGAAATATTTCCGATCAAATTACTAGACATTCTTTAAGCTTTTATTCAAGAAACTTCTTTTGATGAATAAACTCGTAAAGAACTATTTTGAAGATTTCAGATTTTTTATAATTCTTTTCTCAATAGGATATTAATAATTGAATTTTAATTATTAAATTAAAGAATTATTAAAATCTTAAAATTCTTTTAATAAAATATTTCAAAATAAATTTTTTTTTAAATAATTTATTAACAGGTTTTATTAATTAAAAATTTATTTATATAAAGTTTTATATAAATATTAATAAAAGATTACTTTAATTATAAATTAGCTTTTGAAAATAAATAATCTTTAAAAGTTTCTTTTAATAATTAAATTCTTTATTTGAAATATATAAAACATTCACCAAGTCACCAAGTCATTATAAATAAATTCAGTACTTTTTAAAATCAGTCTGTTTCAAAAGTGTACAATTGCATTGGAATAAGTTCATTCAATCAACTGATTGATTTGGATTTTGTTTGTATCTATCCCATCTCATCTCATCCATCCCATCTTATCTTATCTCATCTCATCTCAAATGTAGGAAAAAACGTATACACACACGAAACAAGACCTGGAGAAAAAAGAAAGAAAAATTACACATCTCCCGAGAACCATCTAGCTCATCGAAGAACATATCTCATCCCATCTCCTCATACATTCTCCAGAGAAAAAAAAATCAAAAAATCCGTACAATAATTTACATCTCCAACTCCGCCGTCCCAAAAACTCCTCGCCATATGTATGCTACAACCCTACAACCCATTTTCTGCCTTTAAATTCTTCGCGGGTACAGTCTAGGACTTTTGACTGTGGGAGGGGTATGATCCGCTTGTGCTGCACTTGCTTTTGTTTTTTATTGAAAATCAATTGATCCACGCATTTTCTTTTTTTAAATCTTGTCCCTGAAAATCCATTGCTGACCGGTGCCTCCGCTCACTACGCAGCGCTCTCAGCACTCTCAGCACTCTCAGCCGTCAAATCACTCTTTCCGCTCCTCGCTCTAGCAGTACTATCTCTTCCTTCTCCAGCACTCGTAAACACATCTCTACTTTTCCTATCCGCCACCACTACCTTCGCCGCCAATGCATCTCTAATATCCTTCTCGTCTCTATTTCTCCACATTCTCACTCCTGAGTTACTGAGTGGCCAAAGAACTTTATTTTCCCTCATCAATTCTTCCTCTGAATCATCATTTGTCATCTCCTTTCTTCCGTAGACAATTTCCTCCCATGTTGGAGCTTTGACGGATGTGAGAATATCGAAATCGCGAGCTAACTCTGCACAGTAGTGGTCTAATGGAAGATCGTTAACGTCGTTTCCAAAGGGATTTTCGAGTTCGTTTCCGATGGCCATGAGTCCGACGATGATATATGCAGCGGCAATTGTACCAGGGATCGTAACCCATTGTAATGCTTCGAAGAGTTGGAAGGGGAGGAGATAAACGTAAAGGTATACGATTTGAGAAATTAAAATGTTGTATCCGACAGGAAGAGGAGTTTGAAGAACACGTTCGGCGGAGGCGGAACAATCAGTCAGGGCATTCATGCAACCAAGCATTTGACCGAGGACTACTGGAGAATCAAGAGTTCCGTTGCGAATGGTTCCATCAATGTAGGCATCCAGGTAGGTGAGGATTTCATTTGGAAGGTTTCCGATTGGCTTGCTGGAGCGCTTAATTGCTTTTCTAGGGTTACTTAATGCGAAACTGAGGCCGAGATATTCTCCAGCACGTTTCCATGGTGTTCTCTTTTTCTCGATAAGTACTTCGGGGGTCGTAGCGGATTGTGCATATGTATTGAGATGATGAGTTAGAGCGGAAATATCGGCATAGTGAGCGTATGGTTCGAAACGAAGTTTGTGTTTGAGAGCGACGGCAAAGGTCAGGACGAGATTGATACCGGTTATTTTTGCGAGAAGATCTTCTTTGCCCATGTCGCCTTCACGTTCACGTACGTTGACCCAGATGAATCGACTTAGGTTGCGGGATTGAACTGATAGGGCGGCCCATGCTTTACGACCATCGGAATAACTGATTTTTTGTTAGTTGAAATTCTGTGAATAATGTATAATTGTATTAGTCTGCCTCCAGGCAGTGGCCCTCGGAGAGGCAGCGAGCGGAGCGTCATTTCAACAATAAAATATTATAGTGTGGTAATATGGGGGCAAGCCCCCAAACCCCCCCTTGCTCGCTCCGCTCGAGCTTCTTTTCATATCCTCTCCATTTCGGGTGCAACAAAGCAAGCAAAATATAAAGAAACAATAGCACCAAAAAATAGGACATGAAAGAAAAGAAGGACAAACCGTTCATAAGCAGTAGAACTCTTAAAACTCAAAGCCAAAGAAATGACGAAACCAAGGACGGTCAAAAGTAAAGTATTGACAGCCAACTTTGTACCGGAATATTTTGAAATGCATGTAATTAATGTAGACCAGCATGCAATCCAGAAAAGAGGTACTACCATTCGAGGTATAACAGATCCATGAAGGCGCATGAAATATGGAAGTTTGGAATGAGCATCGAGATTTCTTGGACCGACCTATTGTTGGAAGAATTAGTCATTTTGTTTCGATCTACGTATGAATATTTGATTGTTCGAGTTCCATTCTCGACAAGGTTGTGAATACCTAGAGTCAAGCAGAAAGTTGGAAATGAAAAGGAAAGGAAAGGAAAGGAAAGGAAAGGAAAGGAAAGGAAAGGAAAGGAAAGAAGCGAGTAAAACATACAAAATAATCATCAACGGTTAAATCATGTCTGCTGTGCCTTTTGAAACTATTTGGTGTCGTCGCTCCACTGGCATGAGCCTCAAATCCACTCTTAGACCGCATGGTACTTTGTCGACTGGGAGAAGTCTTCTTAGGATTCTGATGAGTAACGGTAGGATTTGGATTTCCTTGAGGAAGAGTTGAACTTAATGGGTCATGACTACCAAAATCGTCGGCCATGATGACGGTTTTGTGAAATTATTTAGGCTTTGAATCTGTCAAGGGCCTAGAAGCGGCGTCTAGAATGATTGGAGAGAATGGAATGATGTGGGATGTGGTTGTGGATGTGGTTGTGGTTGTGGTTGTGGTTGTGGTTGTGGTTGTGGTTGTGGGTATAAATTATTGTGGGTTGTGGGTTGTGGGTTGTTGTATGGTGGTATAATTGTATGGTTGTCGAGGGTCTGTCTCGATTTGTTTATGCGTGGAAAGGTAATTCAACTGAACGGACTGACGGGCGGACCGGAAATCTGAATCAGTCTCGTTCGTGTTCGAAAATACCTGGTAAATAGTATGTATGGTATAGTAGTTATGCTTGGATATGCCACTCGAAGCTGTTGGATGATTGGAAATGCTGGGGAAGAATTGCAGAATTGCACAATTGCAGAATCGCAGAATCGCAGAATATCTTATGAGTCAACGAGAGTCATGCAAATGGTAAAGAGGTAAAGCTGTCGAGGAGTGTTGAATCAAAGTATGAATCTTTCTTCTTATGCAAAGTCGAGAATTCAGGTGAAATGGGATGAAATGGGATGAAATGAAGTGAAGTGAAGTGAAATGAAATGAAAGAGTGAATTGAATGAATGGATTAAGAAAGATGAATAAAAAGTCTTTGGTGGCACAGAAAATGAAAGTTCTAAAAAAGACATGTATGCGCATAGACGTCGTTTAGTTTCTTCGGAGGGCAAGGTCAAAGAGATGTGATGTTTTAAGTTTGTGCAAATGTGCAACCAATGCTTGCTTGGAATCCCTGAGGAATTGGATAGAGACCGGGGGTGAGATGGGTGATGAATGTTATCCATCTGGGCTTGGAAAGTAGAAGACCAGCTTGTTGAGAGCTTATTTGCTTATTAGTAGCATAATGTCATAGTGGAGATATAAAAGTTGATAGCTTTTCCTACAAATCAATTTATGAAGTGAATAAATATCTATCTACTTGTTGTATTTATTGATGCAGATCACTTTTTCATGCAAGTTTCCCCTGCTCAGTCCTTTCATCTAAATGTTGTGTGTGTATGTGTGTATGTGTGTATGTGTGTATGTGTGTGTATATATATATATATATGTATATGTGTGTATGTGTGTATGTGGTGTTATGGAGTCGTTCCAAAATCTGCACACGATAAAATAGCTTGAATGGTATCTCTCCAGTGATAGGTGTACCGACACGCCACTGTTTGCACATGCTGCACACACAACCAAGGATCCTTACGCCATGCCATGAACCCATGAACGCCTTCCGCAGTGAGTCCCATTTATGATTTGGGGCCAAGATCACCTAGGTACGAGGTTCTAGGTAGTTACTTATTCTCCATGACCCCACCCAAAGAGTTCGTCCAACAGGGGCTGAGTCATATGTTACATGTTATACGGTCGGTATCTGCGGGTCGGGCCACTCCAGAAAATCCTCATCCTCGTACTCTTTCTTGCCCTTCAAACCTGCCCCTTTTTTTATATATCAATTTTCCCTTCTCATTTTTCGCTTTAAGCCTTGTGAATTGAATTTACGGTACGGGAATGCACAATGCGGTATAAATAAATAACTGATGAATTGGTGTCATAAGTTACGAAGGTAAGGTACGAGGTAGTTCTTTAAATAGATTCCGATCTTTGGGTGCAAGGTTACTTCTATATTGTATGTATCTTTTCTACCATCGTTTGGATGATGGAGATCAATTGATCTATCTATATGGTATTCTTTTGGTAGCATGATTTAACTACTTTACTATAAGAGCTGTCGAATATGAGATGAGGTGAGACGAGATGAGATGAATCAGATCAAACTTCTATTCCATTGCGAAATGCATATGAATATGTTCGCCCTTTCTTTCTCCCGATCTCTTCTTTCCATCGATCAAAGTTTAAACAAGAAAGGCCATTAAAAGTCTTGGGAATCATCCAGGGAATCCACTTTCATCCATTAACAGTTAACGATTAACTCCAATCCTAACAAGGATCATCAGAAAATTGTAACACTGGGTTGTTTCATCTCGTATTGCCCTGTAGGAGAACTTAGCCAAAAACGATGTTGGATCCCCCTTCGCAACGGGACCTAATGAATCGTTTTTGATTGGATGAGGCAAAGAGCCGGCGATTGATTGAGTTATTGAGTTCTTAAAGTTCTGGAAGAACTCAGGAAGACGATCTTTACATCAGAACCGCGAAAGAATGCTCTACTCCCTTGGACATCGCATGAACTCCCGGGACATCGCATGAACTCCCGAAATCAACAATAAAACTACCGAAGAAGACAGACGTCGTGATCATTCAGGAGCTGAAACTTATTGCTTACATATTTCATTTTCCTAGTACACCGACCTATATACTCGTAACACAGGATTATCTGCTGTGGCGAATTGCTTCAATCTTCAGTCCCTACGACCAGGCACCGGGTGACCATCAATCAACTTTGATCCTCCCTCACATCCCGTGCTTACCACCGGTCTCGGTCAGTTTGTCTGCTTTTTTTTATACTTATCAATGTGAAGCCGGGTTCAGTATATGATCATGAATTTGCAACGTCTGAATCACCCCACAAATCGAGACTTTCACGTGCAGAGTATGTACCTTGAAACTAAAGTCCAGAACCCTCAGTCTTCCACCCACCAGACCCTTCCTCCCATCAACCAAACAAACACTTCTTTGGCTACTGCTAACTTCTAACATCTAGCTTCAGTCGCGGGGTCTCCACTCCGTATTACTCTCTGTCCTCTGTATAGTTTATTCTCCGGATTCTCTTCCAGAACCTAGAACCCAGAACCCACTCCAATGCCCGTCGACTCCGTACGCGCCAGTCATAATAACTCTAGAATCTAGATTCAGGTTTAAGCGCCAAGAAATTTATGCTTGTGTTGCGAAATTTGCTTGATGTGAATGTGGATATACTTGGTAATAATATCTTAGACATTTCATTTCGCAATACGTAACGGTAACGGACTTGGCTGTCAAATTTGGTTCTTTGACAGGTTATCTGTAAATTTTTATGTTCTTTTCTTGGCTTTTTGGAGGCTTAGGTTTTCTCGCTTTTGGTATTGGGAATTTGAGGTACGAATAAGGGTAAGGGGGATTAGATTCCCCTAATTTATTAGAAGCAAGCAAGTGCTTAGTAATAAGGTTACTGTAACCTCACTCCGAGGTTTAGAAAAGGGGAGCTGACTCTGAAAAGCCCCCGCATAATCTTATCTGATCTCACCATTCATCTGGTCATTGTGCCGTATTATCACATATCGATACGATATGCTCTCCTAAGTTTCGTGATGGCACATGTAGCACACCTATCATTGGTTGGGGTCTATACCCCTTTCCCAGAACTCGCATCATTTCTCTCAGAAACGAGTGCCTGGAGTTCGTCTGAAGTACCTGAGCATGCAATTAATCATCGTATTTGTTGATATATCTCCAAGAACTTTGTGTGATATATGCGATCATACAAATCTTTTCCCATACAACAATAATCCCGACCTTTGGAAGCATTATGAATCCAAAAATCACCACTTTAGGTGAATGAATGCTTCGCAGCACCTCAAGCCTTTGCTATACTTGTGTTCAGTCCTTTGAACGCCCGGGTTTGTCATAAAGTGTCTTCGTACTCAATCACGAATTGTGTATGTAAGATTACCAAATATCATTACTCATCTCATTGCATCCCGCTTCGATCATCTGCTTGCCTCTGAGCCAAATCTTCTCTCATGAGTACCTCCTAGTCAAAGGAGAGTAAGCTGAACTCGGCGACTAATTTTGCACTGGTGGATTGTAGCAAGGACTTGATCTACTTTTCCCTAGTCGATAGATATTACTATATGATTTCCTAACTCAATATGGCTTGTATCCTCGTTCAAAAGTCTTTGGTCTCGTGGTATCATAAGAATATATCTCAATAAGTCGCTTCGTCTACAAGCTGAAATACTGGCTAAAAGATAGATAATCCTAAAGATATAAAGTAAAGAGCTTCAATGTTCTACTTATCGGTCACTTTTAATATTTTCATGTTGTATTCTTCTTGAAAAAAGAAAAAGGTGAAATTTTATTAGTTATATCTGAACATTATGATTGCTTAATTAGCACTAATTAACTATCAAAATCTGTTCCCAGCTTCAGCATCTGAATTCCTCGATAGCTGTCCAAGTGCAACTTTTCGAATTATAGTTTACTTAAATTCCCCTGCAAGTATTTCATCTCTGAGAAATTGGTGACCTCGTGTCTCGGTGATATCATGAAAACGTTCTTCAGGCATATGATTTCAATCAGGAAGCTTCCCACCTTGTGGCACAAACTTCGCTATACAATCATCATCATCCCTTGAAGTATTAGTCGGCACCACCTTACTAGAATATTGCACTTTCATCCAGTTAGGACGATAGCAAATGCCAAACAAATCTTACATTTGTGCGATCAATGGTGTGTAACCATGGACGTGTGTTCCGACGAAGTAAGATTACAAGAAAAATCTGCTGAAGATTGGCAAATTTGAGCAAGGTTTTTAATGTTTCTGTGTCTTGTAAAGACAGATCATTTTGGCGAAGCTTGCTTCTCACTACATAAATCTCGAGGGATCTGATTTTTTTTATGCAGCTCATTGCTGTCGGACTGTATGGTTGGAACAAGGTATCAATATTTTCGCTGGGGTCTGTCGGCTAGAGCCTGGGAAAATAATAGCTGACAAGAAAGAAAGTGTAAATATCAGGATTGAAATAAATAGTGTTGGGTAAGGCGAGCTCCGTAGTGAAAAACCGCCGAATTTTTTGAAATAGTCGAATATAATGATAAAGCGTTTCGTTCCCACTTTCTTGGTTGATGAAGGCTGTAGTCGGAAGATGCTCACGTCCTGTTAGACGAGAGGAACGAGGCAATAACTGTTCCAGCGGCAGGGTAATACACATCTATTTCTCGGTTTCCTCCATGTAGTCGTAGGATTCTCCAATACCTCAAAAGCGATTGACTAGATATTCGGAAATCATGGGATCAAATAGAGCTCACATGGTGACAAAGAAATCATCTATCTTTGGGTCCCAGTAAATAATATTGCACTTGCAGATGGATGTGCTGGATTGTCCGACTAGATGAGATGCAGGAAAGAGAGATTTCGGGATCTCCGCTGTTGTTGGCGAAAGAAATTGAGAATGAATTGCAATTGGCTGGGAAAAGCGACAACAATTCTTCAAGGCTTCGTCACGGCTTTCGCGATTGACAAACACGGTGGATGGGAAACTAGATCTTTATCTTAACGGTACAGTTCATCAAGGAGTTGGTCCTCATCTGCAAAATACTGAATGTCTCCACGAAGATAGATCATTCTAGGAGTGACATAGTTGCGCCAGAAGTTGAATCGAATGTCCACGGGGATGTCTTTGAAGTGTGGAAAGGTTCCTGCGGATCGGCTTTGTTGTGGTATGGGAAGATCACGATGTCCTGGAAACTAACCATGGAACCTCGGTTTTGATTGTTAAAGCCCAAACTACGAGGGAGGAAGCCATTAAATTCTCTGTGGTTATATTAAGAATCATCCTGAGTGCCGATATATGGTAATGGTTATGCAAGTTACATGGTAATGAGTCGCGCATGCTGCTGAGGTAGGAAATAGTGGGACTTTGTTATCGAAGGAGCGGATGTACAAAGAGATATATGAGTACAGTGGATCGATCTTGAGCGCAGTGGGTTGTGTTGCTGTGATATATGAAAATAGTGATCAATGTATGAAGGGGATAAATGGGATTTTTGAGGGGAAGTTAGTGCTTATCAGAAGCAAAACGGGGCAGGCCCTTACATGTAATGTAGTGCTGCATTCCAGAGTAGATCTTGTTGCTGTATCAGACTTGGTATTAATGCGCCAGCGACCGTCTAATCGCTGTTCTCAAGCCAGCATAATCGAGATTGGAAAGGTGCAGAAGAAGTTGAGAGGTCAATTTCAAGCGAGAAATTCGAGCCTTGGCAGAAATGCTCACTCTAACACCGCCTTCAACTTATCTAGTCAAGATAATCTTTCCCACTATCCTCAGCCTTATTAACTACCTTAATTGGGCTATGAACCATCATTGAAATAAGCACACCAAACCAGCATCAAGGTTCGGCACTGTAAGAGTTTCTTTCCTATTCAATTCTTAGCTATTCTATTGATGCCACCGCTGGAGCAACTTTCGCGAACAAACCTCACCCCTCTCACAAAATCATCTAGACAGCGACAGTCGACAGTCGTGGAATGCGCCTGCAATTCCTCACCGTTACTTTCTGGTGTCTCGGAGTCTTCCTAATTGCTGGAAAATCGCTGCACAGCCTTCTCACGTGCACACTGTAACACAGTGAATTTGGATATATATAGGCTTACATAAATGCCCTTTCCGCAGGATTAAAGCATTGCCCACCTGCGAAAGAGAAATAAACTCTCATATTTAAAAAGTCAACGCTAGCTACAAGCCAAAGACTATTCTGAATGCGTCTCTCAAGAACTTAAAGTTGTTGGTTGAACTTCTAAATCACGTGGTTTATCAACGAAGCACAAGCTTAAATTTTTTTAGGTCTCGGTAGAAATAGCACTAAGACTAGTGGAAAGTGGTTTAAATTCTCTACCGTGTTTCGTAAAGAAGTAAGGCTCCTACTTCTCCCGCCGATAGATCCACACTCGAGGCACTTCGTCACCCTCCTCACGGATGCTCTTCACTTACAAACGCTATAGTCTGGTGCAACGAAGGTACATTTTCCAGTACAGCATGTACCAACAGGGCCTGCAATGCTCACACAAGTTGCACCTTTCTCCAAACACTGAATCAGATACATCAGTATATTTCATCTCAGAATAGGATGTCAGGAAAGCAGACCTTCTTCTTTCGAATGCAGTGTGCATCATCTGCGACGCCTGGAGCGTTTTCGCAGACTAAGCCATCACAACAGGTGCCAACGGGCCCGGCGAAGCCGGCGCAGAAAGTACCTTCAGTGAGGCATTCCTATGGTTCACGGATTAGATTTGACATTTCAGTGTAATGGAAGGAGGGAGTGCGGATGAGGAAGAATTACTGTACATGCATCGTCTTGAGGGACGGCCACCGCGAGACCCGATGCTACGAGAAGCGCGAAGATGCTAAGTGGTTGACTGAGCTTCATTTTTCGTTTGATATTCTGGGAAGCCTTTGTTGCTGATAATAAGAGCACTTATTGATGGGGAGAACACTAAAGTTGGAAAATGATCTCATTTATATTCTTCAAAGATGTCTTGCAACGCCATAATCGGCCTTATGATTCCTCTCAGCTGTTGATCAGCTGATCTGAGCTGAATGACTGCCAAGATGCGGCCAAGCAGATTTACGAACTAACGGTAACGACTTGGCAAACGGTATGCATACCCGTTTCGACTTTGTACTTTCTGTACCCCGCACGATGTCAGCATATCTGGAGAGGTGGTGCATTTCAGCTTGAAGTGATACATGAGTTCGATGGTAAGCCACGGTAACAATTCCGAACCAATAGCCCTGTCTGCCTAGGAAGCTAGCAACTTCTGGTCACTGCTTAGATGTCATTAGTCATGATTCGAGGGGAGACTAGACCTATTGGTCTATCCCAATGTGTTTGTGGAAATCCGGCCAAGATTCAAATACTAGCTTTCGCAAGTCATTCGCTGTCAAAAATTTACTTTTTCGGATTCCGATAGATGCCCGGGAAAGCGAGTCGTCTTTGGACATCTGTGTCGAGGAACTATCATTAGATCATATTTTCGGAATCACTTTTTAAAACCGCTGAGCAATATGCTGAGTCATCTTAAGGAAGGGCGCACTTTTGATCGTAATCCTTCATTCCTGTTTATTGAATGTCACCCGTGTATGAATCCGAAACTTGTTTTTTCTCGTGTCACTAAGACATCGGACTCTTTCCGTCCTCAACCAAAGCGCCTGCCTGAGCTGATTGACCTCCACAATCATATATCCGTACTTCTGAGAGAGCAGGGCTTGATCATGGGAAAAGTTCCAACTCACAAGTCACCAGCAATCGTACTGAAAATACTGGGTGAAAAATACTTCCTAACCCTCAAATCGGGCTGGATCATGGGGGTTTATCGGACTTCGCTTCTTAGATTACTTGTGTTATATGAGTTCTTGTGCCTGGAGTTTCTATCCTTCTGAAAGTCCGCCGTTTGTAATTCTGGCTTGGCTCTGCCGTTGCTTTCATCCCATGTTCTGGAAGTTCAGACACATCCCATCCCATCGTTGGTTTTGCGGTCGCTTCAATGATTCACCAACTCCTCACGTATTTCACAATGCATTCTTTAGAGAATGATTCTTTGACAAAGTTTCAATGGTATCATATTTTGTGGTTAAAGAGAATAGCCATCGATGCCCTCGAAGTTGAGTCCCTTTGATCAAGGCAAATCTCCAAGCTCAAACGCGATTGACAAAGTCGAAAGCCCTGTACTGTTTTGTTTTGTTTTGTTTTGTTCAAATTCATGGATTCTAAGATTACTATTCCCATGTAAGCCACATTACCTTTCGGACGAATGGTATATAAGAATGACATGATCATTATCAATTTGAACTTATGATCGTTACTCAAACGACCACACACATGACGCGAATCAGCAGATGGTCGAATAAATTTGTTGGAATGTAAGCGCGATCGCGCTGGGTACTCTAGAATTACCTAATAATAATCATTCTTTCAGCATTTGGTAACTTTGACCACATTGGGGTGTTGATCGGAGCATTTATATGCTCTTGCCGCGCGGTACTGGTCGTGGTGCAGAATTTGGTCACAAGGAATTCAGGCTCGCTAAGAATTTGGACTGCGGACAAGAAGAAAACTACAGTATTTTAATTTAGCTACGAATGAAGGTTGGCATTTCCAGAAAAGAACATCCCAGGCTGCGTATGTTGTGAATGCCCGAATCACAAATTATTTTCGCCATATTACTTATGTATGTCGGTACTGCCATTTCCAATAACCCAAATAGGAATTGCTGCCTTATGTTTTCAGTAAATTTACCTAGCGAACTGAAGGAATCGCCAGAATTCTACTTCTAAGGTAAGGCCAGATGTCAATAGTCATTGATGGCTAGAGCCTGGTTCAAACGGGGTCTCTCCCCATTCAATCTATTAGTATAATGTTTTGTGAGCTATCAAACGGATTTGACCATGATTTGGCCTCCGGATGGCCATGGTTTAGGGCGGAAGTTCCTGTGGCTTATATTCAATCTGCTTCCTAACTACAATTCTTGAAAGAGAAACCTCAGTGCTGCATGTGCCAGAGAGATCAAACTCTTTGCGGCGTGTAATCAATGATACCTCATGTCAGGACTGTTTAGAAAAACTAAAAACAATGCGCCCGAGAACGCCACTACCTCTTCGCAGAAAAGCAGTGGTGATAGGCCTAAACAAGAAAGAAGATACTCGGAAACGCGCAAAAGCGAGACTTCCAATCGTCCTCATCTATTCAAATCAAAAACGTGGCATATATCTGGTGGCAATAGGGAGAACCTTACCGCTGATGAATTAAGACCTAAACTACCAAAGTCACCAAAGAAAAATGTACTTGTGAAGTCCTTCTTCTCCACGAAATCAAGGAAGGCTTCGGCTGAGGAAGATGACTCGGATGATGAATTTTGGCATTGCAAAGGAGGTGAAGGAACTGGAATGCTTGTGGGGGATGGAAGTCTGTCAAGAAGAGATGCAAACCACCGCCGACCAGCCAACGCCAACGCGCGGGATACAATTCCTAGTCGCTCTAAGCCTAATTCTGGCCACTTACAGCGTAGAGTTTCTACTCGAAAGACTCGTGTCACTTCCAAACCAACGATGCCAAACAGTCGTTCTAGTCCTAAGGATTTATCAGCTTCACGAACGGCAGCAACATCATCAGTTCCTTCTTCGACCAACTCTAGATCACCTTATGGAAAGTCATCAACAGCATCCTCCTTCCTTAATCCACGCTCGATTAGTTCTGTGTACAACCAAGGAGGATCTGAAAAGCTTAGTTCTCAAACCCGGAGCTTTAATGATAGCTCTGAATCGGAAGTAAATCGTCGTGGAAGAGATGGTAGGAACTTGCGCAGAGAGGGGTGTAGGAAAACTGAAGGTATGTCTTTCTTTTCAGTGCATATATTCTGGTAGAGATAATTTAACAACAAAGCAGGCCATGCTTCTGACGATAGCACTTCTTCTGGGGAAAACCACGACAACAGATTTAGATCGAGTAACCATACTTCCAAGACATCAACAAACAATACCAGCAATCAGAAACGTCGTCTCAATGAGGAAAAGAAGAAACAAAACTTCGGCACCAGGGCTAGGAAGGACGATTACTACGATTATTCCGGGGAAATACACGACAAGTCTCGCAGCTCTCGAAATGAATACAAGTTACCTTCCACAAGAGCAAGAGAACTTGTTCCCTCGGCACAAAGAGCTGTAGTAGTCGAACGGGGAGCCAAGAATAAAGTGTTGCCTATAATACCGGTCGACACTCACAATCCTCATTTCGTGTAATAATCGTGTTGAAGAGAGTATTTGTAAGTGCTTGACTAGAGGCATGTTTATCGGCCAATTGAGGTTTTTGGTGCGCTGTAACTCGGAGGTCACTTTGAGGAGCTTCAAATAGTATGGCAGCTAGCGAGTGCATGATGGCAATAGTAATGTGACAGTAACCGAAATTGACACGATTCAAGGGCTTTATATTTTACTACTCTTCACTACATTCCAGACTAATGATCCTTTTTTACGACATCCTTTTCTTGTTCCATTAAATTTCAATAATTTGTACTTATATTAATCTCCCTTTTTGTTTCTTCACCAAATGTACGTTCAATAGTTTTTGCGCATTTTTTTTATGTCTTTGTTTTCTATTCAGTTATCTATTACAACAACATACCGTGAGGCTCCAACCTAATACCATTGTCAAAATACATCAATACAGATGGCTTTTGATCATCCTCCTAGATTCCAACGAAATAAGCCAATAATCCTTCCAGAGGCTGACGCGATGGAATTCTATAACCGCCAACGGCCAGCCCCACCCAAAGTACAAGTCTTCAGGTAAATGTTTTAAGTAACCTTGTGAATCCTATTAGCCTTGCTCCCGTAGCAATCTGCGCTCATATCTTTTACTGAAGGAAATGCCATGCAAATGTTGGTAATACTTATATTGAAGTGTCAAGAGCACAGTGGAGAAATCTGCTCCCGAGAAATAATAAGGTTGAACCTAAATTATTGTACCACCAGTAAATCATGTACTCAATCAGGAGCAAACCCATCACCGAAGAAATAAATCACCAAACTCGAACTTGTAGTAACACCGATCCAAAACAAACAAAAAGATCACACTCTAACTCCACCGCGTCCACAGACTCGGGGTATGCAAGCGGATGGGGTTCGATTCATTTCTGTTCAAAGGGATCATATCGACAAAATTCTTTGTTTAATGACGATCATCCGACATGCGAGGGACATCCTGTAGTTTTTGAGTATGGGGATGATGTTAAGGTACTTTATGTCGGAGAGGCAAAAGTTACAAATGTGAGAGAACAAATGGGGAAATCGAGGGCAATTATCATTGATTCATCATCACGGAGAAAGAAATTAGGAAGCGCATATAGATATTGCGGAAGTGGGTGTGACGCTCATACTCGCAATAGCTGGATATCAGAGAAACCAAAACCGATACGAAGAGGGAAGATGGTGAAAGATGAGCGGGGTCGCATAGCACCGGTGTATTGTGATGAAGGACCTATTGATTTGGGAAGGAGAATTGCTTGGGAATCTATTAGGTCTGTTTCTTTGAGTAGGTTTTATTTTCTGCGGGATATTAAAAGATGTGCTGATATGGAAATAGCTTTGAAGGTGCCGACGATACAGGCTCGAAGCGGAATCGAAGGAGGGATAGAACTGAGTGTGAGGCATTTATGGAGTTGGGGTTTTAGGAGTTGATGAGATGAGATGATTTTAACTTTTATGTTGGGCTTGGAAGATGTAGCGGCTGGATGGATTTTCCGATTTGTGGTACGAGAAGACACATAGCTGAGTCGGGATGCGGCTTTGTCCCAGGGCTTCTGATACTTTGTGAATAGTTAGCAATGTCAAGGTCTTAAATCCTTAACCAGGCTGTGACATTTAGTTCATTCCGAAGATTCGGTCTTTTCGAATATATATCAGACGCACATGGAATATCAACCATTCCAAGATATGACCTTGGGATGTAGCGCCAATTTATTCCCAGTCGGACCTCCGTGCATATTCTCTGTTTCTAGATCGAAAATAAGAAATGGAGCAAAAACCTTATGCTGATGAAAGTGGGAAGAGAAAGATTGGCAAATATGGCAAATATGGCAGTGGGTTTTTATGAACTAAAGGGATAAGAAAATAATAAGGTAGCTTAGGTTCGAGCTTCATGGAACTGGCGAAAACAAATATTGTCGCTATCAATAGCTAAGTGTATACTTTGCTTAAGTACATCTTATTCCTGCCTCAGATATATATGTGCATATGATCAATCATTAATCTATCGTGGTATTCGCCCGTCTAAAATGCTCATGTCCATACCATGTTCTCATATCATCGTGGTATCCGGCAGCCGAAATGCTCATTCCAAAACAATTTTCCCACAAAATCATGCAAACTTCTTAACATGCATTCCAGTTTTGCACAGTCTAGCTGCAATGAAACAAGCAACAGTAGCGAGAAGCAAGGCTCCGCAAAATGCAATAGTAGGAACATATCCTGAATTGGAAAGTATCTGTCCAGCAACTGGTGTCCCGATCAAAAGTCCTAATCCACCAATCGCAAACGTCATGCCCATTCTCGTGCCTACTACCCCTAAATGTGGACTCAACGACACGATAACGGTAGGTGGAATTGACACAAAACATCCTGTTGAGAATCCGTAAAGGATAGCAAATACAACGAGACCGCCAACAGAGTGGATACCGATCCAACTAAAAGCTGCGACGCTGGCGATCAGTGTTCCTGGTATGATGATATTTAAGGGTCCAAACTTGTCTGCGAAGTAGTTGGGAATAATGCGACCGAAGATAGATGCCGCATTGATGGTACTCAACATATAAAATGCCGAGTTGGAGGACATGATATTTTCATCTATGGCGTATGACGAAATATAGTAGAAGGGGATATTGAGACCCATGAATCCGAAAAACAGCCCCATGGTAAAAAGGATGTATGGTGGTTCTTTGAATGCGGCCAGGTCGATTAGCTTTCGTTTTTGCGAAGGCTTAATACGCATCTTCATTATACTCATGGATATTGTAAGGGTGGCGAGAAAAATGAATCCAAGGGCTCTTGTCGTCCAGCCAAAGCCTATCTTAGGTTCAAGGTTATGGAAAATAATTGGGTAAATTACACCACCTGAAGAGGTTAGCCACTGATTTTGATACCTCAAGTTTCATTTTATAGAGGCGAGCTTTGAAATTAATACATACCAAGGGAGCTTCCACTAGCAGCAATTCCAGTCGCAAAAGCTTTCCGTGTCGAAAAATAAGTAGAAACAATTGCGACGCTGGGAACGAAAAGACATCCCAGTCCAATTCCCATGCAGACTGCTTGGGCAAGTATGATTTCCCAATAGGTTTTGGAGATAGATGTCATCATCATACCGAAGACGACTAGAAATGTACCAGTAGATAGAAGTGGGCGAAAAAGTCCAGCATCTAGATAGAGGTTGGTTTTTGATAATGATAAAAGGAGAGGTTAGGAAGGGAAAAGGCACCTACCGAAGAGAGGACCAGTAATAACTCCCACAAGTAAAAGCAAAAATGCTTGAATAGAGCCAATCCATGAAACATTAGATGGCGACTCATGAGATAGTAAATCACTTTCATAAAAAGTTTGGAATGCACCAAACATATTTACTATGCCCCTGTCGTCTCACTGTCAGCCATTCAGCCATTTCCATCAGTGGAACTTTGAAGTCTAGAAATACCATGAATTGAAAAATAGAAAAAAACTCCCAACGACTTGAAGCCACGCAAAAACTCCTCCATTTGGAATATCAGCATGTGGATTTGGAGCTACTTGAGGAAGTTCTTCGGCAATAAATTCAGAATCATTACCCGATAAATCGGGCGACTTTTGATCTTTTGATCTGACAGATCCCCTAGCTGAAGTATTTTGATCTAAGTCGGTTGATATTTGGTCAGACGGGAAATCGAGTGGACCCGTTTCCGAATTTTCTTGTGAATGATTGTGCATGGCTAGGTAGATCAATATGGACGTCCCTTTGCCTTCAGAATTTATTTCATTTGTTGAGTACTATCCCGTATGTATCGAACAAGTACATCCTTCTCTCTTATAACCAATCCTTCGCGCTAAGAAGTTTTCAAATCAATATAACCTGCAGCTAAATCACAATCTATAGGGCGCGGATTTGATATAAATAGACCGCGGATTTTGCGGTAGGATCTACTCATTGAGTGATTATCTCCGCCAATCGGACAGTATTTTGATGATAAGGTCGCTAAATGTGTGGAGAAAAGTCCGTGGAGTAATTAAGAACTGGGTGAGTTGATGGGATTCCTTGGGGTTTCTCATTTAGCTTGAGCATTTCGAATGTGTTTAGATCTCGGGAAAAAAGTGTTAGGGCCGAGAGTGTTATCGGCAAATTTGTAAAAAGAGACGAAACTCATAGCAATGGGCGGTAGAGTGGCATATTGATATTGAGAAAGAAGCGAGGATTAGATATTTTAACGACGGATTCGGGAACAGGCCAGGCATCGCGATGTGTCATTGAAAGATCGGCGTCAGCATGCATACCCTCCGGGAGAAATAGCTATCTATCATCTCGTTGACCTCTTTCATTTACTGTTGTTTCCTTTAGATGCGTATATCGTGTATTGTGAACTGCGTATCGATATGAGGCATTCGGACTATGAAGCGTAAAGCACTTTTCGACACCAGAGCTCCACTAGTACTTATTGGGACTAGCTCACCCTCTCACCATCCTTTTTACCCGACCCGCTAAGGTGGACCTCAACCCTGTGCACGTGCAAGTAAATACATACAGAAGTACATACTTACTTAGAGAGACAACATTAGACTTGTATTAATCCGCCGCCACCGCATCTCATCCCAAAATATATAAGACTTCATCATGTTCCCGCGAAAACCAACGAATTACGAACCCAGGAAATTTGCGTCAAAAAATCAATAATCAATCTTCACGAACACATTAATCAATCGAGACTCCAAACAACAGAAAGCAGTCGGTACCTATTCTACCCTCCAAAACAACACCCATTAGATTACTATTGTATGAAAGATTTGTTAAGAAATATGGACCATTGACAATCGCCGCTTACTCAATAATTCAAACCTTCGATCCGGCCACCCCGCCACCATTCGCAGCTTCCCTTGAATCTGTGCTTCTTTCGTAGCTATAAGCTCAACTCGTGCAGCGACGTAAGGGCCCCACGTTCAGTGAGAATTGCCAGCTAGTTCGATACCGAGCACTGATGTAGTCTTAATTTGTACGTCGCCATGCATTCCACGATCATGTCCAAATGGATGGGCACTATCTGGAGAAGCGATATCTTCGCACACGGGGCTGCAGAACGTGACTAGAGAGTGAGTTCTGGCCTTGATAACGAGGTTTAATTCGTTCGCTAGGTAGGAAATTTCAATACACGACGGTGTACAGACATATATGATTTCTCGTTAGGATTTTCCGCAAAGAAGACAGAGTAGTAAAAGTATCTCGACTAGCTCTCCACCTATTCGCTTGAACATGTCGGCGTCGACTGCGTAATATATATTTCCGTTAATGGCATTTATTGCGTCATAGACGAAAAGGGTGCTATTGTTCCAAAGACAAAATTGATTCTGAATTGAAATTGTCAATCTACTCAGGAGATACTAAGGTATGTTATGATTCGTATTCAAAAAATTTAAGGTATTGCCGACCTTGCATATGGCATATACTAGCTCGATAATGTTCGATGTCTTGTGGCATACTCGAAAAAACGGCTTCCAATAGGTACCATAATACTTTTACCCGAAATACCATTCTGATACTCAGTTTGTTGAAGCAGGATGAGTGAAAGTATTCAGGAATATCGCTTAAATTCATGGCCTTCAAGGGGGTTTGGAGGAGCGATACTGTTGTCATATATTTTCTACTGTTCCTATGGTGGTTCTCCAATTGTGCAATGTTGGATCTAGATAATAGAAGACAATCATCCCGTACGATGCCTCTAGTAGCGAGAATATCTAGAGTGTAGCCGGTTAGGTGATGGATGGCTTCTAGGCGATTTTGTACTTCTCCTTGTTCAAGTGGATAACCTTACCGTGTAATATTGCAATTTCCAGATGCCCAAGTAACAGGCGGGGAGCAGCTTTTCCCGGCAAGTTCTAACAGTGCCGATGAGGAACTTTCGAGACCACAAGGGCCCCAAACTAAAGGTTCATTCTAAGCATCAGCGTTGATTCTCCAGATTTGAAACTTCCGCAAGAGATGAAGCTGGAGAATCCTTTCTCCCCGTCCTACGCAGAAGAGACTTTCGGGTTGAATAAGCATCCACGGCGTTTTGCCAAGAAGTCCTTAGCCAAGGCTCCCCAAATACTCACACGGCAGGGCAAAACACCCTCGAAGCAGCGGTACAGAAGTCTTGATCCGGTGGGTATACGATTTGTTGAGGCCAATAATGCCATCATTGAAAATTCTCTCTTCTGCGCGGAGCTACCCCTGCCTGCGAAGTCATCCACGGTGGTGGAAAACACGATTTTTGTTCAGCCTCGCAATCATGTTGCTTTCGAGACTCCTTTGAACACGAGATGATTGTGGTTTGTAGTACTTTGCGTTCTGGTCTTCCATTTTTGTGGTACAAGTTGTTACGACAGCTTCGGGCTTCGTATCATATGACTACCTTATGAAGTCACGTGGTCCCTCAGATCCCTTCGGTCCCTTGACAGAAAGGACCAAAGAGACCGAAGAGATATACAGCATGAAGGTCTATATAACCAAGATGGATTTCCTTTGTATAGAGCTTCGTATTCAAGATCAATTATTTAGTATACTCCACTACTAGCTACGAATAATATATCATTATCGTTGTTATTTAAATCCCTATTTGACGTCTAATTATAAACCTACCTCGAAAGCCTAGAACACTTTCACATGATCTAGACGGCTACCCTCGTAACACGAGTCTCCTCGTGCTCACTTTGTTAGCTTGCTATGATAAGTCTTACATTCTCTAGCTTCTTGCGGTTTGTTAAAGGTCTTCTTGAGGTGGTAATTTGTACTTGGGCATTCACATGCAAGCAATATATCATGGGTGGTCGTGTAATCTATGAATAGCTTTTGTAAGACTTACAATATTTAACATGACTGTCACCGTTGTTAATATAATTTTCCCGTCGACGATTTTTCCAGATGATCGCATCTGAGCCTGAACAATATAAGATAAAATAAAAAGCTGGAAAACTGTAAAGTAATCGTGGTGTTGTACGGATGGTGCGGGTTTCTTGATGTGAAATTCCTGTCGGCTTTGCATTTGTAAGGTCTTACATGCCACACAGCCATGCTGCATTGTGGGACCCGATATGTTACTTTGAAATACCACATGCAGTCATCTCCAAAGCATTCATGAGCTTTCATAGACACGCGCTTTGTCATCAAAAATATTAAATCTTGCAAACACTAAAGACTAAATATTACAAAGACTTAGCAATGCTCATCTAAACAATTACAAATATGGAGCACACGGTATTATTCCGGTAGTCCATGCTGACATTTCAGAATCGGAAGTTGGTAAGACCAATTAAAAGTTCTCAAGTGGAATTGTGCGGTGTAAATTTACTCTCTCCGATCGAGTGGAACCTCGCTATATTACCGGACACTTTTTATATCAAAATACCGCATATACTGCATTATCTTCAAAGCTTTCCCATTTTCGTACTGGATCTTCCGGTATTTTATTAAAATCTTCGAACTTTAACCATTTTTAATATGGGATACCCAATTATATAAATCTTACCCTAAAACTCACCAACACCAGAATAACACTAAAACTTATTTTTGAACCCACTTTTGCTTCCTCCCCAGAGAAGCTAGGGACTGAAGTAAGCTTAGTATTTTTTTGTGTGTTCTGGTGTAGGCAAGTTTACACAGTATGGGCCTACTTCTTGTATCCAGTAAATGCGGTTTTACAATACTATCTGTGGACACATGATGTTTGGGTAATTCTGATATAAAGTCAAGCTCACACCCACCAGTCCAAATTTCTGAGTATTCTCTTCACAACTCACGTTATATTCTCCGACATGCCTTCCCGCACTTGGCCCTACACGAATGATAATGGGCAATCCGAGGAATTTAAGCCCAAAATGACTGATGGAGTCATCGAGACTGACTTACTGATTGTTGGAGCTGGGCCTGCTGGAGCAGCTCTGGCTTGTTTTCTGGCCCATCATGGTGAGTCCGTATATATTCCTTGAGTATTCTCTACCTGCCTACATACATCTTACAGAGCTTTTCAATGCCTGGAGAATGAAATAAGTAGCAAGAGCAAAATGAATAACGGTACTAATATTCCTAGGACTTCGAGGAATGGTTATCGCAGCCACTCCTGGTACGGCTGACACTCCTCGTGCCCACATTACCAACATGGCAGCAATGGAATGTTTGCGTGATATAGGTTTGGAAAAAGAGTGTTTACAAGTTGCTGTTAAGGGTGATTCGATGTTACACACGCGGTGGTGTCGTACTTTAGCTGGCGAGGAGTTTGCAAGAATTTACTCATGGGGAAATGACCCAAACCGCGCTGTAAGTTGAGGAGTAAAATGAAGGAGCTTTGTAAAAGCAAAACTAACATGTGCGGCAGGGCGATTATGATGCTGCAAGTCCATGCAAACATGTTGATATTCCTCAGACCGTTCTGGAGCCAATCCTGATCAATCGGGCATCTCACAGTGGGTTTAATTGTCGGTTTGATACCACCTTCTTATCTTTTGAAAATGATTCGGCCTCAAATACAATTATCAGCAAAGTCCAAGACAATTTAACGAAACAAATCTATCACATCCGGTCTAAATACTTATTCGGATGTGATGGAGCTCGAAGTCAAGTTTTGAGACAGTTACAAATCCCTTTAATCAAAAAGCCTGGAAAAGGGGTAGCTGTAAACGTACTGGTCAGAGCGGAATTGGGACATATCATGGAGAATAGAATGGGAAATTTGCATTGTGTTATGAGGCCGGATGAAGAAAATCCTGACTATGGATGGACTGGTATTGCCAGAATGGTGAAACCTTGGAATGAGTAGGTTCTCTGCCAAGTTTGATTAAAAACAATACTGACATTTCAGGTGGTTGTTTGTTCTTCTTCCTTATCCTGGAAAAAATGTCAATGCATCAGACGAAGAGTATTTGGAATGTGTTAAAGATATGATCGGAGATGAGTCAATTTCCGTTGACTTACTCGGAGTCTCGAAATGGACTATCAATGAAACGGTGGCGGAATACTACTCCGACGGCAATATGTATGTCTTCTACCTCCATCATGCTCTATTTCGCCCACTAAGTTACCCAGCTTCTGCCTCGGTGATGCAGTTCACCGTCATCCACCAATAAACGGCTTAGGATCCAACACTTGCATCCAAGATGCTTTTAATCTTGCCTGGAAAATTGCATACGTCCTGAAGGGGAAAGCAGATAGCGATCTCCTCAATTCGTATAGCTTGGAGCGGCAGCCGGTCGGCCAATCCGTCGTCAAACGAGCTAATGAAGGGCTTCGAGACCACTTTCCAATATGGGAAGCATTAGGGATGATAGATCCATCTGCCGAAATTCGCCGAAAACATTTTGCGGAACTTCAGGAAGCTACACCAGAGGGAGTAGCGCGTCGAGCACGATTCCAAGCTGCGATAGAAACAACGGCGCATGAGTATCATGGTGTAGGTATTGAGATGAACCAACGCTATGAATCTTCCGCTATTTTTGCTTCCGACGAAAAGCCAAGACCATCTTTGCCAAGGGATCCAATTCTCGAACATGAGATTACTACTTATCCCGGAAACCGTCTTCCACATGCGTGGTTAAACACCAAGGTTCCAGGGAAACGGTTTTCAACCATTGATCTTGCTGGACATGGAAAATTCTCCCTTTTCACGGGAATTGGAGGAGAGAAATGGAGAAATTCTGCCATGAAAGCGGCAGAGACTCTTGGGATTGAGATTAGTGTGCACTCGATTGGCTGGAGGCAAGATTATGAGGACGTATATTTTGATTGGGCACGACGAAGGGAAGTCAACGAGAGTGGATGCGTTTTGGTGAGACCCGATAGATTTGTCGCTTGGAGATCTATGGATATGATAGACGTACCGGACGAGAAGTTATTGCTAGTGCTGAAGACTATTCTGAGTCGCTAGACAGCGGGAAACCTGCGGGATGCAAGGACGAAGGGATTCAAATTGCTGGATCTATGTGAAACATTGAAATTAATCTGAAGTATTGGCATTTAGAATATGAGAATTTAGAAACATTAGGGAATGGGAAATATTAGAATTTGGAATATTAATAAATTCTCAAATATTGAAACTTAAGCTTAAACTGCTAGTCCAAACTATTGGACACCCTGAAGCTTTAGTGTTTTCGATGACTACTCATGTTTACATTAAAGATCAAACCCCACTCAACCGTAATATATCCTTGAAGGAAGATCAAATTCTCTTCAAAGTCTATCTTACATGTCGGATATGCAATACGGTTTTGCTAAAGAAGCTGTCTGGTGCGCTTCTATACACGATGTGGGGTTTGTGACTTCACAACCCCGCTATGGGGTAACATCCAATAAATTCTGATCAACCAAACCCATAAATATTCTCTACCCCTCAGGTCGATTCATCAATACCCGAACATAAAAGAGGTTAACAGACTTGTCGATCAGAATCCCAACTCTGATGTTGAGCTTCCTTTACCCCTCCAACATCCCCTAACTTCTTTCAACATCAAGGAAAGTTTACAGCGACTTTCAGAAAAAATGCTCTACGCTCAAGGAAACCGTCTAGTATATCGCTATGATGCGGAAGAACTTTGGATTGATCCATGGGGTCCAAATGCATTTCGTGTTCGCTCAACCAAAGAATCACAATATCCTGATCCTAACGAACTTTGGGCGCTCCAGGAGATCGAAACAACAGCTCCAACAATAAATGTAGAAGAAAAGGAAGCATCAATAACCAATGGTTCAATTCGAGCAACAATAACCTCAAGAGGAAAAGTAATCATCTACAACGGCGATGGAAAGATCTTATTGGAAGAATACGCACGTCACCGCCTCGATGTGACTGATCCAAAATGTTCCGCAATAAATGTCGAAGCCCGCGAGTTTAAACCCAACCCCGGTGGTAGTTCTACCCATCACTTAACAGTGAGATTTGAATCTCAAGACAAGAATGAGAAGATATTTGGAATGGGTCAATATCAGCACCCTTATCTGGATGTCAAAGGTTTAGATCTCGAACTCGCTCATCGAAATTCTCAGGCTAGTGTACCATTTGCTCTTTCTTCGCGGGGTTATGGGTTTCTATGGAACAATCCTGCCATCGGTCGTGCTGTTTTCGGTAAAAATATCACGTCTTTTGAAGCCTACTCTACCTCGTTTCTCGATTACTGGGTCGTGGCAGGTGAGAGTCCTTCTGAAATTGTGCATCGGTATGCTGCGGTAACAGGAACGGTCCCCATGATGCCGGAGTATGGACTCGGATTTTGGCAGTGCAAATTGCGGTATCAGACTCAAGAGGAGCTATTGGAAGTAGCCAGAGAGTACAAGAAAAGAGAATTACCCATTGATCTAATCGTGATAGACTTTTTTCATTGGCCCACCCAAGGCGATTGGAGATTTGATGAGAAATTTTGGCCGGATCCAGATGCAATGATTAAGGAACTCAAGGCATTGAATATCGAACTAATGGTTTCTATCTGGCCGACAGTCGATACGAGGTCCGAAAACTTTGAAGAGATGCTAGAAAGGGGATATTTGGTACGAACTGATAGAGGAATAAGAATCGTGATGGACTTCGAGGGTGATACGATTCACTTTGATGCCACGAATCCTGGAGCCAGGAAGTATATCTGGGAGAAAGCAAAGAAAAACTACTATGACAAAGGGATTAAGGTATTTTGGTTGGATGAAGCTGGTTAGTATCTTTTATTGTATCGGCCAACTCCGGTCGTTTCTGTAGTCTAGCAAACAAGATTTAAAGAGCTGATTTTGAACCCAGAGCCTGAATATACAGCCTACGATTTTGACAACTATCGCTACCACCGCGGCACCAACCTTTCAATTGGTAACACCTATCCCGTCGAATACGCTCGAGCATTCTACGAGGGCATGTCAGCAGCCGGACAGGAAAATGTCGTCAACCTCCTGAGATGTGCATGGGCAGGATCTCAAAAATATGGCGCATTAGTCTGGAGTGGTGACATTGCTTCATCATGGTCTTCATTCAGAAATCAACTTACGGCGGGTTTAAACATGGGTATTGCGGGAATTCCATGGTGGACGACGGATATTGGTGGTTTCCACGGTGGTGATCCATCCGATCCGGCTTTCAGGGAGTTATTTGTAAGGTGGTTTCAGTGGGGCACTTTTTGTCCGGTTATGAGGTTACATGGAGACAGAGAGCCGAAACAACCCCAGGTTGGCGAAGGGGGTGGATCGACTTGTCTTAGTGGTGCACCTAATGAGGTTTGGTCGTATGGGAAAGAGGTGTACGAGATATGCAAGAAATACATGAAGTTGCGAGAGGAAATGAGAGATTATACAAGGGAAATGATGGTCGAGGCTAGTGAGAAGGGAAGTCCTGTTATGCGCCCTCTTTTCTACGAGTTCCCAGATGATCCACGATGTTGGGAAATTGAGGAACAATATATGTTTGGGCCGAAATATTTGGTCTGTCCTGTCTTTGAGGCGGGGGCAAAACACATGAAGGTTTATCTTCCAGCGGGGCAATCCTGGAAAATAATTGGTCATGGAAACGAGGAATCTTGGAATGGAGGTCAAGAGATTGAAGTAGCCTGCTCCATTGAGACTATGCCCGTGTTCATGAAGAATAATTAGGCTGATGATAATGTGGAATGACCAATTTCATTCTTTGACGGTTTCTTCAGCCTCTTCCCATGACACAAACTTCACATCAATCCCCATCAATAATTAATTGTACAGTTCTACTCGAGTTTGATGTAAAAGAAATACATGTATACAGGCCCTGATACGTAGGATTATAAACTGGCTTTTCCACGACTCTCAAATGGCAAGACCAAAACCAGCAGTCCTGCTGCAATGAATAGAGCCCCACTTGTGTAAACAGGAGCGGACGTTTCCAGGTTTGCAAACATCGCAATAATTGGCTTTTTCTAGATTAGTTTATGTTGATACTGGTAATATACACGCAAATATGCGAGCTGAAGAGGAATGGAGAAGACTTACAGCCATGATCCCAAAGATTCTGTTCGAGGTTGCAGTAAGAGCATTACCAGTACCGCGGTCTTTTGTTGGAAATATTTCCGGCGTGTATGCATACAGAACAGCATACATAACATTGGAACAAAAGTTAAACGCGCAATTCCAGCCCAATAATGCCGTAGATGTCATAGCCGTGGTGGAAGAGTATAAAAATACTCCCGTCGCTATGGTACTAAGTGCAAGAGTTCCTTTCCTACCCAATCTTGGAACTTCAATGAGATAACCACCAACAAGTGCGCCGGGTATCCCAAGTACAGATATAATTAGAGAGTTCCGATATGTCAGATATGTACTACCATCTCCAAATTCAGCACCCCTGGTTGCTTGGATGTAAGGAAGAAATGCATTGTAGAGGGGGTAGCCAAGACCAATGAATGCCCATACTAGCATAATCAGACCGGTAGAAATGGCCAATTCCTTTGTCGCGAATAAGGCGCGAACGTGTGATAAGTCCATTTGATGGAGTTTTCTTGATAAGGTTGCCGAAGCATTCGTATGAGGAAGAGTGCCACATTCCTGGAGACGGGTAACAGTCACTAGTAGAGGGTTGGTATTATTTCAGGGCAGAGCGAAATGAATTAAGTTGTACTCACGATTTGACTGCTTTCCATTTCTCCTAGCAACTTCCTGAACAACCTTAACAGCGTCTTCATCCTTCCCTTTTCCCATCAAATATTTCGGACTCTCAAAGATTGTGAAACAGATGAATCGGATGAAGAACTCAATCATGGAAATTCCTCCCATAACAATAAGAAAATATCTCCAACCCATATTTTTTGATCGAGTGCAAGTTGAATCTTCTTGACATGTGAGATTCCCTAAAAGTGGCCAAGCAATTAAATTTGCGATGACTTGAGCTACGGCCCAGTCGATTGAAAGGATGGTAAGAAGATATTGATGTGAGCCAGGGAGAAATTCAAGAAAGACTGCTGAATCGACAGGAAGATTTCCGCCAACACCAAAACTCCAAAGTGCAGCAAAGCATCCAATAGCCGCAAAGTTTGGTGAACCGGCAGCGATCAATCCAAAAACAGCTGTGATACCAAGTGTGGCATTAAATGCTAAACGTCGACCAAAGATATCGCAACCAAATCCCCAAAACATGGCACCTGCAAGGAGGCCAATATTCTGAGCCAAGGTGAGTAAGGGTGGATGCTTTGGGGAGAATTCGTTGGTAATTGATGTGACTTTGTTCACCGTTAGCTTACAGATCTGATAGAGTGACAAAGTTGGATAGATCCAGTACAGATGAGGGATGTGACAATTGGCCACAAATTATCATTTGCCCAGCCGAAGCCTACAACTACGAACAATTGCCATTGATACCATCCCATACCGATATCTTGTATCTGAATGATATCACATGATTAGTATCTATTACCTTGGCCAGAAGTACCTGACAGCGCAGAGACAGAGATATAAGATCTTACAGCTTCATTCAAGACTCGAGCTTTAGCTTCGTATATTGGATCAATTGTGCCCGGTGGTATTGCTGTCTCAAGATTGAGACTCTCAACTTCCGAGTGAGGAACATAATTATTATCGATATTTCCACTCTTGAAATCAGGTTCAGCATCGTGCTCAGTTGAGGATGCTGGATCATTGTTGTCAATTTCGTTCGCCATCTCAGCTTCTTCGCTGGTCGGTAATCTCTGATACCTCATGAGGATTGCTGAAACCTGAGAAACAGGTTTGATGAAGGACGTAATGAATCGTTCTTACTTATCGGAAATCCTAGGCTAAATTAGTGTACACCTGACGTATGTTGTGTGAACCCCTTCACTCATGCTGTGGAACGGTGAATTTGGGAATAATATTGCTAGTGCTTCGTCTCGGCGTGCATTTTTGCTCCATCTCTTTCTCTCTCGCTCTTTCTCTTTGAAGGGTCAAGGATTTTGATAAATACCTAGATGACAGGGGGCAACATGTGAACTCCTGCTATAAAAATGCAGTCGGTGGCCAACTTGACTTCAGAACAAGGTTTGACTCGATAGTGTGAAAACACAAAAGACGGCGGCAGATTTGTTGCCGATCTTCAAGTAGTAATACGAATTTGGACGTTATGTTGTATTCAGCTTGACCTGTCTCTGCAACTGCATTGCATGCAATGTAACAGCAACATAAGCAAATGTGTCAGGCCACCCGTAGGTTCATGGGTCGAGGGGCCGTTGCTCCAATAACAAAGATAACCCTAACCCTCTTTACACCTATTGCGTTTAATAAGAGCCCTTTCATTGGGTAGGATTAATAAGATCTTGAGAGTTTTGAGAATCAGCATATGGTGCGGGGTAATCAGTAATCGGTATTCGGATTGGGTAATCGGTAAATCAGTAATTGCACCATTCCAGCCCAATTATGCTATTTAGGATATAAGATATTAAGGCATAGGGTCAACATTTGGAAAGGTGTGAATTGATACACAGAGGGTTGGAATAACCGTATAAAAAAGAATTCAGATCCGTTTATTTTGCAATTTAACATGTCAAAATCATTGGAATTTTATCACAATGTAAGATACAGGGTTTCTGACTTCCTACTTCGCCACAGACTAGACCACAATTACCCGTGGCTTCGTAAACATTCGTTGCGACGTTGAAAATCATAATTTTCAGGTGAATGTTGAATTCGCAAGGTAAAAATCTTCTGGAAGCCTTGTTAGCATTTTTATCTGGAGGCGGCTCTCACCTTGAACCAAAATGAAGGGGCTTGGTCCGAGCCTCAGCCGACAAATCTCGCACACTACCACAGTGAATTTTGGATTCTTCATGCAACCATAGGTTTACTACTTTGGCCAAGGATATATTGCATATTCCGTCCTCACATAATTGAGGCGACAAGGGAATGATTATTGCGATGGCTTCACTGCATGTAGATGGGGAATTGCATTCTGGCGGAATCACCACTTGATCGTCTGACGCGAATAATTGACATTTAATGTCTCATGCCACCAAATATTTTAGCAATCTTTATGGCTCCATCCTCTTATATCATGTGGCTGTTCACTTACCGTTTTATAGGGAAGAGACTGCGAGGTACTTCAATGGACCTTCAAACCTCACCGCATATCGCGCTCAGCTCTCTGTTGTTCAATCCGTTCAATGACAAAATATTCTGATTGTTTTCTTCCTATGTCTATTCTGTTTTCAAGGGTTCTTCATGCATGTTGATGCTAGAACCCGTCTAAATATCTGTCCGGTCGTTCTAGTGCTTCGCAGATTAGCTAGATAAAGCTAAAATTTCAAGCTTATTTTTTCCAAAGTACAGAAAAACTTCATTTTATCTCCTAGTATGATGGCCGTCCGGTGTACGTGTTCAGACATGTCAATAACTTCTGCCCACTCCAAACTTAGCCGAAGTCCATAGTGAGCAACAAAATTATCGACGGCAGTGCTCCCAAACTGGCATTTTTAACCTCATTTCGGATCTCTATTCATTGAAGATAGTCATTCTCCGAGAAATCAATTCCTTAGTCATCAATTTTGACCAGTCTTGTTGCTGCTGTGAGCTGGAGTACAGGGTGCAGTTAAAGGAGCTTAGATCACGCCTTAAACCAGTTGGAGATGGATATCTTAGATCAGGTAAATGAACCATTGCCATTGAAAGGGCCAGCACCAAGAAAAAGGTAGTGAACAAATTGCTGTTATGCCTATCGTCTTATTTTACATCGCCTCGCCAAAATGAAGGCCCCCACCCACAGTGAATCAAAACGCAACCAACTAGACATCATCCAAGCATTTTGGTTTTTATTCTTGCTCCGATTTTCTTTGCCTTTAGCTTCACTGCTTACTAAAGGAAAACTCGAGTCTCCATACCGTTACCAGAAGAGCATCCATGGCAATAAGACTTTTGAACACAGCGCAGACATGATGTATTGGATGAAAGGCAGAGCACAGTTGAGAGACACATCCTGCTGCTTGAACTTCAAGACCACATTGACACTTCAAGGTTGGACATACCCCCAAAAATGGAACTTACTGTTGGTGGCAAGGGCAATTGGCGTTTAGTAAATACGCACGATAGATAAATTGCAAAGTTCGTAGGTATACCTAAGAACAATAGCAGATAGAAAATCTTTGAAATGGCTATGAATGTTGTGAAGTAGTGCAAAGATTCTACTGGTCACAAATGACAGATTTGTTTGATGGGGAAATATCCACTCAGAAATTCCATGATCATTCCTTGGTAAGATCTTACTTCTGAAGCGGCATATATCCATACACTCTAAACTGTTTGTACATTCCACCTCGCATCCTCACTATGCATCGCACGCCGGGAATTCGCAACTTGGAGCATTTCCGACGCCAATTTCAAAAATCCGTAACCCTCCCATTATAACTCCAATCCCCCCTCTCACCTGAACTTCCCCACCTCAAAGGTTCATTCTTTGGTCCACCAACTTCGCCAGTCTTTGGATTAATTTCCCCTTCGAATTCTGGTTTTGCACCTCTGCGAATGTCCGGATGCAATTCCTCTCCCTTTCCCGTGGCAGATACCTTAGCATTTACAGCCGCCAATTCTATATCCTCTTTCTTAGCCAAAGTGGTGGCTGGTGATTGATTGATTTGTGGTTTTGCTCGAGTAGTTGACTTCGGGGAATCGGTAATGACGTCTGTTTTCGGGGTACTAAATGCACCAGTAGAGGATCGTTGCAGACGTTCAAATTCTTCTTGTTCCTTTGGTGGCAGACGTGGCGGAGATGGACCAGTTGCGAATGCTGTTCGACAAGTTGTATGTGAGAAGAAGCGACGGGAAGGAAGAAGAAATCTTGGTGGTAAAAGTCGAGACATTTTCTCAAATTTTGATGAAGGAGAATTGAGGATTGTGGATTATGTTTTATGGATTATGGGTTGAAAGGCGAGCACTAGGTCGGATATTGGGCAGATTACTCCGTATAATTAATGCTCGTATTGATATCGCACTTTTTCCTTTTGGATATATTCGAATTCGATTTGTGTATTTGTTAGAATTGATGCTGTATGTATTGAGAAGACAGGACTAGACAAGCAAGACCAGATTTGTGTTATTAGTGAAGATTTCGGTCGATCGATGAGATAAGTACCCGGTAGTAGGTAGGAATAGTAGATGGAAATACTAGATACGGATAATAATAAAGTCATGACGAAGTTTAATAATTTGATCGCAACCAATACCAAACTACAATTGGACGGAGCTAGCATTCACGTGACAGCTGCTGGCAATATGGAAAGAGATTGCGAGATTTTGCCAAGGCGGTGACTTAATTGGGCGATAACTTGTTCTTGTGCTCGAGCAGTGAGGGGCGAATGGGGTTTTAATGCTTTTGACTCACTCTCTTTTGGGTGATCAATAAGAATTATATATACCAGAAAGAAATCCAGTTCTGAAGAGTCAAAACTTCTCTTCCTCAATCAATTCATCCATATCCCGCTCATCTCTTTTCTTTCCCTTTCCCCTTCCCTTCCCTTTCTCTTTCTCAATACCCCTCTACACTTCTTTACACGTCAATCTACAATTCAATATGGAGCATTTAAAGAACACATTTGCACAATGCAAGAAAGAAGGAAGATCCGCATTGGTAACATATATCACTGCCGGTTTTCCTCAAGCAGATGATACCGTTGATATTCTATTAGGAATGGAGGCTGGTGGCGCCGGTAAGTACTGACTACCCTTTCAATTGACCTTTGGGAAACTAACAAATCTTCCCAGACGTCATCGAATTAGGCATTCCTTTCACAGATCCCACGGCAGATGGTCCCACGATTCAAAAGGCGAACACCCAAGCTTTGAAAAATGGTGTGACGGTCACTTCGGTTTTACAGATGGTACGGGATGCAAGAAAGAAGGGATTAAGGGCACCAGTTCTTTTTATGGGTTATTACAACCCATTTCTGAGTTATGGAGAGGAAAGGTTATTGAAGGACTGTCGGGAAGCTGGTGTCAATGGCTTCATTGTTTGCGATCTTCCACCTGAAGAAGCTGTGAGCTTCAGGAAGTTTTGCACAACTGGAGGGTGAGCACTATTGCAGCAGTGGCACGTGTGACATTTGAATACATTGCTGACAAAATTATTAACTAGATTATCCTACGTTCCTCTCATCGCTCCCTCAACCTCCGAATCCCGAATGAAGCTTCTTTGTAAGCTTGCGGACTCCTTCATTTATGTTGTTTCAAGAATGGGTGTGACCGGAGCTACGGGAGGCTCAATGGATGCTGGTTTGGAAGGATTGTTGAAGAGAGTCAAAGAATATTCAGGAAATGTTCCAGCGGCTGTTGGTTTTGGCGTTAGCACAAGAGAACATTTTTTGCAGGTCGCGAAAATCGCAGATGGAGTTGTTATTGGCAGTCAAATTATCAACACCGTCAATCAAGCACCTGCCGGAAAAATCGCGAAAAGTGTGGAAGAGTACTGTGCAGCAGTTTGCGGCAGACGAGGTGCTCTGAACGAGGGTTTAACGAGGGAAGTTGGCATGGCCGAGGCAATAGATGTTGCCGAGGAACCCAGCGGAGAAAATGTCACCGTTGATGCTGTCATTAGAGACGAAGATAGATCGGGACCTGGTTTAGCAGATCAGATTGAAGCCTTGAACACGAATGGTTCTCTGGATCCGAAACTTTCGGCTCAAAAGTTCGGCGAATTTGGTGGACAATATGTACCAGAGGCACTCATGGACTGCTTGTCAGAGCTTGAAGCAGGATTCAATGCCATCAAGGATGACCCAGCATTCTGGGAAGAATACCGAACATATTACCCATGGATGGGACGACCAGGCCAATTACACGAGGCTGAAAGACTCACCGAGTATGCTGGCGGTGCCAGGATCTGGTTAAAGAGAGAAGACCTGAACCACACTGGAAGTCATAAGATCAACAATGCTCTGGGACAAATCCTTCTCGCCCGACGATTAGGGAAAACTGAGATCATCGCAGAGACTGGCGCAGGACAACACGGTGTGGCCACAGCGACAGTATGCGCAAAGTTTGGTATGAAATGTACAATTTATATGGGAGCAGTAAGTTCAAATAATCTCCTTTACTTGGCTTTTTTTCCGCTAATCAATTTTATAGGAAGATGTAAGAAGACAGGCTCTCAATGTTTTCAGAATTAAGCTTCTCGGTGCTTCAGTTGTCGCCGTCGAGGCTGGTTCGCGTACCCTTAGAGATGCTGTCAACGAAGCTATGCGTTCCTGGGTGGTCAAGCTTGATACTACTCATTACATCATTGGTTCGGCAATTGGTCCTCATCCATTCCCAACCATCGTTAGAACATTCCAATCCGTCATTGGTAACGAGACTCGAGCCCAAATGCTAGAGAAACGTGGTAAACTCCCTGATGCTGTTGTTGCATGTGTCGGAGGTGGTAGTAATGCGGTTGGCATGTTCTACCCGTTCTCGAAAGATCCAAGTGTCAAATTACTAGGTGTAGAAGCCGGTGGTGATGGTTTAGACACAGATCGTCATTCCGCTACTCTGAGTGGTGGAACAAAGGGTGTTCTACATGGTGTCCGCACATATGTTCTTCAGGACAAACATGGACAAATCTCGGACACTCATTCCGTATCTGCAGGTTTAGATTACCCAGGTGTTGGACCAGAATTAAGTAATTGGAAAGATAGTGAGCGTGCCAAATTCATCGCGGCAACAGATGCCGAGGCATTCAAGGGATTCAGGTTGATCAGTGAGAAAGAGGGTATCATACCGGCTTTGGAGACTGCGCATGCCGTGTGGGGAGCAGTAGAATTGGCAAAGACCATGACCAAAGATCAGGATGTTGTCATTTGTTTAAGTGGTAGAGGTGATAAGGATGTACAGAGTGTTGCAGAGGAATTACCCAAGTTGGGTCCAACGATTGGATGGGATTTGAGATTTTAGACAAAAGTTGCAGATTGGAAGAATGGGGGGCGTTGCAAGGTTTTGTAAATATTGAGATATTCATGAGCGTGGATAGACGGTTAGACCGAAAAAGTACTCTTATACAATAAATGCAATTGATGATTGTGGCAACCTAACACTCAAATTCCGATTATTTACTAGCCACACTCTCAAGCCTTTGCTTTCCACCTGATGGATACCTCTCAGGACTCCCGCTGGGCAACCTCGTCTTCTTCCTTGAACTTCTCGGAAACAATTGATATGCTAACCTTTGACAAGCAGTCTGAGATGTTATGACATACACGATCACGTTCCAAACACCCTGCAACGACAACATCAATGATTCAATATAGTTCAATGAAAAGTTGATGGCCGATGGATCGGCCATTTGCCAGATTCTGTTGACACTCGCGGGAACCCATGTGATAATCATAGCAATGAAGAAAAGAATAGCCACCCGTGCATACAGCCAGGCTTCGGGGTTGGTTTCAGACTGTGCAACCTCTCTGGTCAAACTTCGCATTCTCCGCATCTGATAAACTTGAGTGTCTTGTTGTTGATATTGTTGTTGAGGCGTCGCTTGGATGTCAACTACATATTGGTCGCAGGGCAAAACATTCTCGGAAATGCCTTGATCGCTCGCATCCTTGACAATTGATCGTTCTTCATAGATTATTTCGATTTCGGTAGTGATTGTGTTTGCGAATGGGGTCTCATTCAGGGGGTTGAGGAAACCATTTAGATGTTCACGCTTAGACCAGATTACTTTCGCTGCCATGAAGTATACGATGAAAGCGAAGAGAATGGTGATCCTTTGAACAGGGCATTAGTGGACTTGATCAAATATGAGAAAAATAATGGAAGCTAAAGCCGGAAGTACTTACCAGACAATACCATACAAGAAAACCAAGCGCATCCAATCCCATTCTTCGCTGATCCAGCACCAAACAATGGCTGATCCATAGACATGACCTCGTTCTTTTGTTGACACGAATAAGAAGACGAAAGCAGGTATGAAGGAGAGCCCATAGCATGCAAGCAGGTACCAAATATCCAATTTTCTCAATTGGTGTGTGGTATATCCTCGAAAAAAAACTAGATATACGTTGATGGCCATGAAGAATGCCCAGTAACAATCAACTCCACGGAACATTTGAACCAAGAAGGCTTGGACTTGGCATATTCCGGATGCATTAAACTTTGATCTTTCCATCAACGACGCCGGGCCAAGGTCAGAGATCATACAAGAGATACTTGAGCCAATATTTCCCCATGATGCGAAGAATATGAGGCGATTAATTGGTTTGTCGAAGGATGAAGAAAAAAAGAATGTTAGAATAATGAACAAATTACCAACGATGGAAACAGCTGACGTAATTCGCTCTGTGAGATCAACTGCGGTGTATTGCTCGTAGGTTAGAGGCATGATGACCTCCAATTAGGATTTAGATTTGTCGAAGGTATGGTAGAAGAGTCAGGAGACATACCACACCTTCTATAACGTGCTTCTATGGAGATCTTCAGGAGTCAATCTGAAAAGGAATCAAAGGTGGAAATGACTAAAAAGCGGCATAACAGAAGTTAAGCTTTTTTTTTTCTTTTGCTGTGGGGATAACGTAAATGACATATGCCCCGGAAGTGCTCCAAAAATGCTCCGATTTGTATGGACAAAGGAAATTCTTGATTGACGACTTCATCTTGTTGATTTCGTTTAGACTCTTTAGACAAGGGGTTCGCACTAAAAGTCATGTATTAAAGTTTGCTAGACAACCTTTAATAGCACATTACCGGTGAGACACCGATGTGGCCCCGGTGATCACCACTAATAAACACCCTGAAGCACTGCAAATCTTCGGTAAAGTACCGGCGAGATGTTTCATTTCCCCGGATAAGAAAGCAAAACCACGCGTCAACAAGGTTCTCATGTTGGAATTGATATCTTTACGTGGTAAGCTGCCCCAGATTCCATCAAATGACTTTGTTCGGGATGTAACTTTGAGGCCTGTTGGACTGGAGATGTCATGTAGAGTGCATAGACTTATTATAAATATGGTTCAGAAATGGGCTGCATAGAAATTTCAATGTGCTGCTAGTCAAATGCTGCATGCTGCATTGGTAAAGGAGAAAATCCAAAAAACAATTGGGTGCTGAGCTGAAACCTGCAATTGGAGGATGGGTATAGTCGAGTAGGTCCTTTTCCTCTACTTGAATTCGTTCTTACTTAATTAATAGCAGCCTTGAAGGAAGTATTTGCAATTTTGAAGCAACATGATGAAATGTGATATTGAATATCGCGATCAGTAAGTAACCTTTCTAGATTCCCAGTAGATACAATACTGCACAGTGCAGACCCATCCCTTAACGAGTACGCGAACTAAAAGTAAGCAAGCCCTGGCTTTGTAGGTGGATTAATCCGTACTTAGACTCAAATTACCCCTAAGCGACCGATTTAATCTTTCTTAATGCCATGTGGCGGCTAATCTAATTTAGGTTTAAGCCCACTAGGTGCCTGGCTCCTTGGCTTTAAGGTTCCAAATCTCGAGACTTCATATAATGATTCAATCCTAAGCTTTTGATATATATCTAGAATACTGATTTTCCCGAAATGTTTTGTAACAATTCTTAATTATCTAGGATTTTTAACTTTGTACACTTCTGCACTGCACTTCACTTCATCACCCCATCTTTTGATGTATAAATTTAATCATATGAAATAACCCAATTTCGGCCTTTTTGTGTGTTCGCATTCCTAGACGTCGTCTCAATTCATTCTTCCTATGTATATACAAACACAAGAACGGAAATCCAAACATTTTGAGGTAGGATATGGGTTGTACTGAAATTAATCCTATCCATTTCTCATTTAGTCATTGGATATAGATACCTAGTAATCTCATAATTCGCCTGCATCACAACTTACTCGAAGATGATCGGAATATGCTAGCACGACTGCTAAGGTTGACTTACTGGCACAACTTCATTGAAAGGTGCATATATATTAGTTGAATCCACCGAAGGCAGTATATCAATAAGAGCTGATACCATACGGGTCCTGATACCTCCGAAACTTTATTTGCTTATGACGAAGTGCAATATCAAGTTATCAAAGTCAGAAAAGTGACATTTACCTCAGAGCATTTTCAGTGGATCTGATTTTAATCTTATATTCAACGTCAATGATGTCGTCTGTCTGATCAATCAACGTTAACCCACAGTGTTTATGTGGATGACCTTGAGGATGAGGAAGCGGTGTCCAATAATTAACTAGTTTTCCCGTTTGATCTCTTTCGAAAATACTTTCCACCTCTAGAGCTAATACATGATACAGCTCACAAACAAAATAAGATTTGTGTTGACAGCTTCTGTCTTCATAAAACCGAAACTGCTCAAGGTGAATGGGCTTGAGAGTACGGCGAATTCGTGGTTAAAGGTTTTTGCCTATCATTACTTTGTAAGGCCCTACCCACAACCAATGCAAAGTTCTCAGCGGCCGTAAAGCACGCCCATGTCTCTATCGTGTTATCCTCGGTGGTCATGTTTGATTTTCTTTAGTTCTATGGTAAGTCTAGTACCCCCTTTTTGGACCACCTCGAATATGGACCATTTTTTTACACCAAAAATTATCATTTTCAACTATTAATAATTCAATAAAAAATGAATAGAATCAATTGAAATTTTGATTATAGATTTATTATATAATTATTGATGGATTTTAAAATTTTCATATTTTTCATAATTTTATTGATTGAGAAATTGAAAATTGAAATTATGATTTTTAATTTGTATTGGATTTATATATAAATTTGAAAATATTGAAAATCTTGGATAACTTTTCAATAAAAATTACTAAAAATAAACTATAAACTTTTTTAAGATTTTTAAACTAAATATTATATAATGATCAATATTTTGAATTTTAAATAATATAAATGAATCTTTATTGATATTTTTAATTTTTGCAGGTATTAAAAATTATAATATTTTTTTAAAACAAATTAATCTATTTAATCATTTATAATATAAATATATCAAAATATTTTATAATTTATTTTTAAAGATTTTTTGAATTTGTATGTAAATCTTATACAAATCAAATATTATAAAATTTAAGATTATAGATCTCAATGAAATAATTTCAAAAAATCTAAAGTTTTTAGAATTGAGTTATAACTATATAATGAATCTATAACTCAAATTTCATCAAATTAAATTGATTGGTTGTAAAGTTGTTAATAGTTGAAAAATGATGATTTTTGTTGTAAAAAGGTAGTCCATATTAGGGGTGGTCCAAAAAGGGGGTATTAGACTTATAGCTTAGTTCCAGCCATGCGTGAATATTGACAATATTACCCTGAGAACATCCAACGAGCATATCAATGTATATAATGAGACATTTTTAATTTGGATTGACGCGATATTCAGATGACTTGGATGATTCAAGCGAACTGAGACAATGCGATGATCTGAGTGACATATCCCTATGGTCCTTCCTACACCAAGCATGCTAAAATATCTTCTCAAATCCTCAATTTCTCAAGGCGCTGTCGCTATCTTTCAATAAGCAGACATCTTCGGCAAATTTAAATTGGTAAGTTTCGCCCTCACCGAAGACTTTTCAACTGTTAGTAGTTATGTTGTGTCGGACAATTCGGAAGGGAGAAGAATGTTACTTGATGAAAAATGTAACCTCTTTCCGACTCATCCTATATCTCTCATTATATTGTAAGAGTGGTAGGTCGAGATACGTGCGTCCTGATAGTACGTTGTGAGGAGGGAATTAGAAGAGGAAGTTGAATTAGATTATATTGTAATATATCACTTATAGAGAAAACAAGATTTATAATGGTTTTGGAGTTGATATTATATAGATTTAAATGTATATATTGTAAGAAAGTTGGAATTATAGGCCAAATATATAAAGGTTTTAACTAGTCAATTATATAACCTTTTGTAATTAGATATAAAAGAAAAGCCTTTTGCCTTTTCTTTTCACAATAATCAACCTTCTACATATATATATTTGAACCTATATAACATCAACCCCAAAACCATTGTGAATTCTGTTTTACCCATAAGTGATATATTACAATATAATCTAATTCAACTTTCTCTTCCAATTCCCTCCTCACAGCATGCTATCGGGACGCACGTATCTCGACCTACCACTTTTACAATATGTAGAAGATTAATTATTGTGAAAAGAAGAAGCAAAAGCTTTCTTTTTATATCTAATTATAGAAGATCATGTGATTGATTAGTTAAAAACCTTTATGTATTTGGTCTATAATTCCAACTTTCTTACAATATAAGTATCAATTGTCGTTGTTCTATTCACTGGTGTCGTACACGATCAGGGACTCCACGGACTTCCGAACCATCTTTAATCTGGATCTTTGGGACGGATAATTACAACTATGCTAAAACCAAGATACTAAGCTATCAATCCAACTTGACTCGAAATTCCTCGGTTGGAGAAGAGATTAGAGGGGAAAAACTAATCTAGATGCCCCAAGGACACGGAACCGGGAATAGATGCGGGAATTGATACTTGCGACTAGATCTTTGGGAAGTATCTGATAATGTTTCAAAAATTCTTGAGAGCCGTGTTGCGTTGCATAATGACCAGCAATTGTAGTCTGCCACATAGTTTCTAAAGAAACTAGTATGTAATAGATGGAAATGCATCTATACATAGGTAAGTTTCCCAAAGGTCCATCGGAACTTTACTTACCACACTCATTCTTTCTACAGACATTTCCAGATGTGGCATTTAAAAGAAACCTACACCTAGGTGGACTCTCAGCTGAGGATGTCTTGAAATTCCCTGTATGATCCACGGTGATCTCGAGATCAAGGCAGGTGGCTGGAGGACATGATCAAAACGAAGATGTGGAAGCGGCGGCCAAGGCTATGGAGCCATAGGAAGAATTCTCGCACAAGTACATGCACTTAACTAAACTTGGTCGCCGACTGTCAGGAAAGAAAAGGACATGAAGCAGGACTGAACTGTTTCGATATGGCTGATCATTAGGGCGACGCCGATAAATCTCCATTGCTTCAATATAATGTTAGTTACTGACCAAAAATTGTGATAGGCCAACACAAAATGTCATGAACGTAGAAAAAGATAGCCTTCGTAAAATAGTCTCCTCGGGAAAGTGACGATAAAACTTTCAAGAATGCAGAGAGAACTATAAATCTTGTATAAAAGGGATAAAGGAAGAAACGATTGAATTGATACAATGTAATAAAATCTAAACTTATTTTCTTCTAATATCTTGTCTTCTGTCTTGTGAGTTCTGCAGAATAGGCCTGTTGGAAATCTCCTTCATTTCATGTCGTCGTGAGTCGCAAGGTGTGAGGTTTGGTATAAACTTGAATTTCAGGAAGCATCAATGAGTAGAGTCTTTATACTATACTTCGATAATTAATCTGAAACAGTGGTATTATTTTTTCCCTCTTTCTTTTTTTTTATTTTGTAGAAAGGAATAAACTCATTGGAATTCATTATTAGATTAAAAAAGTGATTTAAATTTTTTAATAATAATAATAATAAACCTTCCGGGGAACGAGCTGCGAGGTAGACCAATGATGTGCCTTGAAAAAAAAAAAGTAATAGTTTTTTTTATTTTTCAAACACCAAGGGGCCGGACTCAATCAAATTAAAAATAATTTAAAAGTAAAATATTAAACTTATATTTAGATTTGTTTATTAAAAGTATTAAAC